AACGAAAATATCCTGTGCAGGAAATATGTGCTCAACAGGGAGATACTATTTTAGCTACTTATGAAGGGGTAAAGCCTTTAAAATGAGGGATTTAAAAGTGCTTTAGTAAGGCAGACCTTGCAGAATATTTCAAATTGTTTCAGCTCTCAGAAGTCATCCATGAAAACCAAACATTTGGAGAGGGCTATCTGTCACGAACTTAAAGGTAACCCTTGTGCAACATAAAGTTAACTAATTGATGACATCTGGGGATAACAATCAAAGAGCTTCAAGGTGCATACCTTGTTCTGCGTGACTTTCAATTCCTTTTGTAGTTGCTTGATGATACCATTCGCCTTTGTGACTTCACAGGCCTGCTGCTTCATGAGTCTCTCCAGCTTCTCCACCTGCTTCACTTTTTTCTGAAGGTCCTCTTGAATCCCTCTCTAGCAGAAAAAGCAAAGAGTCCGCCATTAGGAACCTCTACCATCGCGGGACTCACCAACTGATGCCTTAGAGCACCACACTCCGACTCAAAAGAGCTGGCTCTGCGTTGTTCTATGGCAAACATGGATTCCATGCTGTCGTGCTTGGCTGTCACCTGAGAAACATTTGATTGAAGCTGCTCGATTTTGACTTTCAAGGAGAGAATTTCCGATTTCTGAGCTGCATATGCATCGAGTTACAACTTTTCTCCCAAAAACCGACGTACCATCATTTTCGCTCTGAACGCTATTAAGAGTGGACTCGGACTCCTTTAAAGTTTTTGAAAGTGCAGTGATCTGGGACTTCAGCTCATCTTCACAAATATTATTTGTCTAATGTAATAAAATAATAGAAAAAAAGCTACCGCCAAAAGAGATGCCTGCGACTCAAGTTTTGAACGAAGACAAGAGATTTCATCCTTGTGGGCTTCCTGAAGGGTTTTTAGTTCAGAAGAATGCTTAGACTTTAACAATTCAATCGTCTATAAATATCAACTGAAGAAAAATGAACAGTACCTTGTAGTTTGAAGACGTTAGTTGCTCCATTTGTGACTCGTACTGTTTTTTTAAGTCAGACACTTCTCTTTGGCAACTTTCCTTCATGTATTCTAATTTATTTTTAAGCTCATTCGACATCTTAAGATCATCACGCCATCTATTAAAAATACCTGAGATGAGGAAGCAAGTTGCTGACTGAGGATGGACTCTGCATGCCGAAATTTTTCCAAAGTTAGCTCGTGATCAGCCTAAAATAAATGAGGGATTGAAAAGCAAACCTTGAATCTTTTGATGTACGAAACAAGATAAGCTTTAAGAGTTTCATCAGAAGCTGCGGTAAAATTGATCGCCAGGTGTGTTAAACGCCGAAAATCTGTTGTTTCCACAATCTCAAGCATATGAGGCTCGAGCGTTTCGGAAAATTGCAAAATATATCTAAAATAAACTAAGAAAATAGAAAAACCAAACCTAGGTGAGTTGTTGCTTTCTTCTGTTAGACATTTGGTGAGCAGGTCAGCAAGCATTTGTCCGAATGCATTGTATTCAACAATCAAGCCTTGCTGCTCCTTCAATCTAACAGAGATTTACAAAAGAAATTAACCATACTTCTGGAAGTCAGAAGCAAAAATCTTCGTGGTGAATAAGAAGTACATATCACTATCATCTGTCAAGCTGATATCAAGGGACTAGAAACTGGTTAAGCATTGTTCACGCGCCTCCCACCTTCTCAACTTGGGTATTAGATGGGCTGGTTTGTTCAACAGTGACAGTAATTTTCTTTCTATAAAAATCAAAAGAACTAGAAATAGCAGACTTGGTGCCGCAAAAGACGACGTGATCCTGGTTGTAAAACTTTGGCATCATAAAAACTTAATTTTGGCTAGATGGAAACCGACGGATACTCACACTTCTCAAGGTGACAGTGGAGCAACATTCCGCAATGCAACAAAACATCATTTTCAAATATTAGTTTTTATGCACTGAACTTAACATGAACCCCGAAAATGGAGGACAGTTTTGCTGTTTACTAACCAAAATTACACGATTGCCTTGCAAAAATCACTAATAAAGCGAATTTTCGCAAGTCGTTAAAGAGTTATTAGAGTAACATAATACATCTCCTTAGGACTTCCCTACAGGAATAAGAAAACAACTTCACGTGTGTTCAACGTACAGAAGGCCTTGGGTCTACTGGCACAACCCAGAGGCTACCCCATTTGGCGAGTTTATAATGGTCAGGACACAATGCAGTCATTAATCAAAAACCAATACATAGTCTCCTTTTCTTTTTGAGCGTCGTCTCCGGTACGCTCGTTAGCCATCTATCACGTCAGCCATCACGACGTGGTCCTTGGTGTAGGGAAATCACTCAAGCGCTGTCCGTGTCAGTCCTTATAATTCTGAGTAACTGAAGAGATACTCGACCGCAACGTCATTAATTCCCCTTGCAATTTAAATGTATCTATGTTTTGTTCTATGCAGCAAATAAATTTGGGGACGGGATATTTTGCTGACCATGAAACATGTCGTAGCTAGTAGTAAAATTATGGAATAAAAGTGAATTTACATAAGAGAGAACGGGATTTAACACAGTCACTTGAGGGTATAATTTTGCGTCTGTTCCTCCTTACCACTTTATCGCACTTCAGAGCTACCCAATTATCTCCATCAGGCTTCTGCTTAGCTAGAAAAAAAGCAAGGGTTAGCGCGAGTTCATTTCATTGATATCTTTATAAGGGTAAGGTAGGCAACTCCGCAACGAACTTTCTTAGATGACCAAGGGTTAGTGGTGCTTTTGTTGTTAATAGCTTCAGTGCAGAGCACGGGACTGTGGCAGTTGCCAAATGCAGACGTAGAATCAGCCGTTCTATTTAGGGTCATCACAGTTTCGCCCGACCGTAGCATATTCACTTCTTCCGTCCCTCTACGATTTACCATCAAGTAGTGAAAATCAAAACAGATGTCATTCACGATCAAGTTCTCTATCCACTGTCACCAATGAAGCGCCTAGACGCAACCCTAAAGACAAAAAAAACGCAATAATAATCCTTCTGAACTTTTGAAGTAGATTAGGATCTAAGCTACTGACATAACCCAGAGGCCAGCTCATTTGGCAAAGGTACAATGATTGAGACGCAATGTAGCCCTTTATCAAAACAGTGGATTGAATAGCCAATGTATTGCATTAAATTTCGTGGTTAAAAGGGAAACAAAAAGAAGCTTGATTGCCAAAGATAAAGCATATTAAGACAAATAAGTTTCAAAAAATGTGTAATCCATTTGTTAATTGCTGAAAATTGAGCTTCTATAGTGTCCTGGAACTCTCTGAAGACGAAAGAAGACAAAGTACTCTGGCAGAATATGTAGGCATCGCAGAGGAGGTGTCTGGACTATTGGCATGGCCCGAAAGGCCAGCCCACCCAGCGAGGTACAAGAAGGCTAATTCAAAGTACAAAAGTGGTGCCTCACCATTGCCGAGGGATAAACCACTATCGTATTACACTTCAGATGTCGAGCAACCATGGCTCCACTATCGGACTTCTGCTAGGGTGCATTGCCTCCGTATCGCGGAAATAGATCCTCGAATAACGAGTACCTCCGAAAAGCATTTCCCCCAGAGTATCAGTGATTCTTTTGGCTTTTCGCTGGTGTGAAATGCCGCATTTTTTGGGGCAGAATTTGAAAAGTTTCTTGGAACAAGTCCCTTTATTGTCGAGTACATGGCAGCTACTTGGCTATCTCTAAGATCTCAAGCGTGTAGCAATTTTTAAACATTTTTAAATTTTGAGCTATATGATGCAACGGAAATCATGTTTTGTGTCATATTTCGGTCCGACTTTTACTAGGCCCCGCTTTACGTGAGCCAATGACCTTGTAGCTTTAATTGGCCGAAACGAAATTTATAGCCAACGGAAGACAGTTTTCATATTGGCACCCTACTAGGTAGCATAATTTACAACTAGGATTTGGCATACTAAAACAAAGTACTAACTTCAATAAACTAAGCCAAGCTTTATAAAAAAGGGAAATTTTTGGCAAATAATTTATTTGTCCTAATTCTAAAACTATTTTAAAAAAACACTTTTGCTTACATGTAACAGATATTGATATTTTTTAAACAATTAACCAAAATTAAAAGATACAAACATTACAGTTAAATAATTTGGTATTTATTTAACCTGTTAATTTGGTTTACTAAGCGACTTTGTGTGCATATGGAGCCCGTTTTTCGGTTCCATCCACCTCAACGGGTACCACATAGCTCGTTATTGCTAGACTAGGTTCTGGGGTTATTGGTTCCTTTGATTCAGATATTTCTGATACTTTTCTGTTTGCTCATGATCATGTCCATTCTCATACACTTTTCGTGATGGTTCTTGTAGTACATAACATCCTCATTTTCTTCCGAGCACAATGGATCCTCTTAAAGCAGAACGACATCTCCAGTTCGTTAGCGATTGTACCGGGGGATCGATATTTGAAGTCATGGGCCTTCTTACCATTGTTTGCTCCGTTGGCTTCCTCAGATTTAGAATTGAGCGGTTGTTCTTTCGAAATACGCCGAGATCTATGTAAGTCTTCTCAATACACTCTTGCATTTGCCTCACTGGCTTCCCTGGCTGTTCAGCTCCAAAGTGCTTTCTTGTTTTTACGTCGCGCCTAGATTTTTGGAGTGTGTGCGAGGATATTCATAGGTTCATCAAGCGTTTAGGTCTTATTTTTTTCATCTGTTCACTTTCTCAATACCCTTCGCTTTTTAACTTCTTTAAATCCACTTATTTTCCTATCGGCCTATGAACGACTTTCCTGTTTGTCTGCTTAACTTGTCTTCATGAGCGCATATTCGCAGTTCGTCAACTACCGATTATTTCCAGTCAGTCTGGAAAATAGATCGAAATTAGGATTTCCACCTTTTTACTTTTTAGGATATCGTGTTTTCTTACCTCATCTTATCGTTTTTTTCTACTAATTGTAAACTTATTTGGTTTTTTGTGCCCTAATCACTTCTTTGTAATGACTTATCCACCATATCATAATGCGCCTGCTCATTGCCTTCCCTCTTCTTAGGCTGATAGGCATTCTGCTTGATTTAAAACTGTACTATCGTTTGTCATCTCTTGTCCCTCTAGGTTACTAACGCTGGACCTACTTTCCACAATCGTAGCTATCGTGCTTCCTTGTACCCTCCTTTCCAATTATGTTCTTGAGACCAACATCATTCTCCTTTCCACCGTCTGCCTGCTTCAACTTAAGGCACCATCCGTCTCCCCCGTCGACGTCACCACCGTCTTCCCCCACACTCTCTCCACGTGGCGCCGCCTAAATCGCACCTTCGTCCTCATTTATACCTGTGTCTGTATCTATGCTGTTGATCTGCCCATCTTTCCTCGGCGCTTCGCAAAGACTGAAGTGACAGGCGTAAGTCTAATGGACACAGGTGTCGGCTTGATTGCTGTCATCGTAGGTCTCTCCAATGTCGCTTTTCTCGACGCTTGTCGTCGTCGCCCTCTCCAGTACTTTGCTCTGCTCAAGGTTGTTGCTAGGGCCATATTGCCCTGTTTTGCGGTGGGGATTTTGAGGACCGTTGTTGTTAAGGCGCTGGGTTATCCGGAGCATGTGACGGAGTATGGTGTGCATTGGAACTTCTTCTTCACACTGGCCAGCATTCGGGTATGTCGGTGAATGATTCGTATGTTTTAATTTGATTCTGTTTTGTAAAGCAATGTCTAGCTTGTACAAATTTTACTTCTCTTTTGATCTTTGCTCGCACGGCGGCACTTATCGGATTATCCAGTTCGCTCACATACCCATCTGGTTTGCTTCAAATAGGCTTGTAGAACTAGTTGAAACCTACTTTTGATTTGTGCTTATTTTGTAGCACATTCGCTTCTACTACAGGTGTGGATTTACTCTATTAACTTCCACCATAGCCCCAATTCGCCTATAAGAACGGAACGGAAGTTCAAGTCAAATCGAAACTTACTTTTCCACCTATAAAAAGTTTGCTATTATGGAGGTTAGTGGTAAGTATACTCTCACTAATATTCGGCCCACGTCGTAGGCAGTAGCGAGAAACCCGTAGATACCGTGATGAGAAGCTCATTCGCTCAGCCGTGGGCGTTTGAACGTTGCAAACGTTTCGAAGATGGCCAGCCATGCGCCTGTCAGTAACAATTCCGACCGTGTTAGCTCCGCTTCTAGCTTAAAGCACAGCATTCCTTCCTGTGAACATTAAGCAGGTAAAAAGCCTACTTTTCGGCAGTCGACGGATGACCTACGACGCCTTTGCGATTTCGAAAAGTTAGCTCACGCTGAGTGCCCTAGAATGTTTCAGTAATACTGAAAGACCTTTTCATGGCTAGGCTTTACGGTATTTAGTTTAACGCCTGAATAAGTGTAAGTAAATTCAGCTATAGTTCCTACTTTTCGGAAATCGCTGCATCCTGTTATGATCTCAAAAGTCCCAGCTTAATTTGAACGACTTACTCTCGTTCCGTTTTGGTATTCAGCATTTGCAACAAGAAAACACTTATGTGTAGCGGGAGGTAATCAGGAATCAGAAAATATGGCTGAAATGCTAATGATAACAACGACGATGATTTACCTTTATAATTGTTCCAAAACTGTATGTTTTGTCGTGCAGCGATGCTCATATTTATTATCTCCACTAGTAGCTTGTTCTCCTTCTTGAAGAGTGCATCAAGTATGAACATGATGACAAATTTAGATGCGATTTCTGTTTTTTTGCCTAGCTGATCTTTTTCAAATGGGACGTTGTTAGCCGTGTTAGTTGACTGGGTGTAGGTGGTGGTGGATCTACTACAACTACATCCCTTTCCTCCCACTCCACTTGGACTTAGGCTTATCTATCTACATGTCTAGTTCATTTTCAACCTTTGGATCGCCTGTCCATCGGAACTGATATAACTTGCTTTCTCAACAGATCCTTTGGCAAGAGAATTTGTAAATTGGATAATTGGGAACGCATTGAAGCGCCTTTTTGCATGGGATGCTCTTAAATACCGTCGTCACGTCCATAAAGTGTTTAGAAGATGTAGAATCTTTAACATTTTAAAGTCCCTATGTAATTCCAAATGGATATTCCAAACATGGATGATACGAACAAGGATCTACTCATGTTATTTGTTAGTCCCGTAACAGCAGAGAACAATCGACTAGTTTTCTTCTACTGAAGCTCCCACAAACCTTGTTTATATACATTTCTTCATTTGGTTGTTATTTAGTCCTACGTTAAGAAGCGTTTCCATACGTTAACTTTCTGAAATCGGAGAGGAAGAAAGGTGGACATATTTGCACCGACAGTAGCTCTAAAGCCACCAATATAGCTATACCGAAATCGCTACTTGATTTTTCAACTGAATGTTTGATTTGATAGCCTTTGTCCATGTATAAGTTGTTTCGTGCTTCAAGAATCTAAAGGATATCACTGGATCGTCACCCACTCCCATATGCAACGCATCAATCTATTCGGCTCTTTGAAAAGAAAAACTCGGCTTTCCATTTCCCCTCCTCTTTCCGCCACAGATAGGCGGCTTCGTCGTGGCCTCTGCGCTGAGTCGGATGTCCGACTTCGACGCGATGAATGCGCATTTTGTGCTCTGCGTACTGCTCGCGTGCTTCCAGCAGTGGGGTGTACTGGGCTGGGCGCAGCGCAACCACTTCGTTCGTTCATCCTCGCCCACCCCTAACAAGAGTGCCGACGGCAGTTCCGCCGCGGGCATCGCGGCACTGGTACGTGCTAACGCAGAAGGTCTGGTCTCGCTGCCTGGCTACCTGTGCCTCTTCATCTACGGCACCGCTATCGCCCTCCTCCTCCGACTTCACCTCGACCTGCCCGTCTCGCAGCCCGTCGATAAGCTGAAGGTTCTCTGTGTCCAGGGCAAAGAGACTTGGTATGTTATTTTGAGATTTAAACTGATGCGGCGATAGATCTCCCAAGATTATTGAGCTTGTTCCATCAATGTGGGAATTTAAAAAACTCACAGAGGTTGCTGATTACTTTTTGCGTTATTAAATGGTTTGTGGGTACGAGGTTCCGATTTTCCGTAATGTGAAGGCTGATTCGCTGTTATTATCACCTGAAGAGATTGATACTTTTCGAGTCGACTTGGATACTAATTCTCACCTTGCCTCCACTTCGTTATGGCAGTAGGCGGAGGTAAGCGGTGATTCTTTGCTCTTTTACTTTCTTGTACGACATAGCTTTTTAAAACAACTTGATTACCTGCTCAACTCACGCTTGAGCAAGTGTAGGCGCTTTTAGATTCGCTTCTTAATAAATGCCTCAAAAATGCGCATAATATTTGGGTTGATATGGCAAAAATCCCCTTAAGCTTACCCACCTTTTACTGAATCTTTGAGGCCTTTGACTGATGCACACTCCCGCTGGTAGTGGCGATCTTATTTGTCTTTACCCATTTTGTGATGTGAACGTAGCTGACACTAATGCAAATTTCCCTCTACTTCAACATTTTCCAAGAGCTCCCTAAAGTTGTTTGGCTTTTGTGTGATGGCTGTTAAACGGTTCGCAGTCTTTAGATTGAAATTGAAACTGATATGTGAAGGCCGATGTACCGGGTTCGTTGCTCAAGTAAACCAAAGAAATTGTTGTGGAATCAATGGAACTCCCTGTGATTCTTGATTGCGATTTTTTAATTTTGCACTTTTAAATAGTTCTAAGCGGGTCTCCTGAAATTATCAATTGCATTAAAGGAATCATTGGAATAGTGCTAATTTTCACCTTTCCTGTTTCGTTTCACTGGGACCAGTAGGCAAAGACACCGTACTCTACTGAAAGGGGAATCTTCTTAGTACACGATTCATTACTAAACAAAGTAATTTACAAAAATAGGATCTACTCACTTAAGGATAAAACTTGTCGTTCGTCTTTCACCCGCTTACAAATCCAGTACAATACGCGGCTCATTACTTCCTTAAGTATACCCATGAGAAAGTGGCTGAAGGGTGTTTCCGGTCTTGCATACTTTTAAACATCATTCGAGCCTTTTCTCTCTCTCTCTCTCTCGCCGTAACGAAGTTGAGGACCGGTGAAAAGGTAGTTCGTGTATCATTGCAGAATAAATAATATAAAATTTGCAGTAAAATAAACGTTTTATGTTCTTTTTATCTTTCGCAGCAATTTTTGTGATTTATAGATGGAAAAAATTGAGATTTTTTTATTTTCTAACCCTGTCGTCCTAACAGATGATTTTAAACTGTTTTGTTAAATCTAGTAGTGTTTTATTTCTCAATTTGTAAGCAAAATACGTTGAGGAAAGTGATGACTCTTGAGTTAGTGTAGAGACCAATTTCCACCACTCCCGTAACTTTGTATGGGCGAATTGGTAAGAATAGCGATCGTTCTTGTGTTTTTTATGTCGTTCTTAGAAGGGGTGTTGAATGCTCGCCCTTTTTAGCAGGCATTTTAAAAATCTTACGCTATTGGGGAAAAGGAGTTTTGGCCATCTTTTAGCCTAATTCTCTTTGCTGCTTATTAATTCGTAATAACTGCATCAGGACTTCAACGTGGACTGTTCATTTGTGCGAGTTGAAACATCAAACCGGGACACTTGCTTAGCTACGCATCTGTCCGTCTCTGTAGGCGCGGTGATCCCAAGAAGGTCGCCATGGCAGTGCTTTTTATTGGTGCCCTGGCGTTCCTCGTCGTGGTTGCCTGTGGTGAGAGCTCAGTGTCTCGGCGTCTTGTGAATCTTCCCTACATCGCTTTACAGGTGAATTTCACTACCTATCTTTCTCCTTTCACCTCACACTGCCCAGTACCCGATTGTAACACATGCATTTTCGCCCAGATCGGTCTACTGTCACCTCTCATGGCGTTCTTTATCTGCTGCGTTTTCGACTTTCCTGAGAGAAAGCCAATGACACCAATGCGTAAAGGTACCTCATTACCCTCATAAAATCCTGCTTTCTCGTTACATTGAAGTAAAACCTATTCGCTTGATTTCAGATATGATACCTCTAATCACGATAGTCTCGGACAATGCGATGCTCTACTTCCTACTTTCCAACCTCATCACAGGAATCCTAAATTTGCTCCTCGACACCTTAACACTAGCTGAATGGCAGCCGGCTTGGTTTGCAACTACGTGTCAATTCCTTCTGCTCACAGCCTACACGGTCACCTGTCCACTGCTCACGCTGGCGCTCTCCTCTCTGCCGTTTGGACGAAGTGAGGCCAAAATGAATAAGTGATGCGACTGGGTCTCGTTATCTAGTCTCTGTTTTTCCGCCAAAACTATTTCCTTCGTCTTATTTCTTTTTTATGTTAATGATTTTTGGAATAAAGGTTGCCTTTGCGAAGTTCTGCCTCTTTTTGCTTGTCTGCCCTCTGTTGTGCGCTAATTTAGGTGAAATTAGTGGCATTTCAAATTGGCTCTATTAATTCGGATTCGACGTGTCTTTAATCCTATGCACTTAATTTATTTTCGCCTTATTTTTATTTAAATTATTGTATTTTATTAGTGATTCTACTTATTTAGGTCAATTTTATTGGTTAGTGGGAAATACTTCGACTAATCGGCAGAGAGCCCTATCATGAATATCATCGGTTTGATGATTGTGTGCATACAGAGTAGCAATTTTATGGCAATTTTTCGTGATTTTGATAATTTTTCCGCCCCAAGAATTCAGATTTGCTTAAGTATGGATACTAATGCAGTCATTTTTTCTTTAGTAAATCAGTTTATAGCCACAGGAACTACGTTTTAATCCTAACCCATAATCTGGTTGGTTGACTGGTCACTTCTTCGTTAACCTAGCTAATGGCTTTGATCCATTCGCCCTAGATGACCGACTCCAACCACACGATTGGCTCTTTGCCTATGGAAGGGCAATCTTATAACAGCGGTGAGGCAGTGAGTTCCCTAACCTCCGAGGTGACTTCAAATGATGTTGATTCAGCCGAACCTGCTGGTGACCGGAAGAGAGGTCGAGGATCGACCGATAATGAGGGTCGTAATGACGATGATGATACTGTGGGTCCACTTCCCTCCGAAATGACCTCAAACGGTAATGGAGACAATCAGAATAGAGGCAGGGGTGATGAACACGACGATACTGTGGGTCCTCTTCCCTCTGAAATGGAGGATTCGTCTTCTATCACGGAACCTTTGAAGAAAAAGCCGAGGAAAAGAGGCGCGGGATTCACCGAATTTTTAGATTTTATTATGGAATTAAGAATAGGTCTTCCTATTTACGGCTCTGTTTTATTTGCTCTCCACTGATAAAAAGAAAGGATACACCAGCATTTTATATTCGCTTGCTTGTTTTAACAATAGCTATGATGATATTTGGGCATTAAAATTCTTGCCTTCTGCTTCCACGTCTAGATTTTAGTCAGGTTTATGATTAAAAGAATCGAGTTATTTAAAGTTACGCGTTACCGTAGTATGAATTACTCAAAAGATGATGGGAACACTGATGACTCTTTGCGTGAATTCTCTGCCTTCAGTTTTGAAGGACGAGAGCATCCTCCTGCGGAGCATACCCACTGCGCAGTACTACGAGATCAGCTACATGCATCGCAACGTCATTACCCATCTCTCCTACTCTAAGTAAGTGGTAAGATTTTTTCAAAATGGATTGCATAAAGGATATATTGTTTGCGCTTGAATGCCGGTTAATTTATTCGTAGTTATCTTTAATTGTGTTAGTTTTCTATATTGCAGTCCTTGCAGAGATTACTATTGTCTAGAAGCACATTACCGCCATTTATCCGTCTGCTTTACTTCTTGTAGAACGCACTACCTTATCACATGCAGTTGCGATGGCCACTTGAAATTCTGGCGTCTGGCTGCGACACGCGGTCTGGAGTTCGTCAAACACTATCGCGCGCATCTGGGTCAGTTTCGCCGCTTCTCATCTAACTTCGCCCACGAATCAACACGTAGCTATATAGAATGGCATGTTATTTTTAAAGCCTTTAGCTTTAAGATTAATTCTTCCTCTAATTCCCCTTTATTTGGTTACAATGCCGTACTCCTCGAGTTACTACTGCAAAGAAGTCACAAGGGCTGGGAAGGCTGGTAGTGTGGGTGTTACGAGGCGATTTTTCGCTGCCGTCGTAGAGACTATCTCAGCGAACTGTGACTATGGAACGGTACATTGAGTTGAATACCATTCTTATAATATGTTATTTAAACCTCCTCTGTGAACACGCAGAACTTAAGCTTTTGGAAAAATTTCGGCTTTGCAATACCATGGAGCACATATGACCTGCGGTTGTCTGCGTTCATTTGGAGATGTGGAATTTTTTGTTTGCTAAAAGTATTCTTTCAGTTGTGCAAGTTCGTCCGTGTCGAAAGTCTCTCTTCCAAAAGAAGATTCTTCAGATTATCACATCTTTTTTTTCCAAAATATTTCGGCGATTAGTAAAGTTCATAAAGACATTTTTATTTGAGTAAGGCTTAATTATTCAATTTTTGCAGTTTGTGTTTCCTCCCAACCGACCCCTACTTTTCAAGTACCGATGAAAGAAGCTCCTTAATTTTTTCACGATGCCCACGCAGCGTAGTCGAGAATTTGGCTCTGTTGTCCTTCGTTATTTGTAGTATTTGTGGATTCTTGAATTGCCTTCAATGACCTCATGGTCATCTTCTATCTTTCCTACGTTTCAGGTGCGATAACTAGTTTGGCAGTCAGCTATGATGGTGAGCTTGCTTGCACCGTGGGTGATGACAAAACTGCCAAGATCTTTGACATTATCAATTTTGGTGAGTGTGTTTGCGAAGCTTCTCTTCTGCTGCCTCCTTGACGCAGTACTTATTGAAGTCTCATTCTATCCGCTTCCCTATGAGTTTTTCTAGTTGGTTTGCTTATAGTCATTGCGAATGAATTTGGAGCCTAGGTTCAAGCCGTCTTACCTCTAACCACGTGCTTTACCTTCACTTCCTATTTCCACGATTCGAGAAGAGGGAATAAGCATCTTTAAATGACATCTTCAAGACTATTGTCAAATAGTTCAGTCGGTATCGGCTTACCTTCAGTTAAGGACACCCAATGCTCAGGTTCAACTCTATTTACTGCCCATTTTCTGATAGCAGCGATGACCCTATTGAAATGCTTCAGAAAGATTTTCATTTGTCCGGTTTTTTTTTTTCATTTTACTATAGCCGCTTTCTGAATTACTCATGGTTCTTTACCGCACAAGTCCAAGGAATTTACCTTGCTGCCTTTGTGGAGATTTCGATGAGAAATGAATTTACCCCTCATCATCCTCTCCCTTATCCTTTTAGACATGATCAGCATGATGAAGCTGGGATTCGTGCCTCGGGAATGCTGCTTCGTCTACACGGCTAAGGATGGCTGCGCCGCTGTCGCCATGTAAATCTCTTACTCCGTCTCCAGGATGCGCATTTTCGCCTCTTTCACTGTTTTTTTTGGTGGAAATATCAAGTCGTGATTAACAGTTGCGGTTCGTAGATTCTCGTCGTTTTTCACCAAAAAAACTTATCTTTTCCCTTAGTCATTTTTGCCACTAAACCAACTTTGAGATATCCCCTGGAGGAGAAAACAGAATTGACAAACATGACCAGGTTTAGAGGTAACACTACGGTTTCTTAGTATCCAGGACGACTTTTCAGGCTGAAGCTTATCCTGATGAATGTCACTTGTGATATAAAAACTTCTGAGGGTGTTGGATTGGGCGCCTTTGCGACTGTATATAGGGCGAAAGTCAGTGTCATCGTTCTACCCAAAGTCAAGGATTTGACGGTTAGTCATTCATCGTTCAAAAAAGTGACGAATTTTGATACGAGACACGATTCCTAGTGAAGAATTTAGTGTGACGGTTTACTGATAAATATCTATATCTGTAATAGACATCAAATATACACCTAGCTCTTTCGATACAAGTGCAAATTCATTCCAAAAATTGGAAGAACGTTCACTTCAAAAGCAGCTTCTGGCTCTTCCTTGCATGACACTGCAGTAGCTTTCTCTTCATTGAATGTGGCGCGAGATATTTTGGTCTTACCAGTGGACAGAAGTCTGGAACAGTCAAAGCGAGGCACTGGAGCGACATCATTTTTTAACCTTGCAGCTTGAGGAAATTCGGCGCCTTGGATGTGATGAACACGAAATTGAATTGAATTGCCTGTTTTTTTGCCGATGTTTTACACCACTGCTTCTTAATTGCAGTGCAGATCGTGACTCCAACGCCATCCACATTTATGACGCTCGCACAAAGGACACACTTCTGAAGAAGCTTGACAACCTCCACGCTAGTTCCGTCATCGCCATTGCTGTATGTTCACACACGCGCACCTTTTCCACCTTTCAAACTATCCGCGCATAATATGGCTTATTCTTGTTTTCCTTTGCAGTTCTGTCCGGCGTTGGAGACAGTCGTGAGTGCCGACACAGAGGGTATGCTAGAGTTTTGGTCGACACCGCGCCACGGTTTTGATGCCGTCCAGCGTCCGGCTGCGCTCCATTGGACCTCCAAGATGGACACCGATTTCTACTGCCTTCTCAAGGACAAAACTCATGCTATCAGTCTGGCCTTCTCCCCTAACGGCGGTCGCCTGCTCGCTTGCTTCGGTGCGGATCGAAAGGTTCGTTGTGTCGATTACACTTTCTGCTCCGTATTTGCTTGCACTTGCACTGTATCCCTGCTTTGTTAGATTCGCATCTTCAAGACGCTAACGGGAAAGCTTTCGTTGGTCTATGACGAGAGTGTACAGCGCTACTCTGAGCTGCAATCGACGAAGCAGCTGCTGCCTAGCATGGAGTTCGGGCGTCGACTGGCCCTGGAGAAGGAGCTGGATCGATCGGATGGAGCCCATATGTGTAATCTGGGTCAGTGAAGGAAATGTCTCAGGAGTTTGTAAATTTATTAGACCACCGTTGCCTGGGGTGACGGGAAATCAAGAAAAGTGAAGAAAGGTGTCAGCCGTTCGGCCGCTGTCCGCTAACCAATTAATTTGCACTTTTTATTGTCCATTAGAATACATCGAACAGAAAGTCATGTTTTTATGTACTACATCTTCAGAGTTCGACAGTTCGGGCAACTTCCTAATCTATACTACACTCTTGGGCGTGCGAGTGGTGAATTTAGTGACCCATCGGCTGGTGCGGTGCCTGGGGGGCCCAGAGAACCTCCGTTTCTTGCAGGTGGCACTACTGCCGGCGCGGTCAGCGGTGCTGCAGAGCGCCACTGCGATGGCTCTCCTTGGTATGGACTCCGCTACCGCCTCCCTCGAGATGCATGCGGCCCTCGAGGAACCTCCTGCCGATTCCGGGGCCGGTGGCAGTGGTGGTAATGCAACCGGGTCCTCTGCCACCAATCCGCACTCCCGCGACCCCGTCATTGTATGCACCGCCTTCAAGAAGAACCGCGTCTACCTTTTTACGAACCACGAACCACATGAAATCAAATCGGAGTATGTCAACTCCCATTTTACCTCTATACCTTCCTCACATTCTTTCATTCCCCTCCTTCCTCGATTTATTTCATTCTCTTTCTCACGACTTCCATATATTTCTTCTTTTTTCACCCTATTTGGTTTTCATTTCGTCCCTAAGTCCTAGCCCTTACTTTACCTTTTTAAGAATTGTTGCAATCCAAGGTTTCTTCCATAAGTCTACCAGATCTTTGAATGACTATAATCCCTTTTTTTCCAGTGAAAATCTTATCAGACTCTGTACTACAAGAACGAGTATGACTGGCTGTATTTTGTTTTCACAACAGCGGTGTCACCTTGGCCGTGGGTTCTACATGTGAACGCGACGTCTTCAATGAGAAGCCGACAAAGGAGGAGGTACTAGCAGCTTCACGTGATTCGGCAGCTGCAACTACGGCTTCCCTCCGACTGGCAGGCTCTGCCATCCTCCATACTTCCATCGGCGACATTCATCTTCGTCTTTGGCCACGTGAGTGTCCACGCACCGTAGAGAACTTTGTAGGACACGCTCGTGCCGGCTACTACAATGGACACATCTTCCATCGTGTAATTAAGGGCTTCATGATCCAGAGTGGATGTCCTCTTGGTAGGTGGAGAAAAATGGGCTCACTTATTCAGCCGAAGTAGGAAGCGGGTTATCCTCCACATTCATTGCATTTCAGGTACGGGCACTGGCGGCAAGTCAATATGGGGCGGAGAATTTGAGGACGAATTTCATCCCAGTTTGCGGCACGATCGTCCTTACACCGTCAGTATGGCTAACGCTGGACCCAATACGAATGGATCGCAGTTCTTCATTACCGTAGCTCCCACCGTAAGCCCATCCACCCATCTTAATGGGCGTCATGCCGCAGAACGTCTGCTTACTCTATTTGCCTTTGTTTCAGCCATGGCTGGACAACAAACACACGGTGTTTGGTCGCGTAATCAAAGGAATGGAGGTTGTACAGAAGATATCAAATGTCAAAACGCATCCAAAGACAGACAAACCGCTGGATGATATAAGCATCATTAGCATCAGTGTAAAGGACATTGGAGGTGGCGCCTAAATGAGTACATATTTGCACCAGTGGGATTTTGTATTTTAATAAATTTACGGTTGATCAACCACTTTGAACATTTGATCACTTGGTGCTTGGAATGTATGGCAGCTTTGGCGTCAGCAATGAACTTCACATGCGATTGGGGTGGCTTGCGTGCGGGCCAAGATTGCGTGGCAGAAGGTCTACGTACGGGTGGCCACCTCACTTTGGAGGGGTTTTCATTGGCGAGGGCTGTTAGAGGGAAATTGACAGCCGGAAGGTGGCTTGATTCGAGGACCCGGGCCATAAGATAGTGGCAATTTGAGGATTGGGTAACAAAGTATGCACGTGGAATCCTTTTATTGAGTATTGAAGAATGTTGGAATAATACGGGTTTGGATTCTGACAATTACGAACAGAAATTTAACAACAGTAAAGAAGTCTAAGTTTTGGGGAAGTAGGCATGTCTTTTTTCCCAATAACACAGTAAACAAAATTGAAAAGTTATTTATTTTAATGTGCGGAGAAGTAACTAGTAACGCATAATGTTTCAAAAATTGTAGTATCTTGATTTAAATTAAGTTGCTGTAATACGTCATGTTCTACAAATGTATGTTTCACGTCTTGAATCTCAATCGGAAAATATTGATAAATATAGCTTCACGTAAACCCTGTGTGCATCACATGAATTTAAAATATTTTATCACACAAACTTGATTTCATATCGCAAACTGCTTATATTCTGAAGTATTTGGTTGGTTCACAAAGTTCAGTCCGTTTCTTTTAACCCAGCATTTTATGTTGGTACTATAACTTCGGTAACATTAAAAATTTCAACCACCTGTGCTAAAGTAAATAACACGTTGAGATGGTGTCTCGTGATGTGAATATACGTATGAATGCACCTAAGAAAATTGAAAAACGTCTGTGTTTTAAGCCTCCAACAGAAAGGCAAAAATATTTGGGGACTTTAGCCAAACCATTTGTTGAACCACTGGTAAAATCGGAATTCTACTCTTCATACGTGTTTAAGACCAACCTTAAGGAATATCGGGAATATAATAGCATAGAAAGCATACGAAAAAGGGAGGCGGAAAAGTGGGAGGCCAAATTGGGATATAATGTACTAAAAACAAAAAGATTTGATCTTGAGGAAAGCAGAGTTGAACGGGCTGAACCATCCTCTAGAGCTTCGCTCCTACCGTACGATATGGATACGAAACAAGTAAAAGTAGTACTCCCCAAGTAATTTCCTAGGATAAGTTGGCTGTTCAAATGGGAAGCGCTCGAGGATACTTGGTAACTGAAAAAGCGCCAAATGAACACGTATTTGGTATTCAGTTTGCTTCACTTTACTCAATAATTTCTTAATCTATTTTATAGGCGTTTGCGCTGAGTCTATTTTGAGAGATGGTAGGTCTTTTAATCAGAGTAATCCAACTTCTTGATGGCTTTCTGTGTAATAACAGAACCTCAGGTATTAATACTGGTTTTTAGAAATTGCCTCTTATGACGGAGAAACGGACATTGCTAAAATTATAAATGTCTTGAAAACTAGACCTGAGATAACATTCTTCTACCTCACTCACAACCTCCCGAAGAAACACATTGATTACCACTACTATAATCTTAAGTGAGGCCCAGTTATTAAGATTTTCTAACCGTTCAGGGTCACATCATACCAGAACATCAATAAGCGTGATTACTACACCATAAGCACTAGTGGATGCACCCACTTTGTCGGTGATGAGGTGGAACTTACATCTCTGGAACGATTCGAACGTGAATACAGGCTGTTCTTGAATATACGAAAGGTCAGTCCTCAGGACTGCTAACAAGTCTATTTGTAAAAATTTATTTTTACGTCTTCTACGATTCAAATGATTGTTCTAAGGAGAAACCTTTTCCACTTGTACTTTTAAAATGCTGTTTTAATAAAGAGAGTAAGAAAAACTTTGAAATCGAATATAATATAATACATGCGAAATTGGAAGCAAATAGTTGAGGTATGAAATGACGAGTTGCTACTGCTAATATTTCCTTGAGAGAGTTCTCCTTTCGATATTACTGGCCACCTTAATGGTACCAATGGTTCAACTATTGCAGCCGCTCTCCTCAATCCATTCCTTTCATAATACGCAATAATTTTCCCTCTTCAAAGCTAAGCGTCAAATTTGACCTCAAATTAAGTACATTTTAACGATAAAATAAAACCGTTTTTCAGGAACAGACGTTTTAATTTCACGAAACACCAGATTTGTGGGTATGCCCCCGATCTTAATGAATCCTTACGTTCAGAGTATGGTAAATCACCGGTTCTAGCTAAATTTCAAATCTATCGCGACAGTTTCTTGAGTATTTTTGCAGATTTACTCCCAAACTGAATGGTAGACACTTGCATAGCCCTTTAAAAATCATAATTTCTTGATGTAACCTTAATTGACAAGATCAAACTGACATAAAACATTGCAATACTTACTTTCACGAACAGCTGCACAGTTGAAACCGAACTTAAGTCATATTTGCCTCGCTTACAAATAGTGATTTAGAACTGGCATGTAAATCAGCCATCCGTCGTCAAAAGTCGCTTGTAAGACCGTCTGTGGTACTATTCAAAAAGTGAGCAAATCAGTGCTACAGTTGATCAGGTCATGGGAAAATCTTTGTACTATTCCACCGTATCATTTTGTTTTCTAGTGTATTTTAAATACAAATTGACGCTTTCTTCATTGAAACCCTCATGAACACCTCTCACGAAACTGACTTAAACAGAGCGGATGGATTTCGTGTTTATCTGCTAACTATCAAGTATCCCATTTCGCGATGATTAACCGATGTCTTTCACATGCACAAATAGGTCTCAATATTGTTTAATGCGCCAGTACTATCACAAGCGATTGAGTTGACGCACGGAACACTAAGTTTTCTGCTTGTCTGCTTGCAGTTGCCGTTGTTTGCGCAATTCCGTCTGTGGAAGGTGTTCCTGCGCTGGCGCAAGGTAGTACGCTATGCTCAGATGGTTCACTGCCAGCGCTTTCTTGAGGCAAATCTCTTCATCGCCAACCCTACTCTGCGTCCCGCTTTGCTTAACCTTCGAGAGATGTGCCACAGTCTCTCGGGTGCTACGCTCTGTCGCATTGATCGCGGCCGCACTTCCACCCTCGTGGAGTTCCTCTCCCTCCAGATGGTCCAGCTGGGCGAAGTCAGCCTGCGACTGCAAGAGTTTCATAGTCTCACCAAGGAAATCGTTCGTAGTGCCTGTCGGACAGCCCTGCTGGAATATGGATTCCTGCCTGATGACTATCTGCAGGATGAAGCCGACCTTCCGGCTAACTTGGGTAGGTCGCTTCCGTTCGGAAGGCAGTTTCTAGATCCGATTGCTTTGGAATATATTTTAAGTAGCACTTTACTTATCAGTTCCTATTGGAATTCGTTCACACATTAAGGCAAAAGTAAAGAGCTAGAGTTCAAGGAGCAGTTGTAAGATGCATGTCACCACCGCACCAAATTGCCATTGCTTGAACTTTTGATGGACGCGGAATGCAGGCAAGAACATGTACGATGTGGACGAGTTGATTGATGCCTGCAAACTGGCATCAAAGCACCACCAACTGGAGCCCATCCTCTACGACGTGGAGCACCCGCTGGTGGGCCACGCAATGGCCCCCATTGCCACGGCTCTCAAACAAGTACGCAACAATCGTACCAAGCTGGAGCGTCGTTGCCAGAAGATCAAAATACGTAATTTACTCCCCTCCAGACCTTCTATTATGCTGCTTTTCAACTTTGGGTCGTGATTTGTTTGTTCCATTTCGTTTTGTTCTGCTGTGTCAGTTTTCACCTTTTCCGTTGTTTAGTTGATTTTTTAAATTGAGTACAAGGCTTCAGAGGGTCGATGTTCTTTTGCTCTGAAATGATCAAGTTTCGAAGTTGGGTTTATGGAATCAAATACTTAAAACTTCAGCATTCCTACGGCTATCTGCGATAGTCGATGTCACTTCTATCGAGGTTAAAAGTAGAAGTTGTTTATATCAATAAATTCCTTAGTATTTTCGGGAACCTGGTGAAGAATGTAGACTTTATGTTCCTTTATGCACTAAATTTAACGTTTTAATGGGAATCCGATTGATCAGTGCTTCACATTTCCAGAAGCTCCAGCTGGAAAAAGCTCCTATCTCCTGCAGTGCGCCGAAACTGATTGGTTCGCTAGTTCTACCGGAAAAATGAGCTATACACAACAGGCGCGCAAACGCAAGAAGTGCAGGCGTCTTACCTGGTCAGTTTTATCAGCCTGATATGATAGTTGTGTGCTCAATCACAAATTTACAGTCATCTATCAGCTGGATCAACTAATATTGTTAGCCTCATATCGGTTTGATGATTCACCGACTTCCGACCTTACTGATATTTCACTCCTGCGTTTGTAGTTTCGTACGACTGGTGGATTACCTGATAATGAACACGCTACACTTGCTGACGAAAAAGTCTGTCTATGCCATTAATCGGCTCTTTGAGGATGAGGTGGCGACGGCTCCTAGCCCACGTGATATCGACGCGATGCGCATTGAGGCGCGCCTCGTGCTCCACCCCGAGGAGGAGAGTCAGCCTGGTGGTGAAATAGAAGCAGAAGACGGCGAAATAGAGGCGGTGGTGGTAGAATCGGCCAAAACAGATCAGCAGAAGGCTCCGCCAGCCCCTCAGGCTGAGAACATGAACCAGGCGAATAATCAAAATATAACAGAAACGGTCAGTAGGAAAATGAAGAGATTTCACAATATGTGAATGGATGGGGAGAGGCGGTTACTCCTTCTTCTTCATCCCATTCCTTTGTATTCTCACAATGATTTTTCTCTTAGTAAAGATTTTCATCTTTTCTCGGCATTTTCGTTAGACAGTCACATTTCAATTAGGCATGCAAAAATAAGCTAAAAAGAAGGCAGCTAGAGGTAGGTTTAGCTGCTTCCTCCTATAGAGAAATATTTTTTATAAAAGTGCCATTCACAAACTTTTTTCGAGTTGCGAAACAGGTATGGATTGTCATGGTAATCGAATCACCGACTAAAATGTTTAAAAGGGCTTTTTGAACAGCATCAACTTGCCTACCCTATAAAACTTTAAACAACCCCTAATGAGATAAGGTAGAAACTCTTTTATCTTTTAGATTGGACCAGACTCGACAATTGGTCCTTCCGAGAATGCCATTCAGCCACCATTCTTTTTGAGCGAACTTATTTTACAACAGAACCAAATTAACTCAATTCCGACGGAGGATCAGTTTGTTGAGGGGTTATCAAACGTCGTCACCCGTTTTCAAGTAATTTTATAATCAAGTGGACAATCGGCTTGACTAGACTGTGACTCGATTATGGAATCCGTTTATCTTGTTAACTGCTTATCTTCCACCCGATCCGTGTGCAATCACATGGGTCCCTAACCAGTTTCGTAAAGTCAAAGAGATTATGAGATCGACACATATTTTCATTAAACATACAGGGAATCGTTCGTTGAGGTGTCACGAGAATCCTCTTAATCTCATCTTATTTTGTTGTTACAGTAAAATACTTCAAAGTCCCTTTTTAACTTGAACATCGTTATGGTAGCCTTTTAAATAAAGTATGCAGCTTTAGCAATTGGCTCCAAAGTAAACAAAATCAGCACAAATTAAGCAGTTGTGTAATTATTTTTTTTTTAATTAGGAATCAATGCTGTTACTAACGAATCTCGTGGTAGACACCTACTTCGACGCCTTTTCACGTCCCCTCATCAACAACAAGCATGAGGAGAAGACGTGTGACGTGGGACCGCAGTTGCGAATGGTTTTTGCCGAAGACGGTGAACTGCAGGCGCTAATCAGAGGCATAAATCAGAGCCTTCACAAGGCCTTTGAGTCCGTCCAACGCTACATTGCCACTTTCAATGAAATCAATGAGTTCTATAAGGATAATGATTTGGTCACAGTGGAGTCATTAAGAGCTGAACGAGAAGGTACTTCTCTCCGCATTTACCAATTCAGTTAACGTTTTTATTTATTTATTAATTTATCCATCTCTGATCACTCCTTTTATGACCGTTTCTGCTCTCACTCATCCTTTCTCAATCCTCTACTCACCGATTCAAGTTGCCTTACCACGCCCATTACATCTTGCAATGTATCAAACGTTTCGAAAGTACAGCTATTCTTCTTAATATGCATTTATTTATACTACGTTTATCCATGCATCAATTACTACTTCCATCATTTGTATTCATCCATTCAACTCGTCCATCCACTGAGTCCATATCCCTCTGATCGAACCATCTCGGCTTCATCCACTCACCCGTCCTCCCAAATCATTGTCTCCATTTACTAAAATTCGCTTTTGTAAGTAGCTGTCAAGTACAAGTGATTATTCTTTTAGTAATCAGGCCCCCTGCGCAAAGTAACCAAATGCATTTTCCACTTTTGTAGAAAGAGTGAAGGATCTGACTGGGTTTGATAAAATACAAGAAGGTAACAAATTCAGCTTTTCCCAACATTTCTAATTTTCTTTTTGTGATTTCACCGAATTTTGCCCCTGATTAAAATTTGTTTCTTTAACAATTGCCGATTTGAAGTATTTTAACACGTTCCTCAAATTAACACCCATTTAGTGCGTTCTAGTTTTTCACAATGCGGATATGCAGTTTATTAAAAACCCGGTGTTTGCACACTTCCATAAACAGGTCTGGAAGAAGCACTGAGTTAAAATAATAACACTTATAACTCGGTATTTGTGTAAAAGCGGGTTGGAAATCAAAAAGACCAATTGATCCGGCAACAAAGCATGCTGTCATCCTCAAGCGGTAATAGTTCACAAATAAAAAATTAGGACTAGGTGATTAGAATTATCGCCTGATTCACTAGACGACCCTACCAGCTGATACGAACCACAAATTTCCCGTCCTAACAACAATGTAAATTTTACAAGCAGCCAATAGGGACAACTCACCATCTGATTGGTGCGCAGCTTCCTGTGCGGTAAAGTTATTGGCTACTTAGAAGCCAATTATATTGCCTCCAACAAAAGTGATATTAGACATCTTTACAAGTACGTAGCAAAGTGGAAAAGGATCCAGATCATACATTATCGCGATCATTTTCTTTACTTTGAGTATGCGATTTCATGCCATTCATTAAATGCAAGTGGTTTTCGATCAAGCCGGTGATTTACCCATTTGATGGGTCCCCTATGATCACGCTTAAATGCTCAAGAATCGCTTATGCTTTTTTAAGCTTAATTAGGTGGTTTACTGCTGCAAATAGCAGTAAATAACGGCTAAACAGCCTATTTTTCTAAACAAACCCTTACAGATAGAAATCACTCATTTTTCCTCCATTACTCCATTAGTTGGAAGAACCACTTTGCTTTGACAGTTTGCTTTTCAAACCTCTCAGACAAGTCCTTTTCTTCCTCCAGATGTGGAGTTCTTCCGTGAGAAGCTAGCCACCTACAAGCGTCAGTTGCGAATGACCAGGCAGATCCCCGCCAACAGACCTCTGGGCCTCTTCAGTGTGGACACGAGTGTCTTCAAGAACACCGTATCACCGTCGCCTCTGCGCTGTCTGGACTGTGTCTACGCCATACTCCCCGAGATCGCGCGGCATGAGGTCGACCGACTGACAAAGGAGACACAGGAGGGTGAGTACACCCTAACCCTCAACCTGAGCACCGCGGTGGATTATGTCAACCATCTCACATTCCTAAGGCAGATACAGTTGAGGGTAAGTGAAGAAGCAAGTTTCAATTCCTTAACTTATAGTTGCTAGGGTTTTAACTGCTAAGATTGAAAAGGGGCAAGGCCATACGGTTGAATGCCAACTATCACATGCTTTCGTGGTAAAAAGGAAACAGATCGACGTTTATGGTCAATAAACCAAATCAGCCTTTTTTCGGCTTTACAGATTGAACCGCTGGAGAGAGAAGCCGATGCAGTTCGCTCCATGTATGAACTGATAGACACTTTCAAAGTTCCTACTCCTCCTGAAGACCTCGCCGTCTATCAGGTGATTTATTCGTTTTTCAGAAGACGAATCTAGTATTCATCTTGGTGTTGAACCCTAATTCTGGACTTATGGTCATCGAAACCTATCTTACCGCGGTGTATATTTAAAATAAACTAATGAGAGAAAAATTTGATAATGACAAAGTTAATCTAACTCTCCTTTGATACAGATCCTCTTTCCGAGCATCGAACGCACTATCACAACCATTGACAGAGCGCTTGCCGAACGCGACTCTCTTATCGACGTCTTTTTTGGCTGCTTGAATAAAGATGTCGGAGAACTCGTAAATGATATCAGGGACACAAAACAGGCCGTTGGGGTAATTATTAATTCATAATAAACATTTTCTAAAAGTTGTTATTAGCTTCATTGTACTGCGTGGAATATAATGAGACGTGATGATGGGAAATAAACTTCGCATTTGTTGGATAGCAAAATGATTGCCCATCTTTTGAATTCCCCTCTTTCGTAGAACCCAGCGCTATTGGACAATGTTCAGAATAGAGATGAGCTTATTCAGGAGTTGGATCGACTGCAGAAAATCGTCACTGAACAGCAGTCGCGTTACCAGACCTATAAGGGATACGCAAAAAGTTTCAAGGTGAATTAGGCCTTCCTTTGAAGCCCATCCCTCTCTGCTGCCGTTAACACTTTAGTCAACCTATTCTTCCTACCCATTAGGACCTCACTTTGCAGATCAGCGGCAATCCACTTGAGGTTTGTCGTTTTATCTGACCTGAAACATGCTAATGAATCTCGTTTTAATCGTTTTTCATGACGCTTCCCTTATTTTAGGACCAAATTTTGAACAGACCCGGTGTAAGGGCTAACAATTTCCTGGTAAGACTTTCTCCTCTTTCCCGGTCGGATTTTATTTGTGGCAGGATCAGGTGCACAGGTTCTTTTTGTGTCTTTTAGGAGTGGCTTGGAAAACTATACCCAAATGTTGTCAAGGTAAGGCATTTCACCAAAGAGCTTAAATAGCTTAATGCTTCGTATACAGTAATTGAGGCGAGACAGTTTTACATTTCAACGTCTAAGCTGCACCCGCTCCCTCACTTCCTCTTCGTTTAGGTTGAACAACCGCACTACATGGAACTTGACGAGCTCTTCACAGAGCTGCGCTTGAAGCGTCTCCTGTGGACCTGCATGAGCGAGTGGGAGACGATTTGCAAGGCCTGGGATGAGGTGGAGTTCTCCAACCTGGACCCGGAGGAAGTAACCACCACCACTATGAAGTACCTTAAGTCCGTGACCCAGTTAGAAAAAGGTCTCCCGCCCAACAGTGTGGTGCCGATTTTGCGTCAAAAAGTCGATGAGATGCGAGTCATTGTAGGTCAACCTGTCTTACTTATTTTTTGTCTTTTTCATCTCTTTATAACACCTAACTGGTGTTGCGCTCCAGCTACCAACTGTGGGAGACTTGAGAAACCCCTCGCTTCAAGATCGTCACTGGACTTTGTTGGAGAATATTATAGGCTTTAAGATGGCTGAACTTGATGCTCCACTGACCCTTGGCAAGTTGAAGTCGTTAAATGCCTTTGAGAATGCCGCAGAGATTCAGGAAATTGCTGGAATGGCTAGTTCTGAAGCGAGTCTGGAATCACTGCTGCGAAAGGTTTGTTGATACTTCCCAGATTATCGGAGTTAAGACTTTCTTTCATTTCAAATAAGTCCGTCCCCTTTAAATTGCGGTGACTGTGAGTTCTGTCTTCCTTAGAACAGTCGTCTTAAATTAAGCTGTCAGGCTTCAATGAAACCTACTCTACTTTTTTATAATCGGTTTCCTTATTTAAAGTGACGAATGTGGATTTGACATTGAATGTTCCATTACCTTAAATGTCACTTCTTAGAGAGTCCATATAAAAACTAAATTACCTCGCATTAAGGTAGGGATGCTTTACAGGTAGAGAATTCCTGGAAATCCACTGAGTTCATCGTGGTGCCCTACAAGACCTACAAGGACGTCTACGTACTGGGTGGTACTGACGAGATACAACAGCTGTGGGACGACTCCAACATCAACATCTCCACTATCGCCTCGTCGAAGCACGTGGGCCCGATCAAACCCCAGGTGGACGAGTGGGTGCAGAAACTCGCGCTCTTTGGAGAAACGCTGGTGTGTTTGAGACCTTAAAGAGAAATCTAAAAAGCCCACTTTAGTCCGTATTTTGAAGACTAAGCCAGACCTAGTTGGAAAAACGCTAATGAGTTGGATGATTGATGGCTGCTCTTCTCCCCTTTTTAAATCGGCAATAGATTTCAAATTTCGAGGTCAAAGCCAGTAAATTAAGTGGACTGTTGTAGTCAACATGTGTTGACCTAGTGTCAGGACAAGGAAAGGCTTAAAAAGTTGCCCTGTTTGAGAATGCACTGCTGATTTGGACGAGTGATTGATGCACCTCCCCTAACCTCGATTTGTGTAGCGACAAGTTTTGACCTGGATGGTGTATCGGGTTTGAATCTCGTGGCTCTTTCCATTTAATGTTTAGGGCCTGTACTGAGAGGTACCGATGTTTTGAGTAATCTTGTACTACCTCGGGATAATTGTCGACTTTCAAGGACCAATGGTTGGCCTGTCAAAAGGGCTGGATGTACCTCGAAAGCATCTTCTCAGCGCCCGACATTCAACGCCAACTACCCAGCGAGGCAAAGAGTTTTATGGCTCTGGACAAGTCTTTTAAGGAGGTGATGCGCAAGGTACAGAAGGTTCCGCTCGCCATGCGAGCGGCCACTGCGGCGGGTCTGTTGGACACCTTCCGCAATAACAACGTTCTTCTCGAGCAGATTCAGAAGTGTCTGGAGGCCTACCTAGAGTCAAAGCGCGTCATCTTTCCGCGATTCTACTTCCTCTCCAACGATGAGTTATTGGAGATTCTGGCACAGACACGGAACCCTTTCGCGGTGCAGCCACATCTCCGCAAGTGCTTCGATGCGATTGCACGACTGGAATTCGCGCTCAATCCTGAATTTGATGGCAAATCTGATGGTGTGTCCCTAACTCCATAATATTACTTGTTGCTTACCTATGGTCGCTAGCAGTAGTTATTCATTACCGCATGCATTTGCTTTATAGAGCCGAAATTCTCCAACGACATACTTGCCATGGTCTCACCAGAAGGAGAAAGCGTTCCCCTAACCAAGGTAATGCCTCCTACCAAAACTGAAACAAATGAGGTCTATGTAAATTTTATTAGGTCACCTAAAGTATATTGCCACAGTGGAACCACAAAACTAGAGGCAAAGGTTGCATCATTACTATTTAATAGTCGACGAAATTCACTCCCATCTCAGCCCACTATAACAAACAGACTATACTCTTAGTGATATAAATATATGACGAATAGCAGCACCCAAGCTGAAAGTGTTTCAATTGCTTTAAATAAATGCACATTTGAAAATCACATTTAAAGCATTTTACGATCCTAATAGGTATTGTGTGATGACCTTTGTGATAAACGATAAATGGTTTTCAATGCTCCCTTCATACCAGAGAAAAATGTGTTTTGATGTTACAGGGTTTGAAGGCCCGTGGAAACGTGGAGGAGTGGTTAGGCAAGGTGGAGGAGAGTATGGTCGCGAGTCTGCGGAAGAGCATGAAAAAGGCCCTATTGGACGTTGACACGACGTCACGTGATGATTGGCTCGTCGCGCACACCAATCAGATTACGCTAACGGTGGAGCAGCTGATCTGGGCTCGCGATGTCCATGAGATCCTCGACGACCTGCAGAAGCAGCCGCAGGAACGACTAGAGGGTCTTCAGGCCTATGAGGACCGATCTTTTGAGGTGAAATTGTGTCACTTATCCAGCGTATCCATATTTAATCAGTTGTAGTGGAGATGTCTTCGATGCCCATCATGTTGATGTGTTCCTAATAATTTCAGAATTTCCGTTACCAAACTTCACTAAAGGACTCTTCTATCAGATAAGCTGAATGGGACGTCGTCCAAAATGTGGCTGATTTCTTTTACTTTTTTGCTCGCCAATTTTTCGCCTAAAGTACACTCATTCTGTTGGAGGTTTGGCTGTTGAGGAACCCCTTCTTGCAAATATGCATCCTCTCTGGAAAGACCTCGAAACCCTTTCAAACTATGTCACTTTTACGTTTGACAGATGCATATTCTATTCATTGGGTTAAAGAAGGATACAATGGGAAAGTTGTTTTGTAAACTATGAAGAAGTGGTTAAAGGGGAGTCTACTTGGGACCAAAACAGCGGCAATTTTTTTAATGTTGTTCCCCATTTAGGCAAGGTAAAAATGTTTGATAATGCATGTTAAATCGGCTTAATATACTCCTCTTTTTCCGATTAAGAGTGCTATAAATAGTGTGTTGCTCTGTAACTTCAGTGTTCAACGACCCAGTCGATCTCGTGCAAACACTCAAGAACACTGGACTCAACCCTCTATGCTAGTAAACTAAACGCTATGAAAAGAATATGCTCAACTAGGGAGATGATTCACCTTTAAGCTTCAAAACTGCCTATACCGAAAGTTTCATAAACCTTTGTGGAACTCTTCCCCCAATTTTAATTCAAAATTCGCATGAAAAGTGTCGCATTATCACTTTTACTGACAGGCACTGAACAACTTGGCGAAGTTGGTGCGCGGCAGCCTGGCCAAGTTGGTGCGCATGATGTTCTGCTCCCTCATCACCATCGACGTGCACGCGCGCGACATTGTCACTGACCTCCTGGCTTCTAGCGTCACCACCTCCACCAGCTTCGAGTGGCAACGCCAGTTGCGGTACTACTGGGATGACTCCATCGACAACTGCGTGGTGCACATGTCTACCTCGCGCTATGTCTATGGCTACGAATATTTGGGTGCATCGCCTCGTCTTGTCATTACGCCACTCACCGATAGGTGCGTCGCTTCCTCTTCCCCATCACTCGCTCTCCTGCTAGTTGGCCTCGTGGCCAGCTTTGCGGCGTCGCAAAAGCACTCCATCGGTCGCACTTGATGATACTTCTAACTCAATTGTATTCTAAGCAATCGTAATTATTGTAAATAGCTCAACGCCTTTTCAAAGATCTGGAAACAAATCAAAAAGAGGGAATTTTCCTCCTTTAGATGCTACTTATGTTTGATGGGAGCACTTCAGCTGGATCTGGGTGGAGCTCCCTCGGGTCCAGCAGGCACAGGAAAGACCGAGTCAACAAAAGACCTGGCAAAGAGCCTTGCAAAGCAGTGTGTTGTGTTCAATTGCTCCGACGGTTTAGACCACAAAATGATGGGCCGATTCTTCTCGGGTCTTGCTCAGTCCGGTGCTTGGTGCTGCTTTGACGAGTTCAATCGTATTGACATTGAGGTGCTCTCTGTCATAGCACAACAACTCATTACCATCAAAAATGCCAAATCCGGAAAGGTAAATCGCGTGCATCTCTTCCACATTTTTTATCCCTGATGTAAAGTAATTGAATCTGTCTGGTTATAAGTCTCGTTGAAAGCAAATGTTGTTAGGAGTCCCGCTACGGTTTTTGCCAATCCGTGTCCCTAAAAGCCTGTCGTGTTATGAACAATTCAAGTGGGAGGTATTTTACTCCAGTGCTCTAACGGTTGCTTGCCTCCCCAAACAGGTCAGTCGTTTCTTGTTCGAGGGGCGCGAGATAAAATTGAATCCCTCGTGTGCGGCCTTCATCACAATGAATCCCGGATATGCGGGTCGTACTGAACTGCCGGACAACCTGAAGGCCCTCTTCCGACCCATCTCTATGATGGTTCCAGATTACAGTAAGATGTTGTATCTGCCGTTACTCTCCCATTTAGCTAGGTTGCTTTAATCCCTTCCCCCCTTTAGAACTTATCGCCGAGGTGATTCTCTACTCGGAAGGCTTCGAGTCCTCTAAGATGTTAGCACAGAAGATGACACAGATGTACAAGCTCTGCAGTGAACAGCTCTCTAAACAAGACCACTACGATTTTGGCATGCGGGCACTCAAGTCAGTCCTGGTGATGGCAGGTTCGCTGAAACGCGAGAACACGGACAAGCCAGAGAACGCGGTACTCATTCGTGCTCTGAGAGACAGCAATCTACCCAAATTTCTGGCTCAGGATGCCGTTCTTTTCACGGTAGGTTGTGGGTTGATTAGGTCTGGAATTAATTCATGCTTTTTATTTTATCTTCTGAAATGTCTGTGAATAACTTGTGATTAAGATAACAGAAAAATAAAAAGATAGGCTGTCTGTTCTAGGCAAATTTCTCCGATCCTTTTCAACAATAAAAATTTGCCACTGAAAGAGAATCGCTAACCAAAACAGTTTAGATTTTGTGTCTTATATTGTCAGTTCTAAAATGATCAGCCGTGAACTTCATTTGCTTGGATTTTGAGATTTACGTGCCATTTGGCTCAACCTAATGAATACATTTGTATTCAAAGCACTCATTCATTTGGAAAACAATCAAAACGTGCATTTTAGATATTGTTCATGAAGTGCCACCAATCACGCTTATTAGTGATGTTTTTCCCTCCTAGGCCATTCTACAAGACCTCTTCCCAGGTGTGGAAGTACCTGAGCATGATTATGGCGAGTTTCAAAAGGTAGTGGAGGATGTGACCCGAGGTTTCGGACTTCAGGTGGTGCCTTCACAGACCTTCAAAGTCATCCAGTTCTATGAGACGTTGGTTGTCCGCCATGGCGTCATGCTGGTCGGGCCCACAGGTGGTGGCAAGACTACTGTCTACCGGATTCTCGCGGAGACACTTGGTACTCTCTCCAAGATGCCTGAGATGGCTGAAACAAATCCGGACTTTCAGCCGGTTAAGGTGTATGTGTTGAATCCCAAATCGATTACCATGGGGGAGATTTATGGAGAGGTGAATGAGAAGACCATGGAATGGCACGATGGCCTGATGGCCTACATTGTTCGACAGACATGTGCTGTAAGTCTTTCCCATCAATGCCACATTCTTCCAATCTGGTAAATAATGCCAAGTTAAATATGTCCCATCAGATTAGTTGTACAGATGTCAATTGATATTTTCTGTCATCAGTTTCAAAATGAGGAACAAAGTGGGCATTTTATACCACCTTGATACCCCTTCGAATTACTGGTACATTATGATTAAACATGAACAACTTATTTCTTTACACAATCGTTGGCTTGCCCGTAGGATCCGAGCTCCGACCACCAGTGGATCATTTGCGACGGTCCTGTGGATGCGTTGTGGATAGAGAACATGAACACTGTGCTAGACGACAACAAGATGCTCTGCTTGGCCAACTCGGAGCGCATCAAATTGACGTCCTACGTGCACATGCTCTTCGAGGTGGCCGATCTGGCCGTCGCTTCGCCTGCTACCGTCTCGCGTTGCGGCATGGTTTATGTTGACCCTGACGAGCTGGGCTGGCTGCCCTACGTTAAGGCAGGTTTCCTTCTTCCCCTCCTTGGTTAATTGTGACTCGTCTTATTTCAACACGAAAAATAAGGGGATTGGGGTTTGAATTTTTGAAATTGTCGATTTCCTTTTTGATCACATCGTAAAATATGCGATATTTAACGTCTAAAGGTGCCGGATAACCTTGACATTTCTGATTATACTTGCTCATAATGATGGTCATTCTCTTTCTATAGAATAAGAATGCTCAATCGAGGCGGCAGCTCTTTTAGACTTGGACACAGTCAATATGACAACCCTTATTACCAATGCTATACCAAAGTTATACTTTCTTATCGTGTCTGTAAGATATACAGCTTCCGTGCCTAATGTTATAAGTAGAAAACTTATTGAACCCTAAATTATGCTTTTTGATGGTGCTATTCAAAGATGGTTGACAACCTCTAAATATAAATGAGTAAATGTTCTTATAATTCAATATCTCTCGTCAAATGTTATTTTGAACGTGATTACCAAACTGATGAGGGATCGTAGTCGGGATAAATATAGTACCTAAATGGGAATTCGGAATGACGATTTAAGTAAGAGAAACCGGGATAGCTGTCATTAAGCTGTTTTACACTTTTTAGACCTGGTTAGATTCATTGAAGGAGAAGCTGAGGGAGACAGTGCTCCAGTACATATTGATGCTCTTCGAGAAATTCGTTGAACCCGCCTTGAAGGCCATCATGAAAATCCCCACTGTCATTCCCCAGGTGAGTGGTGCCTCTTCACATCCCATACGAGGATTAAAATTTCCAGCCTGTGTTTTCGGTTATTTATTGTTAGGCAGTAGACAAACTTGCATTGTGGCAATGTGTCAGGCTTTATGGTTCAGCTTGATTTTGGCAGTCATCAATTGACAAGCCCTATCTGCGCTCAATGAAGTAAAAAAAGTGTTGGCAGTACTGTCGTTCATACTTGGTTATATACTTAGATTACATTACGGGGTTTTTATCATTAAAAAGTTATTGCGAAGGTACCCGTGGTAATTGTTGCAACCCGAGACTTCCCTGAAGATGAAAAAGATGTAATACTGGGGCAGGATGTTTTGTAGGTGTGCAGAGAGGCTGAAGGGATCAGTAGTATGCTCCGTAGGCCATGCCACCCAAAAGAAGTACAGAAGCAGAGCCTTAAGTGCCAGTGTTGCATAGTTTCCTTCTCTGAAACATCGCCCTCAGCACTCCTCTTGGTCAATTTCCCATGTCGGCCGTTACACCATAATCTGCGGTGTGGGAAAAACACCCACGAATAAACTGCTCCAATCATCGAAATGGAGTGCAACTGAGAAGACATTTCACTGTACCGTCAGCAGTTCTTCTTAGAAATTCTACCAGATCAAAAGATTTGCCCTGTTTTTGGAACTGCATTGGGGGAAGGGCTAAACTTGGAGGCCATCACACATATGTGCATCGCTAGTGGCATGAACACCGGCCTAAAAGCAGAGTCAAATAACAAAGATCGGGGTTTAAGATAGCATCGTGGAAACGAGTTTTCGTGTCTGTTCCATCTTGCCACTTTGTTCATACCTCGGTGTTAGCCAGCCATGCATATCTGGTATCTATCCTGCTAGTAGAGAGGCGGAGGAGGTATTGCGTATTCGCCTGGACGACATTTTCACACGGCTACCGTAGGCAGCTCCACAAAAGACTTTCGAGATGGTTCACGGCTAGTGTCGCTTCTGTTTTTCATAGGACGGTTGCTGAAGGTAGGCGTCATTTTCGACCCTTTTGTTAGGAATCGTCACCGATTCTTCCGTTCGCGGCATATACACTTCCTTCCCCTTGCTGAGATTTACCACCCAGCAGTAAAAATCAGGATAGTTGTCTTTTAGGGTCGAGTTCGTTTTCCGCTGCCACCAATGTGGCGTCTCAATTCCCCCCCCCCCCCTGAAGTCGAAAGAAGACAAAATACTACTTCTGAATGTGTAATGTCGGGGTATGGAAGGACTGGGGGACCATTGACAACTCGGCGACCATGCAGTCTAGTGGAAGTACTCAACCAGAGCTTTAGGTGCCCACGAAACTAAAAAATTGGCAAACAAACGACCAAAATATTATAGTAATAAGACCCTCCCTGTGCATATGCAATTATACCTTATTCTAGCATACTGGATATTGTCGTCTTGGTCCCAACGAAATGGAATATTTCCATATAGATTCCTGCGCTATCGTGCAAGTTTGAAAAAATTACGACATGCTTCTTTGCTGCTGCCTCTAAGACTGTGTGTTTCAGCAGCATTAACTTAGTCTCACAAACTCAAGGGCATGATAAGAACGGAGAGTAAAACAATTTATTCAGCCTTGTAATCTTAATTATATGAGGATTACCAAGGCGGCGAAAAACTTACATCTAGATGATTAGCCAGCCTTATAAGGATGCATAAGTAGTAAATAGTATTAGTGGAGCAAACCCCTTCTGTGACCTGAAGTGGAAGCAGTGGTGGCTCTGAGCAATGCATGCAACGATGACTTAAACACGAGTAACGAAGCATGTAATAGAGAAGTTTCAACAACACATAGATGGTCAATAACTACTGCCAATTATTTTCACTGATGTCTTAATGTCAGGATATGCTGTGCCACAGGTACCTCTAGCACGAGTAAAGACGATGTGCACCCTTATGGAGGTGGCTCTTACTCAAGAAAATTCACCCGATCTCTCCACCGGCGAGATTCAGAAGCAGCAGCCTATCATCGCCATGATCTTCGTATTTGCAATGCTCTGGGGTCTTGCCGGGAATGTCGTCGGCAGCAGGGCTAATGAAGTTGATACCCTCATACGCAACGTCATGGATGATTGCTCTGAAGCTAGAGTATGTTTGCAAGCCTTCCCTGTACTCACTAGTCTATTTCCTCGAGCAACTTCTCTTTCTTCATGTGCTTGGACATTTTCCGTGCCGACATCCAAGCGCAGAATTTCAGTTGATGGGATAACGAATAATTCACTTCCATTCTTATGAGCATTTTGAGTGCCCACTTTTGACAGCTTTGACAATGAGTGATTGAGTTGAGTAGTAGTAGATGAGTTCCTCAATGGGCTTTAAATTACACCTTTCTGAAACCAGTTTTATTTTGAAAGGTACGTCATAGGCATCTAGCACCTTGATTCTTCTTTAGACGAGGACAACTCTTCTCCGTTTGATTTCGACTTATCGTCTTCAGATGTTGCAAGCTATCCTCAGTTTCACTTTTTGCCCCTTTTAGTCACCCTAAGCAACAATATGACTTTCACGATCTCAATAAACAATGACCGGGAACTTTCTCTTGATCCCCCTAAGCCTCTGCTTAGTATGGTTTCCTTAGTCCTTCACCTGCTCGCTTTGAATGGCCTGATCCATTTTTAAATCAGGTTGAATTGACTGTAGCGCTTTACTTGGGTAAAAAACCGCAAATTTTTAAGTCGAAATAGCACGAAGTCAGAATATATGGTCTACACTTTCAGATGCCTCCTAGCCACGACCTTTGGTCCTGTTTTGTTGACACAAAGCTGCGACGTTTCGATATATGGGAGCGACAGGTGCCCAAGTTCAAGTACAACAAGAATGAGCCCTTCTTCAATTGCCTCGTGCCCACGATGGATACAGTGCGCTACGGTTTCCTCCTGGAACAGCTTCTAGCTGCTCGTCAGTCCGTTCTCTTCACCGGTGATACGGGTGTTGGCAAGGTGACTGTATCTCCACTGTACTTATCCGATACACCAAAACCTTCTTCTGCAGGTGTTGAAGAATGTGAATACCCCTAGCTTTGCCCATTTCTAACGAGTTCTAAGTCGCCAATTATTAAGTAGCATTCACATTAGAACGTACCACTAAGCTACACTACATTTCGCCATTCCAGACGGCAATCACTCGAAGCACTTTGGAGGGTCTCCAACAGGGTGAAAAATACATGGCTGTTTACATCAACTTCTCAGCCCAGACAAGCAGCAGTCGCACACAGGAGATGATTGTAGAGAAGATGGAGAAACGTCGAAAGGGTGTGATAGGCGCACCGAAGGGTCGACACGTGGTGATTTTCGTTGATGACCTGAACATGCCGAAGGTGGACACCTATGGCAGTCAGCCACCCATTGAACTGCTGCGTCAGTTACAGGACTTTGGTGGCTTCTACAATCGTGACAAGCTGACTTGGATTGCGGTAGAGGACGTGACACTTTCTGCTGCATGTGGACCCCCTGGTGGAGGCAGAAACCCCATTACTGCTCGTCTGGTTCGACATTTTTCGGTCCTTGCGATTCCTTCACCATCGGAACTGACGTTGAAACACATTTTCACCGCTATTATAACGGTATGCCTAGCTGGCTTTTCAAATAGAGTGCCTTTTTTAGAACCTACTGACATGAGGGGAACTCGGAAATTGAGTCCATTTTTTTATCAGGATAATGGTTACTTGGCCAAACGCTATTAAGACGCTTTAGGAATATGAGCAGTCTCAAGTGCATCCACTTTTGATTGTTTTGTATCTTGAAACAGGGCTTCATGCAGGACTACCCTCAGGGTCTGCGCCCTCTGGGCGACTCGATAGTGGGTGGCGCGGTGGAAATGTACGGTCGTCTGGCGGCGGAATTGCTACCCACTCCAGCGAAGTCGCATTATGTCTTCAACCTCCGCGACTTGTCGAAATGTGTGCAAGGTGTGCTGCAAACCAGCCCCTTGGCGATCCGTGACAAGGCCTCCCTCACTCGTCTCTTCTACCATGAGTGCTCCCGGGTTTTTCACGATCGCCTCGTCGACGAGACCGACCGGCTCTTCTTTAACACCATCCTGTCGGAGATTGCAAACAAGTTCTTTAGTGAGGTGTGAAGCAATCCGCGAATTATATTCAAAGTTTTGACTTAAATTGGGTATGCGTCTCAGTGATTAAAAGGTTTTGGAACGTATCTGAATCACTTTGCCTAGTAAGTGCGTAAGGAATTTCCGTGGATCCTAGGAAAAACCCATCAAACCATTGAATGTGCATGATTAAGTCATCTGCATCAATCGTCCCAAATACTGGAAAAAAAAATAAATTATTTCAGTGGTGAATAGGATTAACTCCAAATACAGCCGTGGTAAATTGACGGCGTCCTTATCTAATAAGCGGTCAAGTAATATCGCTAACAAAAGTGACATTAGCCTGATAGTAACGACAGAAGAATAAGCCTGCTAATGATCTGATAAACCGATTCCAGTGTAAAAAAATCGCATTGGTGCAAGTTTTGCTTTCTTTGTCTTAAGAGCCTTGACCCTGAAACCTTCTCGAAGAAACCGCTGTTCTTTGGGGATTTCATGACCTTCGGGGCTGCTCGCGAAGATCGTCTTTACGAGGAGATCACAGACATGGACAAACTCAAAAGTGTTATGCAAGATGTATGCAATTTTTTCGAACTTTAAAAACCAAAACTAAAAGTACTATGCTAGTATCTGCACAACTCTCCGACCTAGGTGAATTTTAGAAAGACTACATCGAAAGAAGCTGCTTTTAAATATTGGTAGTATCTACCAGGTTGCCGCTTGTTGTTTAAAGTATTCCTTCTTTCTGATAGTACCTCGATGACTACAACATGGTGTATTCTAAGAATAGCAATATGGTCTTCTTTTTGGATGCGATACAGCACATCTGTCGAATTGCACGGATGATCCGACAGGATCGTGGAAATGCCCTTCTCGTGGGCGTGGGTGGTACTGGAAAACGGTCTCTGACAAAGTGAGTTGAGACGGACTAATCAGATCCAGCCAGTCTAGCCAACGGCGTGCTGTAGGGTGTGACTACTCGTTGGCAACATTTGGTTCCGTAGTTTGCACACAATGAAAGTGGGAAGTTTGAGAGGGGCAAAACTCATGATTGCAATCTGTCAAAGTGCTTGCGTTTGTTTTTTTTTTAGTCTCTAACATGAAAAACTTATTTTTTATTCATTTTTACGTCCTAGAAAGCATTTGTTAACTTTAACAGTTTATCTTAAGCACTTTAAAATAACCAATGCAAAGAAGCTTGTCCATACTTACCTCAGGATGGGTTTATGCAAGGCGCTTCGTGATTTTCTTTGAATATTAATGAATCCGCTTTCTCCACACCGTTACGCCAGCACAAACCCCCTAAAATCCCTCCTTATCTCACTGTCTATTCCTTTTTTTCAAATCCCTTAGATTAGCGGCTCACATGAATAGCTACCGTTGCTTCTCAATTGAGCTCTCTCGCGGATACAATTATGACTCTTTCCACGAGGACCTGCAGAAGCTGTATACCTGGACGGGTGTGGAGAACAAGCCCACTGTCTTCCTCTTTTCGGACAGTCAGATCCTCTTGGAGGAGTTTGTTGAGGATCTTAATAATATCCTCAATTCCGGTGAGGTGCCTGGCCTCTTCGATTCAGAGGCCCTAGAGAAGCTCATCATCGGGACGCGACCTGCCGCCAAGGAGGCTGGTATTGCGGAGGGAAATAGGGAGGCAATCTACCGCTTTTGCATTGATCGAGTGCGCAAAAACCTCCACCTTGTGCTTACTATGTCTCCCATGGGATCTGCCTTCCGAAATCGGCTGCGGATGTTTCCATCACTGGTCAATTGCTGTACGATTGATTGGTTCACCGAATGGCCTGAGGAGGCACTTCTTGGGGTTTCACAGTCCTCATTTGCCACGTTAGATGTCGATTCAGGGGAAATAAAGGTGTGTTATTCGACTGTTGTTTTAAAGTTGATGTACCTGGGTCATTTTTAAAGATAATGTTTGTTTAAATTTCATGGGGAACAAGAGGAAATTCATCCATAACATAAGTCTCTACTTTTACTTTTGTTCGACCACTCTCTATGAAAATAAGCATTTAGTGGTACTCAAGCCTTATTGAAAGTATCCTGGTATTACACTCTCCATCATAGTTCTAAGATATTGAGATGCACTTTTTAATGGGTTAACATGCTTAATATCCAGCTTGGTTTTAACGCTAAATCTGCTCTTCTTTTGGGAGGCTTTTCTTTTATCGCAGCCTAAAGCTCTAACTTCTTACAAACGCCTAGTAGACGTAACAATAAAGCATCGAAAGCAGTATGATCTACAAATGCCTTTTGGATGACCTCAAACACTGTATGCAGTTTTTAAACTAGTATTAATTTTGATTGTGTCCAGGACAAGGTGGCCGAACTGTGCACCTTTACACATCTGACCGTGTCTTCGGCGGCTATGCGATTTTTTGAGGAGTTGAAGCGCTACTACTACACCACGCCGACCAGCTACTTGGAACTTCTCTCCATCTACCGCGTCATGCTTGATGAACGCAGAAGGTAAGGGCATGACCTCTTTCGTGCGCATTTCCATGATCTGTTATCTCCTTAATGATTCAAAGTTGCCGATTTTCCCCTTAAATGCGCCTACATTTACGTTAAAAAGGAAGGTCTACTCAAATTCGGTATTTTTACAAAGTAATTAAAATGATTCAATGCTTAAAATTGGTACTTACTACTTTCTTGAAGTTGCAGATAAATAGATTTAGAGAGCAAAATTCCGCTGTTTTATTTTTGCTTGAGAATTGATCCCTTTCTCGAATTATTTGGAGGCGTGTTACATTTTTAACTAACCTTAATTAGAAAAAGCTTTGATGGAGGCCATCTATTCTGTCTTTTATATGGTCCAGCAACCTCAAAATAATGCAAGAGAAGTTCAAAAATGGCCTAAATAAGATTCAGGAAACCAACGACTTGGTGGCCCGCATGGAGGAGGAGTTGACTGCTCTCCGACCCAAGTTGGAGCAGAAGCAAAAGGACACGGAAAAACTTATGCTCAAATTGGGTGAAGATCAGGAAAAGGTGGGTCGTAAGCTAATAATTAGCGGGCTTTGCTCGCGCAGCAATTTGATTGGTTGGCCGCAACTATCTTCCCATAGGTTGATTGGCTCAATTAGGTCTACTCCGGTATTGTCGACATCCATTTATTGTTCACATCTTTTGTTCAGTATTTCGGATGAATGCGACTAAATCCATTTTTAGAAGAGTGTAACTCCAAGTAGTTCTAAATTAGCTATTTTAGGTTTTCAATTAGTAAATTTAATGCTTCGTAACGAGTGAAGAATCTTCCGGTCTCGAAGCACGCAAGCATAGCATTTTCCATAACAATAACTAATTATAGGCTTGGTTTTTGAAGATGAGTCAGATTTTCCGCAATAGATTTGATATAACTTACGGGTCCTGTTTTAACTTCACATCAGTTCGAATGTGGGAGGTACTAATGTGGGTTCTAGAGAAAGTTCAGTATTCAGGCAATGATTGCCCAAACTCCCTTAAACTCAGCCTGTCTCTTTGCTATACACATTTTTGTGCATCAACTTATCATAAAACTTTAATGAACATATATTGCAGATTTTTGGCACTAGGTTCAGGCGTCCAAATCAAAGTGTCAAATGCGATGCGCATGTGTGACCAATTTTTTCACGGAGATCTTGGCATTGAACAAATTAAGACCATGATGCAGATGGTGCTCAATAATTTAGGTTAATATCTTGGGAATGACTCACTTTTTAGGCGGACGTGGTGAGGCATAAAGTGAAGGATGATGAGGCAGACGCCAAACAGAAGGCGATGGAGACGCAAGCCATCGCAGACGACGCTCAACGCGACCTTGACGCCGCGATGCCCGCCCTTGAGGCTGCCAACAAGGCACTGGATGCCCTGGACAAGAATGACATTGCTGAAATTCGCGTCTTCACGAAGCCACCTCAACTTGTGCAGACAGTCATGGAGGCTGTGTGTCTAATGCTGGGACAAAAGTGTGTGCTTGATTCTACTTCAATGAGGTTAAATGAATTAACTAACACTTTTTTCGGTGATATCCAACTTTTTTCAGTATGAGTTGTTATTTTACGACCAAGGAGATTCCCGTCTCTTCTTGAAATTAGCTGTTAGTCCACCGAAGACAGGCGTTTGGCCACGGAGCGTGAGCGGTTTTCCCATTCGTCACTGCCTTCCATTCAAAAAGTCGTCCGAATTAGCTTTGCTAGTGAGCAACTTCTCAGGATCGATGGCATCCGTTTTAAGTTCACAAAGGGCATCCTTTATTCCGATGTCATTATATAAAGCCACTGAGAGACGTAAGACTCGTGATCCTCTTTTTCGCAGGACAGACTGGGCAACAGCCAAGACGCTACTAGGGGACAGCAATTTACTACGCAAGCTGGTTGAGTATCCGAAAGACACCATCTCGGACTCGTTGTTGAGGAAACTGCAGAAGTATGTCGATAATCCAGATTTCGACCCGGTGGTAATTGAGAAGGTCAGCAAGGCCTGCAAGTCCCTCTGCATGTGGGTGCGCGCGCTGGAAATGTACGCTCGTGTCTACAGGAACGTTGAGCCCAAACGAAAACGGTTAGTTGCTCCCTGCGTCCCTCTCTTTTATTATCCGGTTTGGTTATCTTTTATGCGCACATTTCCCCTTGTATTTGGATAAATATTTGTATATTGACAACATCGATGGGGTTGAAATACTTGTCTGTTATTAATTCAAGGTCACACATATGCCTACCACTGGACTCTCTCTACAGAATTCAGGCTGCTGACTGTTTCTTTCTTTGGCAATTAATTTACTGCTGTATGCTGGTAATAACGAACTAGTTATATTATTAATTTTCAGGGATATTGTCTTTGTCTTCCGTGGTATTTACTGACGACATCGTCTGCGAATCCAATAGGCTTATTAAAGCAGGTTAAATAAACAAAGGCGAGTGGATTCTGCTTCCCCCTTATCGCTTTAGACTTGAGGAAGCTAACAAAGAGATGGATGTAATGGTGGCCAACCTGCGCGAGAAGCAGAGCGCTTTGAAGGCCATTGAAGACAAGATCGCTGAGTTACAAGCGACCTATGATAAGTCAGTGGGTGAGAAGAAAGTGCTGGAACACAACCTTGCATTAACGGCTGCTCGCCTCAAACGCGCCGCCAAGCTGACTGCCGCTCTGTCAAGCGAACAGGAGCGTTGGCGAGACTCCATCGGAGTATATGACGTTCAACTGGGCAACGTCGTTGGAGATGTCTTCATTGCGGCAGCCTGTGTAGCCTACTACGGGGCCTTCACCATGGAGTTTCGTGAAAGTCTGATCACCACTTGGGTTGCTAAGTGCCACGAACTTGAAGTGCCAGTCAGCGAAAACGTCGGTCTGTTCAGCGTCCTTGGGGATGCCTTTGAATTGCGGCAGTGGAATGCGGAAGGTCTGCCTAGAGACCAGGTCAGTACAGATAATGGAATCATGGTAACACATTCACGTCGATGGCCACTAATGATCGACCCTCAAGAGCAGGCTAATCGGTGGATTCGCACCATGGAAGCAGAGAACGGGATCCGTGTTGTTAAGCCAACAGATTTAACTATTCTGCGAGTTCTGGAGTCTTGCATTCGAGCCGGATGTCCAATGCTGTTGGAAGATGTTGGGGAGAGTCTAGATCCGGCTCTGGAACCTATTCTGCTTCGACAGACCTTTGTAAAGGGTGGGAGGTTGTTGATTCGTCTGGGAGACAGTGACGTGGAGTACGATAAGAAATTCAAGTTTTACATCACAACTAAACTGCCCAATCCTCACTACCTGCCAGAGGTGTCGATCAAAGTGACACTGATTAACTTCACTGTCACGCCACAGGGTCTGGAAGACCAGTTATTGAGTGAGGTGACACGTCTTGAAAGGCCGGAACTGGAGGAGCAGAGGGTAGAACTGATTATCCATATAAATGAAGACAAAATTACTCTCCAGGTTGGTCCTCTGCATTCGTACTGCTTAATAAACACAGGCAGTGTGATATTTGGATGTGGAATCTTACGGGTCATTTTTATCCTAATGGAATCGTTACCTCCGATTTTACACGCTCGAGCACCTCATAACTCCCTGTCAACGTCCTATTTTGATATGTTTTCTATTTGTTAACAAGCTTTCGGTATTTTCATAAATAATTATTGGAGTCCGTTGAGGGAGTTGTTAATCGGAGGGGATTTCTAATTTACAGCAGCCTCACAACTCAAGAATGTGGGTGATCTATCGCAAAATTCTTGCCATTCTACAGGACTTTACACCAGTAGTTGCATCGTAACTGTGAAGCTCTTCACCTTATTAGATACTCGAAATTTCTTTCCACCATTGCAATTATTACCACTTTTTTATCATTTCAGCGATATCTGTGGAATTGTAAGAGCCAAATGTAGCCACTATAATCTTTCAGAACGATTCCGAAAGCCTTAAGTAAATACCTTTGAACAGTAGGACTAAGGCTCAGCTATGACAAGAGCGTAGGTAATTTCGATGAACCCCACTCGGCAGTCCTTGATTACTTTACCCGATTTTTTGTGGATTTTGAACAGCAAATAGAGGACAAAATCCTGAAGCTCCTTTTTGAGTCTGAGGGCAACATACTGGACAATGAGGCGTTGATTAACACCTTAAATGAGTCAAAGGCGACGTCGATGGAGATCGCAAAGCGCTTGGTCGAGGCGGAGGCCACGGAGGCGATGATTTCAGCGGCTCGCTCGCACTTCCTGCCCATCGCGGCGCGTGGCTCCGTTCTCTACTTCGTCATTACTCTCCTCGCTGACATCGATCCCATGTACCAGTTCTCCCTCAAGTACTTCATCTCCGTGAGTAACCCATTTCACCTACATACTTCATTTTCAGCGTCAAGAACGTGCATGACTTGAAAGTCTACATAGAGTTTGTACCAGTTATTCCCTCACCCTTCGTTCATCTGTTTTCATGTATTTAGGGAGCCAATATCTAGTTTTAAAAGCTGTAAGATGGCCTAACTAGACCTCACTCTTTAAGGTTAGAAATTTAGTGCGTGATGTAAGGCTAACAGTGTGGTGGAATACTAAACAATCATAAGTAGCCCTACTTCATCGAGATATGAATTCACCGACTTTTGTAATCTGGTTTCCTCCAGCTCTTCAATCAAACCATTGAGAAATGTCCCCGGGAGGAAGAGTCATTGGACCGCGCCAAAACCCTCATTAACGCCACCACTTTGGCCACCTACAACAACGTCGCGCGCGGTCTCTTCGCACAAGACAAGCTTGTCTTCTCTTTTATGCTCTGTGCCAAGATCCTCCTACACGAGGGCACGATCGTCCAATCGGAGTGGGACTACATTGTCTCTACCGCTACCCAATCGGATCGTTCCGCTCCACCCCAACCTGGGAACACGGTGAGCTGGCTTGGTGCACGCCAGTGGAAAGCCATCTGTGACCTCGTTGATGGGCTACCAGACACTTTCAACGGCTTGTTGGAGGATGTCGCTGAAGGCCGAAAAATCGTTCTTGAAATCCGCGGTCCTCAGGACGCTTCAAATGAAAGCCTAACTGTCACCCTTACTTCTCCCCTCGGTGAGGATAGGAGCGAAGGAGCCGGGACAAACTGGGATGATCGCCTGAGTCTCTTCCAGAAGATAATCCTGGTTCGAACCATGCGGGAGGAGGAGTTCGTGGCGGCGGTGACGGAGTTTGTGCGCATTCAGTTGGGTCGACAGTTCGTGGAGACACCGTCGATAGATTTGCCACTGGTCTACGCCGATATGGATGCAGCCACGCCATTAGTTTTTGTACTCTCGACGGGATCCGATCCAATGGCACAGCTGCAAAGATTCGCCCGACAGATGGACTACTCAGAGAGGATACACTCAGTCTCGCTAGGTCAGGGTCAGGGCCCTACAGCTGAGAAGCTGCTAGCCAAGGCAGCAGAAAGTGGTGACTGGGTATTTTTACAGGTAAATAATAAGTGTTATTTACTCATCCTTACCGGTTAATCTGATAGGAATTTGATGGGACTTTATCGTCAGTAATGAAACTAGTAGTAGTTTGAAAGACTAGGTGGTCTCTGATCGACTCAATTCTCCTTTATTTGAAGAACTGTCACCTGGCAGCCTCGTGGATGGTGCGAATGGAGGAGATTATAAAGGAGCGCTCCGAGGCAACAAGCACAACTGACGCCAACTATCGCCTCTTTCTTAGCTCCATGCCAACTAAGGCCTTCCCCATTACCGTACTACAGAACTCCGTCAAGGTCACCAACGAACCCCCCAAGGGCATCCGAGCAAATCTTCGCAGAGCTCTCAACGACTTATCACATGAGTTCTTCGAGGAAAACGGTAAATCTCTTGTGGATACCTTGCTATAGCCTTGAAATTGCCTGATCTTCTTCAAATTCGGAAGTTATTTAGTGGTAACTTATAAATCGGCTATTTTCAATAGTTCTGGGCGCAGATTGGCGTCGCGTCGTCTATGGAATGTGTCTATTCCATGCTGTGATTTTGGAACGCAAGAAATTTGGTCCTCTTGGATGGAATATCGCCTACGAGTTCAATGACTCGGATCGGGAGTGCGCTTTGTTGAACCTCAATCTTTTCTCAAATGAGCATGGTTTCGCGTGGGATGCCCTCACCTACATCACAGCGGAGGTGGGTCATACTTCCTGCTTTGGGTTTACTAAACTTGCGTAAAATTTATCTCTGTCATTTGGAACATTTTCCTTTTTTGGCAGTATTTGTTGCTAATTTCAGTTTGAATTCTTCATAATTTATTAGTACGGAAAATAGGGAGATGCTTCAGGTGTTGTGGTTTTTCTTGAGAGGCTTCACAAAGCTTATGAGATCGCAAATAGACGTGCAGTTGAGGGATGTGCGTGCACAGGATTCTGTTTTAGAGGCCGGTTTCATTTCTTTCCAACTCATACTAGGTCAATGGGGTCATTTTGTGTTGTTTTCAGGGCTTCCATAATAAAGTTTTCCTCCATATTAAAACAAAAGAAATCATTAGAACACGCATGTGGATGTTCCTGTTGGGAGGGAATTTATGTCCACCGCTAAATAAGTCGTTGGAAAAATGACGTACTTTCGCTTTTGATGAAGGATAGAAGTATTTAAAGGCTTGAGTTCTGAATCCAAATTGTCCATCGTCTGCTCTGGCCATTGATGCCATGATGCACTCCCTCATCGTATTTGCGCTGCCACATAGAAGTGCAGAGGAGATAGAATCGGTGGGAATCAATACTACTAATAAGCCTACTTAAATTGCAGATAACTTATGGCGGTCGCGTGACAGATGCCTGGGATCAGCGATGCCTGAGTGTGATCCTGTCGCGCTTCTTCGGTGAAGCGACACTAGCAGAGGACTACCGCTTTTGCGTCGACTCCGATCTCTTTCGTCCGCCTCCGATGGAACGCCTGGGGGAGTATCTGGAGTACACAGATACCCTGCCCCTCCTCGATCCCACTGACATCTTCAACATGCATTCAAATGCCAATCTCCTCTTCTTGGTTGGTGCTTTTGTCTGTCCCTCATATTTCCTTCCTTCTAATTAAAGTAGAACTTGCAAAAATAGATTGTTATTTCGACCAAGTAAAGGTTCCTAAAACTCATTTTTCCAGTTTCTCCTCCTCTTTATTTCGCGAGATAAATGTGGCATTTCATTTTTGCAGATAACTTTACTATGAATTTGAGTAATTACCTGAATATTGTGTCAAATAAATTTTCCCTTAGATTAAATCTCGTTCCATCGATGCATAAATTATGTCAATTATGAAGGATTTAGTGCACATTGCTTCTCTTATTTGTCTTCACAATATAGTTCCCCCAAAATAATACATTTTGCAGCAAAAGGAGACATCCAAGCTGCTGTCCACAATTCTGGATGTTCAGCCCCGCACCAGCGGAGGCAAGGAGGGTCGCACCTCAGACGAGGTGGTCTATGACCTGGCTGGCAGTCTACTCGCTGCGCTACCCAATACGATTGTCATGGAGAAGGCGCATGCCGATCTCTTCAACACCGACCAGCGAGGTCGTGTGAATTCACTCACCACGGTTCTGGTGCAAGAGGTCGACCGCTACAACCACCTCCTCAAAATCATCAAGGTACTTTCAAAGAAAATACTCCACTCCTTAATTTTTCCAGACGCGCATTATATTTCATCAGTCTTCTTTCTCTGTTGAAGACATCTCTTGAACATATGCAGAAGGCGGTGAAGGGATTTTTGGTGATGTCGGAGAAATTGGAGAAAATTTATTCTTCCTTTCTGCTGAACACGGTGCCGCGCCTGTGGGAAAATGTGGCCTATCCCAGCTTGAAACCGCTTAGTTTGTGGATGAAAGACTTGGCACTTAGGGTAGAGTTTATTAATCTATGGGTACTCAACGGCCCCCCCACATCGTTTTGGATCTCCGGTTTCTTCTTTCCTCAAGGTATGTGGACAGATTGACATTTGAAATGTCCTACTTTCAATTAGGATTTGTGGCGTAATATTACAATCATAATACATCAAAATGAATCAAAACATGAATTCAAATGTTGACGAGCTTCACAAAGGCATTGCGTCAACCCCCCATCAGGTTAGGGAAACTCATTATGCTACAGCGGGTTGTAAACAGATTAGCTTAATTTAAAACAACAAAATTTGTTATTATGTAATATTGGGTTGTTTAAAATTTATTACACAAGAATTAATGACCATTAGTGCTGCATTTGGACGATGAAACCACATTGAAAAAGGTGTACACCTGTCCCCTGAGGTTCTCTAAGCAAAGGTGTTAAGGCGCGCCGTTTTGCAATCCCCCCTGTCAACTCTGAGGTCATGACAACTCATGCTAATCTGCAAGTAGGTCGAATATCAACAAACAGAGAGGATTTGAAACAGCTATAGGGTAACAAGGCATAAATAGCCCCTTTGACATCTGCATGCTAGAAGAATCAGCGCTACCGAAAGTCTGCACGATCGAAAACAGCAAATAAAGGTTGCATTCTCCTATTATTGTTTGTTTGGTGAGCGATCAAGCGTTCACTGAATTCTTCCAATATATCAATTTTGACTGTCCGTCAAGTGGTCTATTCACTGTCTGTACCCGATATCCTCTTCTACAAGAATTACGAGCTTTCTTCGTGAAAGAATTGCTGTTTTACTTTCAAAGGTCTTACTGCAACAGAAGGCTGGGGATACCAGAGTTCTCTCCACAAAAAGTGGTAGAGCCTTGAGTCTTTGCTACAGCCGTTATAAACCATACGAACATTAAAGGCTTGGAAGATGATAAATACAGCCATCAGGGTGAAAATGCGAACCGGAGCGACTAGAGATCCCACCCAGTCTTTAATTACCCATCCTCTTTCTTCGTTTGAGCGTCAATTCCAAAACTCCTTATCGGTACTTTTTACCCCGATAATTGAAAATTTTCCTTTCGAGTGTCAATATCTACAAGACTGGGATGAAGATAATGAGGAATTCGTTTAGCACTTTGTGCGGTTCATGTTGACATTCTTGATTATTAAGTCCTCAGCAGAGCAAAATGTATCGAGGGAGAATTCATTTGGGAGGTTGTGGTCAGGGCTGGATGGTGGACGATGTTCTGCATCGAGCATTCACTCCACTCTGGTCGTCGGCCATCGTGACGTGTTACGCCATATGCCTGTAGGTGATGTGAGGAATGGGTATATCATCTACTCTGGCGATGATGTAAACCGGAGGATGCGATTGTTTAGGGATACTTGGAGAGACGTCGACAGCACTTATTTGAGAGCTGATGTCGTTCAGCTGGCGGTCAGTGATCAGAACTACAAAGTGAGAACTTGCCAGAAACCTCTATCGTTTAAGCTCTTTTTTCTGGTGTCTCCACAGATTGAGCCATTCAGTGTAGATGCTGTACCCCCTCTAACGTCAAAATTTGTGGACCAGCCAACAAAAATAGGAGCGTTCTTCACTTAGCTCGGGTTTAAATACCGCTGCTCCCGTTGTGGCGCTGCGAGTTCTTTCACAGGCCGTGATAAGACATACTCCCAAGTAAAACTGGTTATCAATGGGCGGACAGACCGCAGGGGGAGGGAGAACTGCCGACCACGATGACTGGATAGTCAGAGTGGCTAAACATCCTTTTCACCAAATGTCAGTTCACTTCGGAAATCGTGATTTTTTGAAGGGAAAGTGGTCATTGGGTGTGGAGCAAATGCAGATGTCAGTGTAATCCTGTCCAATATCCTACCAATTCGAGATAGTTACTTTGTTGAATGCGACCACTGATAATGTTCCAATTTTAATGACATTCCCAAGTTTTGCCGGTTGGCATACAAGCTGTCACCTTTCCAACTCGGGTTTAGAATACCACGACAAACGCCGAAAATACAGTTGTGCCTTCCCATTTGCTTTGACATCGGTGTAGCTGTCGTGTCAGACTGTCTGGCATGCATGCTCTCCTCGCGGCTTGGCCCCAGACGTTGTCACCCAGACGAGGTGAAGTTGGTTGCAAACAGTTTATCTCAAGGCTTTGTCAGCTGATGGCGTGCGGTGCGGTTGAAACATTCGGAGGTCAAGTCAACATTGCTTCGACTGCGGTTACAACCAACAATAAATCCTAAAAGTGATTCCTAATGATGAGGGAATTTTAAGCACAAAGTCTTTCTTTTAAAAAAAAAAATTATAAATACAAGTGGAGTTAAAATGACTAGAAACTTTTATTGACTATCAAAGTGCCATTAGATTTGAAATAAGTATATTATTCAGAAGTTTTCACCTTCTTGTACTAAGTCTTGTAAATTTCCCAGAAAGCAAGGGTCACCTTCCGTTCGCCTTTCTTTCCTTCGTTGTTTTGAGCTTTTAAATTCTCCATATTTTATCATACGTTCCCAAGGATGACACGGCAGATTGTCAATTGACAAGTGCATCCCCCTCATCGAATTAAAGCTATGGTTTACAACCAAACCTCCCTTGTTGAGGTAGTTGATCAGTGGAATTGAAATTCTTCAGCCTGGTCACGTTCGCTGATGGCAATCCTTGAGCTGCCCACCCATCCTCTGAGTTAATTCGCATCTTAATTGTCTTCAGATTTCGCTCATTCAATGCAGTATGGTGGGATCCAAGAAAAGTTTTTTTTTTTTCGTTTTTAAGAAGTCGGAGACGAATAAAATGCGCCAAAATCTGAGACTAAAACAAATATTTCACATTTCCTGTTTTGGTAACCGAAAGAAATGGAAGCTGACTGCATTTTCCATCACCGTATAGAAGCATCTATACCATTCCGCTCGCGGGTTATTGATGGAAGGGGATACACTTTAGCAAGTACTATCCATTCTACACCGCTTCCCCTATCCTCTTTAGGTTTCCTAACGGGTACACTGCAGAATTACGCACGGAAGTACGATTTCCCCATCGACCATCTCTCCTTCGATTTCACCGTTCTGCCACAGTACAGAGATCAGGAGACGTATGTCTTGCGCCAGCACGAAATGACTTTTGGGGATGAGCATCCAGAGGATACAAGTCTGGAGGTGCCTGAGGATGGCGTTCTGATCCATGGACTCTTTATGGATGGATTCAGGTGTGTGGCTAGTCGCTCCTTCCTCTTAGTGTTTCAACCTGATGACCACAGTCTAGGTGGTTCCTTGTCGCACTGGAGTGACCCCCATTTCAAAAAGGTAGGAGACTAGTATCAAAGCTCAACGCCACCAGTTTGTACATAGAATTGGGGATAATCAGGGAATGGTATTGCTCCCATTGCCTCCGCTCTTTTGTATTGTTCAACCTACTATCAAGGTAGGAACAAACGCCTACGGCGACTACCCGTCAAACTCTGGTGTATAATACGCTCAACATAAGTAGTACTAAGGGAAAGCAAACTTGTGTGGTGTAGCTTATCCAGTTTTCCCAATGCTTCATCTTAATTTACCGTTGAAGTTTCAACTCTGACGGAATATTACCCGTTTGAGGAAGGTTGGCTTTTGCTAGGAACTATCAGTATTCATCATCATTCCGAAAACCCAAATCGGCTTCCTAAATGCGTCCGCTAGCTCCACTCCCAATTGCCAAATGTGATATCATTTGATGTCTTCGGTTGTCTACGGTGGTATTTGACACGAGTACACAGCACCACCCTTACTCAATGAAAAATACGGGAGTAGCTGACATGAAATACCAGAAATTGGCATTTCTAACGTCGTTCCTCAGTATGGTTGAATGTTTCACGCCTAACTGTGGACAATCCGAGATCCGGAATTATCGTCTTTCACTGTCAAATCTACTTATAGTTCCATACCTAGTTCTAGTCAGTGTTATGTAGCGCGTCGATAATTTTCTGAAGACGAAAGAGGACATAATACTAGGGTAGAATATGCATTGCCGAAGTATAGAGGGGATGGAGGCACAATGGTGGAGCCCCAAGCGCCCCGTTACCAAAACCGAGAGTTAGACAAACAGTCAAAGCATTACAATTACTATTTAGCAGTTCCAGAGACATCAAAATTTAGTTTTTGCATCTCGTTTCTGCTTTTGTCACCTCCCACCTCCAAAAGTCGATTTTGAGGCCAATTGGTTGCCCCAACCTGCGATCAGGTTCTAGTTGATCCGGGTACGTGATCGTCGGCTGCAGGTCAGGGCATGCTGGACGTCGCGCTTCACGCATTTTAAACACCCAAACAAAAAAAAGTTGTGAAAGCAACAACGGCATTCCTGTGCCACAAATGGTAGGAAGTGGTTCCATTTAGAAGGCGAGATTGGGATGACGAACAGACATGCGGAGACTTTGCTTGTTTAAGCAACGACGTGAAGTCCACATGATAATTTTGTTTTAATTTCTCGAGAAAACTTAAGGTAGAAAAAAGATGAATTAGCCAATGAAAGTGAGCCATCGTTTTGGATTTACTTCTCATTTTCGTGTATTGTCGGTGAAGAGGAGAGCAGTGAATTTGTCACGAAGGCAGTTTCTGGGCAAAAGTCGAGCTGAGTTGTGGGATCCAAATGGCGGAGGAGGTAAGGTGCATGCCTAGGACTGTATTCTTAGGCTCAAGCAGGGTCAGAGCGATGGCAGTTAAGTGGTATTTCCTTTTTACAATCCTTTTAAGTTGGATTTTAACTGTCCATAAAACTCCATTACTAAGTGGTAGGCTTAAATGCCTAAGTAGTATCGTCAGTCAGATGTCGTTCATATACTCGAGTTGCTGTACCCATTCTTTCGAAAACCGCATACCATTCACAGTAAATTTTACAGCTTCTGCCTTTTTATTCTGAGCTTTAAAGCAATTCAATGGTTACTTTAAAGGTAAATATCAAAGTCCTTTGTTTATAACCCCAGGTCTCTTGATTCATCAACTTAAACAACGCTGACGACACGTGAGTTTACTGTCTAGTCTACTTTTAACCTGGACTATCTTTGCATCAACCAGAGCAAGTCATCCCACTGGCCAAGCAGCTGAAACTGGTAGCCGCGGTTTCGAGTCTTTGCGAACACTTCGGGCTTCGTCTGTGTTTACATATTCAGACATATTAAGGCCCATTGTTTATTTTTCTCCCGGCAATTTGGCTTTTCAAATGTCCAAACTATTTGTGTGACACGCATGTAATAGCTTTGGATTGAATGATCTCTCGCAGTTTCGTTTCCTGTTTCACCCTAGCCTCCTACCTCCATATTCATGGATCCCCCAATTGATACACATTCAGATGTCGCTTAGAATTTTTAACCATACATAGAAGTCTTCTATTTTGCGTTTTCTACGCCAAGGTGGGACAGTGAAACGATGATGATCGCCGATTCGTTACCAAGAGTGACTATGGAGGCTATGCCAATGGTTCACATGAAGCCAGAGATGGACTTCAAGCCCGAGCCTGATCGCTACATCGCCCCACTCTACAAGACCTCCACACGAGCCGGGGTGCTCTCCACCACTGGTAAGTCTTACTGACGTCTGTTTTGTGCTTATGCCTTGTATATTTTGTTACTGTCAGTGATACGTCAGTGTTACTCCCAAATTTTGCTATATGGTTGTGCGCAGCCGTTTTGGGAGACTGCTTGAGTTTGAAACAACCCAATAAACGCCGTAAACCATTAGTCAGAGGATAACTGTACTGTTAGATGGTGAAAATGCTGGTGCGCTACGAGAATGTGACAGTCAATATTCCTCTGACACTGTGGCCGGGTCCACATTGAATGTGAAGCAAATGTTCCTAGTCGGGAGAGGATTTGCTTTTATCAATAGCGCAGTATTTTGAACCATCGCAGATGGTTTTGACCTATCATTGGTAGTAAGGGTGAACGACTCTTGGCAAAGCAACAGTCTTGTTTGTAATCACTTTGTCGTAGGCCTCAGCAGTTTATCCATCTCCGGTATCATCAACAAATTTCCACGATCTTTAGTCATCGAAAGGGCTCCACCTGTCATCAGACTTGACAACGCGACATGTTTATGCCATTCACCCTTATGCCATGAAAAGCGGGAAGAATTGGTAATATAACCAGCCCAGTTGTCCATCGTTGTGGTGTCTGGAGCCTTTCCTTAAGTTCTAACAAGGCATATAGACGTATTATTTGTGAACCATCCTATCACCGCCACTAATTTGATTCCTCAAGTCTTTCTTAAAACTGCAAAAGAGCTACAGAACCCGTGTAGTTAAAAAAGCACTGATTCCTTGTGGTAGAACGATGACCCTTGGCAGAGAGTTGCGTTATTCCTCCAACGATTTCAATTTGTGGTCAGAACTTTTACAAATTTCTGACTTACTTCTTTCATTTAGTTATTTTGAGGGTTATTTTCCTGATTTATTGTTGCAGAACGGTTTGACATGGGCCAGCACGGTCTGTTGTGCTATTTAGTTGTGGCTGAAATCATCCTTCCCTAACAGATTCTTCTATTTTGAGTTGGAATACCCTTTTGACCTCAGCTATCAAAAAAGAATTAGGGTGAAGTGAGACCCCGGTGTGCTGAAACACCTCCTGTTGACAGTAAATATCCGCTAGACGAAACCAATTTCTGATGGTTTTTTTCATGGCTCTTCCTAACAATTCAACTCAACCATCAGATTAATTTGACAAGTTGATAGTACCTTGGAATACTTCCATCCTAATTTTATTCATTTTTTATTCTCCTCACCACTTTTACTTCGGGTGGTCGTCTACTTAAGAGGGCGAATTTAAAGACCAGCCACGAAACCGACCTTGCCACAACTTTGACTTCAGCGTCATGAGCTGGGCTCCTGTTAACATGATTTGACCTGATTTAAAACTCGGGACTTATGACTTAATGCAACTGAAAAGTTGATTTACTTGCATATTAGTGATAAGACTTGAATTTGCCGTAAGGGATTTCTGAACCGCAATACAGCATTATAGCATGATTGACCACCGATTTCGAAAATCCTGCGAATGATCCAATTTCACAGATAAGAGATGGTAAAACCTCACTTGGCACTCTACTGGTGTCTCAGTAAATGCATTGTGCGGGATCCATTTTCACCCATCAATTGGGTAGACATTAACGAGTTATGAATACGTCATCACATGGCTCTTGGTTTCCACAAACTGGGGATGGGACATTGCTTTAAGGATCGCCTTCGGACGTAAATCTGATGACAAGACAAAGGAACCACAACCTGAGACTATCTCGCCACTTAAAATACATTTTCCCTGCAGGCATCTCGACGAACTTCATTACGGCCATACCGCTGCCAAGTTCGCAGCCGCAAGATCGCTGGATCAGCTACGGGGCCGCTCTGCTATGTGAAAACGAGAATGTCTAATGACTCACACTGAAGCACCGCGGGAAGGAACTGTAATATAGGACTTAGTAGTACACGCAATCATCCTGAATGCATTAAGCCAATTACAAATCAAAAAGGAAACGTAGCCACTCCTTCCATATCCAGAGAAAAAAGCAAGAAATATCGAGGGGTGAAAAGTCCTGTAAAATGCAATTTATACACATTTACTGTTAACGTATCTCTCTATCGCCGAATACACATGTAAAAAACTGCATCTCCGTGTTTATATCTTTGGATATACGGGGAATAGTATGTACAAACACGGACGCATATACGACTACTACACTAGGCGGTGACCTCCTCTTCCTCCTTGTCATCTGGCCTTTCAACGGGCTCCTCATCATCGTACACGACGACATTCCACTCCTCAGTCGGCACTCCATCTTCCCCGCCGACAGTGGTGGGATCGGTCAGTTCAATACCCGCCGGGAGTCGAGATTTGATGGTGGCTTCCACGGTGGGAGACTCCTCGCCTGCTCCAATGTAGTCGGTGTCGTAGTCCTTGTACCACGCCGGCAGACGTCGAGCGCGTGTGATACGACGACTAGAAGGCACCACAGAAAGATGTCTACTCGGCGTGACGGCAGACCGCCTTGTGGCTGCTAAAGCAGGAGCTGAATTCCCCACAACGGTGGGTGGGAGCGTCTCGGTTAACGGCCTTAGAGCCTCCTCATCTCCCCCTCCCACTTGTTCTTCATGTCCCTCCACAATCTTTTGAGGTGCCGCCTTAATCAGTGTGATTGTACGACGAGTAACGTCTGAAGTAACGTGAAAAAGGATAAGCAATTCGAAACTATAAAATCGTAGGCTTCAAACACACTTTCAAAACAGTAAAACCCACTTGTCCCATCTTCAACTGGAGCCAGGTCATCATCCACCTCTTCCTCGACTTCAAAATCCTCCTCGCCTTCAGCAAACTCTCCCGCCTCCTCATCATCTTCCTCTCCGTAGAGTGAGTCAAACTTGCTGCCACGCAAACGTCTCCGTTTGGTGCTGGAGACGTAGCGGGCCGGAGGGAGTGAGACACTGTCCTCCCCATCCTCCTCCTGGCGCCTGTGTTGATCGTGGTGGCGGTCCAGTAGCATGATCGAGTTTGTAGTGAATTCACACTGGCTATAACGGCACTTGAGTCGGCCAACAGCACCTCTAGATTGTCGTGCATTTCGCTCTTCCGCGTGCATGCTGCGAATGTGGGTGTCTAGGTCTTTTTTCATCTCAAAAGTTGACTCGCAGTACCGGCAGACATGACGGCGGTTCACTTTAAGAGCATGAGCTCGAGTGATGTGGTGATTGAGCTGGTTAAAGCCCGGAAAGCCTCGTTCACCGCAAACGGGGCAGGAGATGATTTGACTGCCTTCATGAGCCTTGACGTGGGCTTTTAGTGAGGCCACATCACTAACGTAAGCATTACACGGCAGGCAACGGAACTTGGTTTGCAAGGTACGCACGATGCGACAGCTCCTTGTGTGTTTGTTGAGATTATAGATGCTGTCGAAGGTCAATGAACATCCCAGACATTCTAGAGACAACTAGAAAGGTACGTCATAAATGGGGTGTACGAACTCACCTGAGAAGAAGCCATCATGGCGAAGTGTTCACGCAGTTCATGTTCTCGGGTTCTCAAGTGAGCCAAATAAATATCATAAGACGAAAAGGCTTTGTTGCACGTGTCGCATCGGAAGATTTTGTCCCGATATATGTGGCGATTACGATGTGTTTTCATGTTAGCCTTTTGCGCGAATCTTTTATTACAAACGTCGCAAACAAAAGGTTTCTCGCCAGTGTGTGCCCGTTTATGGTGTTCCATGGTGCCGCCGTTGTTGGTCATATAGTTACACTGGTCGCAGTGAAACTTGTAGTTCGCCGGATTTCGCTTGGGCTTTTTGGGATCAACGTGACATCTACGAGCATGCAAGAAGAGTTGACTTAGCGTCTCGAAAAACTCTTCGCATTGACGGCAAGTGTAGACCTTGACAAAATGCTTTTCACGCATGTGTTTGGTGAAGGCGTTAGCGTTTGAATACATAGCAGGACATGAAGGACATTTATAAGTTATTCCGCCGGGCTGCGTGCCAGCCATTGTCAAAATACCACCAGAACTGGAAACAATGCCGGGAGCACCATAGTAGGTCTTAGTTGCAGGATCGTAAAACTGCATCTGTTCGGGAGACACCTCTATTATTTGCGTTCCATCGACGAGAGTCTGGTCCCCCAGCTAAATGACTTGTTGGATAATACAAATCGGTCAAACCTGAACAAATTCTGTACCCCCCTCTCCAGTAACGGTTGTGACGGCCCCAGAGGCGATTAGACTCTCCAAGGTAGCCATATCCAGATTGTCGTCCGCAGCTATTAATACCATATCTTCACCATCATTTTGGATTCCCAAGTCGTTCAACGACAGATAAACCTGTCCATTTTCTCCGGTAGCCGCGTATGGTACAGCGGAGTAAGTTCCATCAGGATTCATGATGACAGACGTAGTGTCTTCGGATACAATCTGCTCGGCCATTCTGTCAGGAAATAAAGAAACTCATTGAGCGAATAGATGTAGAACGGAAACGTGTTAACAAAGGGGAACAAAGTTATGATGTGAGGGGCTAGATATCTTCTAAAAGTAGCAACAAATGTAACGCCCATAAAATGCGTTAATACAAACAAAATTAAAAGCAATTTAAACAACAAATCTCGCAGAACTCAAGGCCAAAATGGCCGATAATGGAAGACGCAACCGATGCCAGCAAATGGCGCACTAAAACAAAAATTAGAAATTACCCAAACTTATTTTTTAAAACAAAAAACCTATATTTAGTCATTAAAATTTTGAATTTTACTTTTTTTAAAAATTGTGTAGCGAGAAGCACACACGTCCAGAGCGGAGGTCACTTAAACCCGCCAGCGAACAACTTGGACCGGTTTACCACGGGCCGAGCCGAGTGGGTAGAGCCCTCAGCAGACGCACTTTACTCCGTTAAACCTACTGCAATCTAGGGGAGATAGGGCAAGCAACTACACGGTCGGATTGGGGGGCTGACCTTACCATGGCAGGATCCGCGTTCGTACACACACCATCGAAGAACGCATCAACGCCAGCAGTCGCACATACTAGCGTTTTCCCGCACATTCCTATTTCCCAAGTATTGTAAAGATATAGGCAACCTGTGGACGCTTCCCATGTGCGCCACCAGCTCTACATGACTATTTGCACGACAAAGTCGCGCGCACCAAGATACTGCATATCAGACATTTGTTTTAGCACATCCGCATTAACGTAAAACAGATAATGGTAAGAGTTGTATAGGCTGATAGGTTTAGAAAATTATAGAATTATCAACTTGGGCGTTACGACTAAGCTTACAAAAAAAGCATATAAAATGAAATAAGTTTAAAATTTTCCATTTTAGTAATGAAACGTTCCCTGAACTTTGAATTCCCTTGCTTTTTAGCAATTGATCTAATCATTTTTTTGTAAAATTTCTTTCACAAAATATCTGACGATTAGGAAGTTAAAAATGCTTGTTTTCCACACTTCAAGCAAAATACTTGTAATCCAATTTTTGAAACTTGTAGGCTAGGGTGTTGAGTTTAATTAAAAACGGTGTTTCTATTTTATTCTTATGTCGTTAAGATTGTTTAAGGTACCTTAAAAAGTTTATTTTGCTTATTCCTTTAGCCAAACTCGTTTCACTATGGTAATGTTTTCGTTGATTTCTATTTGCTGTTTTGTAAAGTTAGTTTGACTTAATCAATTTGTTAGAGACAGAATATATGTAGCCTCCCAAGACTTCCCTGAGGACGAATGGAGATTTAATACCGAAGTTGAATACATATACTCGACGTGCCTTAAGGTTTGAAGCTACCAGCAGCCCATTAGCCGAAGGTACAATATCCAAGACACAAAGTGACCCTTTTACCAAAACCGAGAGTTAAACGGTAGACTTACTACATAGCTCTCTTCTCACTTGAGCCGCATCCCCAAGCCTCCCCCCCCCCTTGGTCAACGTCTCGCGTCAGCCATCACAACGTGGTCGGGTCTGTAGAGAAAACACTCACGTGCCAACCGCGCCAGTCATCAGTTTTATGCAAATGAGATGATGCTTGAAGGCAGCGCCTATAATTCCGTTTGCAGTTCAACTTGATTTGCTGATTCGTTTGATAGGGAAACTGGATTTTGGGATAGGATACTGTGTTGCCCATGACGCATGTCCATGCCTAGTCGTTAAAGCACTGATCTAAGTGCATATTTATATCTAAGAGGACGGAACTTAACCCAGTTACGTAGAGGTAGAATTTCGTATCTGTTCTTCCTTGTTACTTTGTTTTAACTTCAAAGCTCTCCAGCCAGATCCGTTGGGGTTCTATTAAACAAATGGAGAAGATGAGGAAGTGTCGATGATTTGCATTATTGATATCTTCATCTAGATACAGTAGGTGACTCCGTAACCATTTGCTAATAACTTCCCTGCAGAACACAGGACCTGGGTGGTTGCCGAAAGTAGACGCCAATTTCAGCCCCTTTGTTCAAGGTAGCCATAAATTCATCCATCCGCCTTGCTGAAGTTAATCACTGAGCAGTTAAAAGTAGGACAGATGTCCTTTATAATCGGGTTCACTTTTAATTGCCACCAAGACTTCTCTGTAGTCTAAGTACGTTATTTGGGTAGAGCATATAAGCAAAGTACGGTAGGGCTGGGGCTATTGATAGTGCCCAGAGGTCAACTAACAGAGCGAATGCGAAACAGCCAGGACAAACAGTTACCCTTTACCAAAACCGACAGTTATGCAAACAGCCAACGTATTACAAAATGTGATCACCATTGATCACTCCAGCATTTTAGAGTGACAAAAATTACTTATCCTGACGTCTGTTTTTAAAGGATTGTATATAAAATGGTTTTACTAATTATGTACTTGATTCTCTTGTTGTTTTTAAAAAGTTCTTTCTCTGCTTTTAATTGGCCTCTAACCGTGCGGAATATTCGAACCCGTTCTCGGAGTCGTTTCGTTGCATGGGTATCCATTTATATCTGATTCTCATTCTTTTGTCAATATCATACTTAAAATGAACAATGCAGCTTACATAGTTAGTCGACTCTTCGTTAATCTAATTTATTACACTCTCAGTTTGGAGCTAGTGTGCGTTGTGCCCCCCACCTATGACATTTTAAGATATCTGATATTTCAATTTGATTCCCCTCATATTTTATTTTTACTCCAGCTTTTCAACGAAGTATCTCTGTTGAACTAGAATAGACATGGTGCCTGGGTCTTCCGTTGAGATTTCTCGAAGCCTTTCGCAGTAAGTCACCCTTTTGATACGTCCATGTAAATCGATTTCGCTGCATAAAATAGGTCCAGGTGACGCAGCCGTCTGTAAGACACTTTACAGTTGTTCGATCTGTTCTCCTTACATTGGACGAATGAGTACGATTTCTTGATAGCCCCGCGCATTAGTGACATCCTGCTTCATACTTCGTATACCTTAGGCCTATCGATTTTACTGGGGTAAAAGCACGAACCACTTTTGAACGCTAATTGTAATAACTGTAAACTGTCCTTGGGAAAGCATTAGTGAATTTTAACAGCAAGGCCCTGCAGACACAAATTCCGGGCAGGGGTCAAAATGGCTAGGAATCTCCCTTTTCGGTGCACTCTTAAAATTAGATCGTGGATCATCGGATTATCTGGCCTCTTTACTGCTTGTCCATCGTAGCTCAAGCCGAACTAGAGAACAGACTGTTTCTTCAAATTTACCCTCTACGTTGATGGTACGAAGTTTAATCATGCCAGCTACGCTGCTGGTCCTCCAACCCTTTCGCACGTTGGTAGATAAGATACCTTCGTGCTCGTGCCTCAGCGCCCTCCGGAGTAACCTTGATGCCGCACTGCGTCGTTAACCTTTGGATAACAGTATCTGCCAGCCTGAGCGGAAGATCGGATGCCTTGTGTAAATTTTCGGCCAAACGTTCCCGACATGAACAAAAAACGCCATGGATGCGTCGCATCTGCACTACTTTGTACCATCTGCTTCAGTGAACGGGTACTGCTTTCAGGCAATGAATCCTTCAATACGTGATTAACATCCAGCACGCGGTCACTTTGGAACATCGTCGGGAAAACGAGCACTCGTAATGCAGTTGGCTAACGGGATCTGGGAGGTGAACCCCCCGAAACCCAATGGATTCACGACTGTTGGCGAACCTTGAAGGCCTCCTGATGTGGTAGTTACTGTGTGACACTCGCCCCTGTCCCGTGATTGATGCTGGTTCCGTCGAACGCTCTCTTGACGCTCAGTGTGAAATTAAGTGATTTATGTGCCATTATGGGACTGCTCAGACTTCCCATGCTACTAGTCTACTTTGGGCCCACCAGCCGACTACTGGTAGTTTAGTAGAGCCCTAACCCATGGGACTGGTGGGATTGGTCCCGAGGTACGCACGTCGATAGTAAAATTACTTCCAGGCTCTTACCCCTCATGGCGTATACTACCCTGCCTTCCGTCATTAAACAAAACGAACTACTTTTCTTAATCTCTGGGTCCTACATTCATGTTCACACAATCTAGCTCACCGAGATGCCTCAGCTAAACAACAATGGAGAAGGCATGATTACTAGCAGGACTAATTTCAAGAAAGTGGTTGGGATGTTTGCCAGAAAGTGGGCAATATGTCCTCAATTATGGTCACACTTTTGATGGGGAGGAAAGTTTTAGTGAGAGCTTGTACATTTTTTTTCACTTGGGACGTCGGTATGTGGCCGCTTGGTAGTTTAAACACGCATGAAAATGAGGTCCCAAACTGGCAAGAAAACTCACGCCATCGTGCAGTAGTCAATCATCACTTGATTCCCCACCCTCCTGTGGGTCATGAAGCCTGGAAACAAAGAGATTAACTTTCGAGCAGCTTACCTTTCACACTGCTTCCGTTGAGCACTCACTATCATCTGCCCGATGCACCTATTCAGTGCAACAACGCCGATGCTGCTGGCTGGAGTGAAACTCTTTTGCAGTTCATGGGTCAAGTTCAACGCCCGGACGAAATTAAGCGAATCGGAGACTTGTGCGTGGAATTCCTGATGTAACAGTGTTTAAGTAATGTTTGTGGGCAGGGGACTTGGACAAACCTTAATATGTTGCCGGGTTCGTATTTGAAATATCCGCTTGCGGTTAACAAGCACGTAGGCTACGGCGAAATTCATGAGGAAGGATGGGGGATGCACCAAAGTGTGGTCCCAGAGGCTGAGCCAGTCATTCTCGGCCAGCACTCGAGTGAAAAGGCTTCTCAGCAGGGGCCAAATGCAGAGCTAGAAGAGAGGGACGTTCGCAGATGACTATTATGTATCCACAGTGTCTGTGACTCATCTAGCTCCTCGAGAGTTAGCTTGAGCACTTTGCACCGAATCCTTCTATTTACGGGAGGTCACGATCCAAAAACTTCCAACACCAAACAGTAATTAGGGCTTGTTTGGTCTCCACGTCGGTGGCTGTGAAACTGCTCATGCTATAAATATGCACTAAGTCCCCGGCGTTCCTGGGAGCTAGCAGTGAACCCACTCTTGAGAGGTAACAGGCGTTGAATTAGCAGTAGAGGTGGTAAATTTTATAAATGGGGAACATGGGACAGGGAGTGTTCAAAAAAAGGATGCGGACGACGTATTAAGCTGGCATTTGCTCTAATTTGGTATCTTGGCTACACGAGAGTAGGAGCGGAGTTATACGAGTCTTTTTGGTCTATCGCAATTTGATCCTCACGCTGGCGGCGCGCAGTCCTGCCCGTGGCACTCATGCTACAGTTTTCCCAGCTCTTCTGAGTGTTGGTGATTAAGCACGCTCCAGCCTCGTGCATTAGAGCGCCTTCAAGGATGTTTCAAGCGCTACATTGGTGATAGCAATTACGAACAATGGGACATCTTTCGTTATGGCTTTAAAGGCATCTGAGTGGATCGGTTAGTTACCATAGAAGGCGCATAATGTGGGTGGCTGGATTCGCAAGCACGAGTCAGAATTTTTCGTAGAGTTGCTCAGAATATTGGCGTGAAAATCATGAGCAAAAAGTTGGATCGAACGGCTAAACTTCTACATGCTGAGAAATTTGGCTGAAGTTGAGACTGAATCCCGGCAAGCCACCTCATACTTGTGTGTCACTGGATGCGTTCAAAATTTACACAAATGCTCCTGCGAAAATGGATTGCGATACGAAATCATCCTGGTGCAAAACGTCGTCTAATTGTAAGCAGCTGTCTTCAGATAAGTCTCTCTCAATGCACTTGGATGACAGAAAGTATTGTATCTACGAGATGTGTCAATGTTTCGTAGTTGGTTTTATTTCACCGAAATGCTATTAAGATGGCCAGCAAAGGTGGAAAACCATGTAAATTGCTGAAGACAATGCACATAATAGGATGGACAAAGTGCAGCTGAACTGTCTTTATATGGGGCACATAGGGTATCGCCCGGACCTTTTTAGCCTGCCAAGAATCGGCATTGGTACTGGTCTCCCGGGCCTTCTTGTAGGCCGACAATTAAGTTGCCTCTGGACTACTTACTAATAACTCGAGTGCCACGTGCACTCAAGGGGTATATCATGTCTCTAAGTTCTCACCAAAAACAAAGTTACTTCAGTCAAACAAACCTCTGCAGATAAATCACTACGCAAAAAATGTCGAAGCACTTCCTGATCGCGAGAGGCCAAGGTATCCTCCATAGTGCAGAGCAGATGTTGTGGCGGCGATGGGTAGAACTCGAACAGAGGAGCGCAAAGTCCATCTACCGATCCAAAGCGGCCACATTAGAAGGTAACCACTTACCCAGGATGGCTAAAACAGCCTCGTACGCCATGCAGAGGTGAGTGTCTCTAAACAGCTTCACAAAAGGCATAACGATGAGGGACAAATCAGGAATGCTAGCTAACTTCTTGCGTTTGTGGATGAGAGCTGAACAGACGCTAAAGGGAAATGAGAGAGGGGAGCCAATGCTGCCTACCGCTGAACATCATCTAGGAGGAGGAGGCGGTCGCAGAGGCGGGGGTTATCAGGTATCTGGGCAATAAGAGGATGGAGGCCTTGGGCTGCGTGTTGGTTGAATTGTCTTACGTCACCGCGTAGGCGCAACAAGTGGCACCAGAGAAGTGACCTTTGGTCAGGAAGTGGAAAAAAGTGCTTTTGTGCTACAACAGCTTCACCTGTATGTAACACTGATTTTCCTACTTGCGCCAAATGTTACAAATATGAGACAAATGATTCACAACAGAGGAAAAAGGTTTTTTTTTTTCACTAGCAGGTAAATTAGTCAGCTCAGTGGTTAAAGCGATACCATTATGCTGGAACAGAAGAACCTCTGAGCTGTGCTAGTCGATTTTCCTCTGCGGCGTTGGTGGTAAACATAGACCTATTTTCAATTCTTCGGCTTTGAATTTGCTTTTGTGTAATCAACCTACCTTATTTTATTCAAAACATTAGCATAAAAACGCCTTATTTGGACATCCAGATGGATCCACGCGCTAAAAACTTACCGACGCTCCGAAGGAAAGTGATGGTGTTCAGCGAGGATGCCTCGAAGTTTTTCTGGATTTAAAAGTTGCTCCGACTAGGAGAGAAAATGGACGAGGATAATAAAGTAGGTTTGGCTTTAAAAGAGCATCTCCGTCACAATGAAGTAGAAACGAGCGAGTATGAACAAGGAGAGGTTCATCAAGCCGTAATTGACGTGTTACTGCGTTAGTAATGGATGAGTTGTTTACGAACTCGACTACAGGGTACAACCTAGGTAATGATAATTGTTACAATGGCAACCTTGGCAAATTGGTGGCAAGCACTTTATTTCCCATTGGGGGGTGTTGACAGACCATGAAATATGGTCTTTCCATGAACCTTTCAGTTCTAAGTTTATTTAAGTAAAAGGCTGAAATGTAAAGGACAAAAGTGCAACTACTCGGGTGATACATCTCAACCTTGGCGCATTTCAAAGAGGCCTTATTTGAACGAATAAATAAAGAGCTTCGACCAACCTTGTCGTTGGAAGTGGACGACTTCAAAACCTCCTTTTTCCCTTTATCTTCATCAATCTTATCACCTCTGTTATTTCGGGAGTCGTTCTGAAAGAAATGAATTGAGGTGAGCCACAAACTTGAGAAGACAAAGTGATTAAAGAGGGCGTTCACCATTGGTAAATCTTTAAAAGAATCAAACAATAGCTACTATAAGCCCCTACGCAAAAATAAAGAAATACCGAAACCCCCGCTCCGAATGAACTTTCTAGTTCATTGAGTTACGATAGACAACCACATTGTCTGCCCTTCTAATCTGCCGCCATTACGCGTTCACAGGTTCGCTCCCGAGTTTTTTGCACCACCAAGTATGTTTAGTTTTTTGGGAAATTAGCCAATTAAACACTCTGGACTCAGAAGGAGGGAATTTGATAGAATGAACGCAATTTTAAATGAGGAAATGTTAAACCAATTCAACAATTTTGTCCTCATTTCCACTCTGAAGCTGATAATTGTGAGGAACACTACGAGGTTGGACCAACTTTCTAGAAGTGGCCTCACCGACTTCACCATTTTGCTTGCAATACTCTGCTTACTTAACTCACAGTTTTGGTAACGGAGCGCCTAGGGCTCCCCCATTGTACCTCCGCCGGGCGGCCTGGCCTCCGGGCCATGCCAGTCGCCCCAAACCCTTCTCTACGTCAACAGTGCACTTTCTGTCTGAATGTTACGTCTTCTCTCGTCTTCACGAAAGTCTCGAGGGGCTACATTACGATTACTTCACCCACCAGTAGGGGCGATGCGCTAATCAGTGTAAATATTTCTTGTACTTCCATAAATTCCGAAACCTAATAGAATACTCACCCTGATTTGAGCAGCCTTTCAAAAGTACCCTTTTTAGAGGCAGTGTTGGAACGAGTGTGCATAAGCTATCGAAATCTAACCTTCTGTTCGCCTGCCGTAGAAACTCGTGATTCCGCTTCACCACGACCAAAAGTGACTGTGTTGCTGTTCCTCTGGGCCCACAGATATGATGGAGGCTAAACGCATTAAGACGTATAAACTATTTGAAGACTCTCATTGGAATTTACAAATCCAGTACGAAGGCGCTTCTGATCGAAGCAGCTACTAAAATATACTTCCTCAAAAAACTGGAGGTCAGTGAAAACCAACCTTATGTTCGGTTGCTGTAGGAATTTGTGACTTCACTTCATACTTAGCCGGAGCAGTCTCGAGATTATTCGTCCTGTCCTTCAGAGGTGCTGGTACCTAATTGTACCCGAAAAGCACTCAAAAATAACATACTTTTATGAGACAAATCAATTAACTTTTTGCAAAGAATCAACCCTACTTAGTAGCTAAAGTAAACTAACTGTATCAAGGAAATTATAATGCACAAAATGTAGTAGTAAAGTCGTAAATCAAATCACGAAGATGCATAAGTTGATATGGTGAGCTGCCATGAGCAAATGGAGCAGATTTGAGGTGGATCTGACGGATCTCGCTACTTTCCAACATTCATCTCAAAAGGAGGAAGGGAAAAATCTGTACAAGTATCTCTTGCAAATCTGTGGTCGCGAAACAACAGTTGCCATGACTTCAATATCCATTTAAGGAATTTCTCATAAAACTAAGTAGAAAGTCACTCAAGCCAATCACCCTTTTGGCAACTAATAAGGTGTGATTTTGCCTTTTCTGCGGGAAAAATCTTTCGACTTTAGTAGTGGCTAAGGCTATCAGAAAAAGCCATGCAGATGCCAGAGAAAATGGTGTTTTTTTTGTCGATTGTAAAAAACCCAGTGGCTACCACATATGAGATCCTTTCCCAGTCGCGGGTCGTTTGCATCATAGGTATCTTGATGTCGAAATGATCTTCCGTAGAATAATCCAAACTAAACGCCAACTTTCTACTTTTTTAAAACAAAGTAACATTTAATCATAACCTTACAATTTAAGGCCTTGCATTTACTGGGGAGTATACTGATGGAATGGATAAGACAATGAACGAAATTCCCTTTGGATAACAAACTCTGAGGATTTGGATGTTCCAGATCATTTACACAATGGTCCATAAGAGCAGAAAGGATAATTTTGGTCATTGTTACCATCCACCCGTACCAAAAACCCGCCTTGCTTTTGCTCATCGAAGATACTGGCAATTTATTTTCATGATCGGTGGGCTCTTCTTGCGCATTCGCCCGACCTGTCAGCTTTGGCGACAATCGGTCGCAGTGAAGTAGGATTTTTAAAAAGAGTAGTAAAACTTCTATTTGCTACACGAAAGCATTTGATCTACCATGCGAGACGTATACAAAATTCATTCCCTGCAGCAAAAATTCGGACAAAAAAATTGAAGTAGAATCTTCTTTTATCCTGAATCTTGGTCTAGATACGTCGCTGTACTATTTGCTGACGGAGCTGCTTGACGTTGAAATGATTATCCGCAAAACATCAACATCTCTTGCGTTAATACGACACATAAAGAAGGATGTGAAGCTCACGTTGCGAATTAATACTTCGGGCCTGCCAGAAGATAATTTAACTTGATGACCGGAACGGTAAGCAAAAACCCCACGCAAAGTCACAATGCTACAAACCAAAATTTTGAAATCAGGTAAATTTACACTGCGAGTAGGTGTGATGACTTGTTTATGGTCTGCATAAAGGGCAAAAGTTGGTCCATTTTAATGTTGTCCTAAGAAAACTTTGCACTGCAAACTATCGCATTAAACAAGATTATCAAAGTGCATCCGTTCAAATCACGGAGACGAAGGTACCTCTCATCAGCATTGCCGATTTATTTCAATGCATTTAAGATGCCTGTGTTATTGAACCAACTAAGCACAAAAAGGGAAAATCTTTTTTAAAGGAAAGTAAAGCATTTAGGTGAGCGTGTATAGCCATCCTCGTGTCATTGGTCATTGTGGAAATTCATAAATTCCCTCCATCCCTAGCAGTAGCATCTGCCCTGTTAGCCGTTGATAATTGCCTACGTTTCAGAAGCCGGTCGCATCAAGAAAATTAGTGCATGAAAATAGAGACGGCCATTCCTTCCACCAACAAACAGCGTCATTAAAAATAAAAAGCAAATAGACAAGGCAACAAAAAAATAGCAACTACCCAGTTGGAATTATCTTGACGCGATTCACACCTTTGTAGTCCCATTAATTCTATGAATACCCACCGTCAATCATTAAAATCGGTCCAGGAAAGTGCCCTGGTTTGTGTTTTTATATTCTCTCTGAGAAAAACATATTCTACTTTTAACTATGTCCAAGAAATAGTTTTATTTGATCAAATTCCCCTTTGATTTTTCAAATAAATGTGATGGTAAATTTGTGTAGAAGGCGCTTTCAATAGGTAAAAAGTTATCTGATTAATAAATGCAAGGGTTTGCGAAGTTTACTGAACCTTTTGTCGACAAACTATAACGTACCGACAGCCATTCGTGCTGAGGCCTATAGGGGTCCCGTGTAAATGGGCCATTACCCTAAATGAAGGTCAAAAATCAAATTAAAATATTCAACAAAGAACCTTTTAAATTTCCACAAGTCGAGTTCTTGAGAGAACGAAAAAATTCTTAACTTGGTGGAAAAAATTTGAATTCGCAATTTCAACGATTAAACTTCTGAATGTCAACAACTTTGTGGGAATAGCAATCTTACGCCTTCGTTCTTGGCTTGTAAGATTTAAAATGATGTTCGTTCATCAATGATCACGATCAAATTAAGTAGACTTCGAGTCAGGAAAAACAGCACTTTAGCTTAAACATCTATTTGTTCAGCAGGTAGGCACTGCCAAACCAGATTCTATAAAGCCTATTTAAAATTATTGCCCTCTGGCAGAAAGAGCATCAGATTCGGTTTCAAAGTGTATCACCATCTAGGTCTTGTAGGGATCGCTTTTGCATGCTCCAAAACCCTGTTGGAATGAACGAGGCTTCGGCCACAAACTGTGGCATAGAACAATGCTTACGTAGTAGGTCGAAATTCTAATAGCATTGCTAAGTTGAATGCCAATTCGACCAACGCTGATCTCCAGCAATTTGATCAAACAAGGTGATAGATATTTTTTTTTCTCTGTGAAGTCACAAACAAGTTCCTGAAGGTTGAGAACTTGAACACTCCCTAAATACACTAGTGGTTTTCTCTACTAAATAAGAAGTCATAGTTTCAACTACTCAAGTCACTTTAAAAGTAGCTACATTTTCCCCATATTTTGTGCTATAAATGCAGAAGTGGAAATCTCTCGTCGTAGTGATTCAAAATGCATAAGATGCTGTAAATCTATCATTACATCGGCCGCTCCCAACTCAAAACACTTTTTGGTATTGGCAATTCATGAGTCAGCTTGGATGCTTAACAATGAAACCATTTAAATGACCATTAACGAGATCTCTGTCACACGTACCATCCCATTACTCAGATCTAAGAGTCGAAAACCACCATTTTCAGTGAGTACCGCAACAAGTGAAGATGATGACGCTGAGGGAGATGGAGCCACAGCGAAATCCAGGGCAAGAGGATCCTGAGGCTTCATAAGCATCGTAAATCCGACCCCATTAACAACAGGTGGTACCAGCGTGGGAGGCAGGGAGCGCAAAGACATAAACGAAAAGGAGCTGAGGGACAAAAGGCGGAGACGACCGTCAGAACCCAATAGGAGGAGACTTTCACCCTACAGAGAGAAATAAGTGAACTTAGTACCGAACTCAATTATCTCCTTCGGGAAAAGGAGAAGTTATAATCCGATTCTAAGAATGCTGGCATACCTCCCACTCTTCAGCATTAGTTGGTGGACGAGATAATGTTAATAAGGTTATAAGAAGAGCTGAGGAACGTTTCAAGTACACCCTATAGTTCAGTGCTTGAAGGAGATTAACATCAATAGAAGAGAGCACTTTTGTTTCTTAGACCGATAAGCATGGGATGCTAATCTCCACTTAGAGGATATTTCTGATGGGGTTAGAGATAGACTACGCGAACACCCTTTCATTCCCTAAAGAAGGAATGTCAGTGTTTGTAAATATGATGGCACTTGTTATATCTTAGGCAGATATGGGAACTTCTTCAATAATATCCTAGCACTCCGTATTTAGAAACGGTGCAATTAGTAAAAAGATACACTACACATGAAAAGAAGATCAGAGAAATTTGTTAAAAGGGCGATAACTATACCTAATGAGTAGCGGCCATCCTTTCCTACGATACTACATCGGATAACAGTGATGAAAAGACTGCTATAGACGAAGGCATAATGAATGCCTACCACTTTCTTGTCATAAAACCTTAGCCAAAGTAAATCTACTTCATTAAAAGTAATAGTGAAGTTGAAGGTAGGCAACACTTGGCCAGGGCATACCAATGGATTTTGGCCTTATTTCTAGAATAGTATAAGCCACTATTCAGAATGCAAAAAATGACTGAAAGAAAACCATTGTCATTTTACCTGCCTGCTTATAAAGTAAATATAAAGCTTGGGGGAAATCTCTCATGTATTAATGATGGGACCATAAGTGGACGCTAGAGAACCCACGTTAACAGGCACACACTGCATCTGAAGGACGGGTGCGAAATTCAGTGGCACAACTTCGCAGACAGCTTGTTTTTCAACACCATTGAGGGTGCAAACGACTAAGTGGGGTTCATCACCAGCGGCATAGAGGAAACGACCGTCACTACAAATAAAGCAAAGAAACTTTTTTTGCTTTTCCAAAAAGACCGGTTCATTAGCCTGTGAGAACAGAGCACAATGTCCAGTTCAATTATCTAGAAAACAACTTGAATTAACCCTTAAAAACGTACAAATAAGAACCCGAATAGTAATCGAAAAGTTTGTAAAATGGAAGTAGTTCTACATGAATGGTGGTCCAAAGCATTTCCCTTCCGTCATGTCACTGAGTTGTACTACATTTCATGAACAGGACTCCAACTTAAAGGGGAATTCCTGAGGCGATCTGATTCTGCATATGTTCGATTCCTACACTTCGTCGAAAGAGGGCAAGCAGAAATGCTGATGCAACTACACTCATAAATTCAAGAATGTTCGGATGACTGGTGACTAATACACCTGGAGCAAATCTTGGTCTAAATGGGAATAAATAAAGCCGCAAAACAGTGCCACTAAACTAGATCAAGTGTCTTTCCATCACCAGATGATGGACACATCAAATGATTAAGTCAAACCTAGAGACTACTCACAGGCTGGAGCAGATACATCGGTATTGGCGCAAAGGCGTAGAAGTATTATAGAAACAGCTGGAACATTGGGGTTCGTTCGATTTCCACAGCTTGATTGTGCCGTTTCGGAGACAAGAAACAATAACTTGTCCATTTGGAGGATTGAAATAAGCCTAGGAATGCAACAAAAAGATTAAACAACTTCATTATGTTAATTAAGGTAAGAAAATATGTCCTTACGGCGATGATTTGGGCTGCGCTGTCACGGGGGTATTGACTCAGTCTCACCGCCCTTTGGAGATCCCACAAAGTGATTATGTCGGCGCTTCTTGATAGCATCAAATCCTCGCCTGGTCTTCGCACATCCAGTGTGTAAATGGTCGACTTGTGCATGGTTTCATTGTAATTTAAAACTCTAGTCTCTAAGTTTAAATGAGACGGCACAGGCGCATTAAACTATGCTGAAGCATCACTCAAATCATTTTAAAGAAACTTACTGGGATTAATCCAGCACATTCTTAGGTCACGTGCAGCAGCAAGAATGATAAAATTTCCGTCGTCGTCATAGGACTGGAGAGCAGTCAAGGGAACCTTAAGGTCGATGATAAATTCTGTTTTTCTAGAGTGGAAATCAAAAAGCTATCGACATTACTTGTATTCAGGAAGTGTTGCAGAGAAGAGCTCACCCTTAGAATTGGTAAAATAGGTGATCTCACCGCAATGGGCGAAAGTGACCAGAGTAATGTGATATGCAGGATCTACTCCAGCTGGATTAATGCCCGAAGCCAATCTTAGAAGAGAGAACGGATTATTTCATCAAGGGGTATTGGAGGTTAAGTATCAACAAATTAACATCCGAGTTGAGTGCAAAATTGTATAAAAAATCGACAAACTTCAAAAAAGATAAGAAGACATAATAATGAAGGCAGTATTCTCTTTTAGTTTTAGCAAAACTGAAATGAAAATTAAGTGCTAGCAGAACACTAACAACAAATCCGTTCTAGTCTCGAAATGTTTGACGGACGCTAATTAAGAGTTAATGTACAAAATAAAAAAATTTGTACAAAATAACGTACGGGAGATACTTAACTTCCATAGGTTCTTCAAGTGTTTGCAACGAATCGGCCATCTGAGAGCAGTAAGATGACTAAATTATGGCAAGAAAACCCAAAAAGTCACAACAAGAAACCTAAAAATGGGTTCGCACTTCTGGTAGTTTTGACATCAATATCCTCGAAATAAGTTTGAACACTGACAGATGCGGTCGAATCGATAAATATGACTCGGATGGTCCAATAAGTTAAAATAACTAAAACGCTCCCAAGGTGCAATCACCAACATGCCCACAAAGGCACCCATTCATATAAGATTTCAAAAAATTAATGTCACAAACAAGAAATACTGGCGTTCGTGCTGCACTGAATATCATACGACTATTTAGAGCCATGTTAAATACGAAGATCAGGGGCTGGAAACCTTGTAATTTTATTATCCCATGTTTCCAGGGTGTTAGCCCAGAGGCACAAAGTATAATAAATAAAGACATTAAGATATTTGCGACTGTAAAGCTACTACAAAGGATTACATCCACCGACAAAGACAGACGTACAGCGAAAGCATAGATTTTCGTAATCGTACGATCCACTTAAGATGTACTATTGTGCTACCAAACAAAAACGGTAACTTTTGCAATTACTACTGTTAATAGCAAGCAAAACAGGCAACATTTTTATAAATAGGCCACTGTTTTGTCATTAGATTATGGATGGAGTATTTTGCACTGTGACCATTTACGATCCTGTGCAATTCATCATTCATTTTACTTTAAAAATTAGTCCAAACTTTTGAGAATGTCTTTTAAATACTATGCACTAGCAAGTAAAGTAAATTTTGATAGTCCCTTAACTTTTTTGCTAAAGTCTGTGATGGTGATTTGTGTGTGCTTCGACGTACGTAATTCAGGAGAAGCTCAATTTTGCATTTATAACTTTTGGTGTATTTTAACCTATTTGCAACATGCTTTTCCCTTGCATTGATCTATTTTTCCCACTGTATGGGTGCTATTGGTCCACCTTTCTTCGCGACCTTTGGCGAGTCCACCGGGGCCGCATTGACCCAATTTCTGGGATGGCTGTCCACGCGAGTGGTTTGCTTTTGGTCCTCTGTACTCTGTACTTCGTCGCTCCTTTTAAGTCACTGATTTCATGGCATCCCCTCTTCATGGTGCTTGGTCTTTGTGGTTTCTCTTTGCAAGGAATCATCGTCTTTAACAAGTACAGCTCCCTGGTTCCGAATGCCCCAGCTCATAGAAAGGTAACACATCGTTATTTTTTCCGCATATTAGTCTATATCTATGGAATTTGTTCTAAATAAATAATTTGTTCACAGTACACCCTCCATTGGCTCTTACAAACATTGGGTCTACTGTCAATCTTAGCTGGATGCGCCGTCATCTTCAAGGTAAAAAGTGATGGCAACAAAAGCCACATGACGACATGGCATGGATGCTTGGGCTACGCTTTCCTGTTACATGGTCTCTTACAATCATTATTCGGTGTCGTTAAACATTGCGCATTCCTACGTCCTTGGATGAATCCGCGAACCTTTCATCAAATTCACGCGGTTTCTGGAGCCGTCTTCTTTTCTCTCGGCTGTTTAGTGACCGCCTTGGGCCTCCACAGTGACTGGTTCCAGCAGAAAGTTCTTGTGGACGTCATCCAAGACCAGGGTGTTCGCCTACTCATCGGCTATTTCCTTACCTTCCTTCTTGGTCTTTTGGCAATAGTGGCTCTCAAACAGGTTTATGACAAGTACTTTTCAAGCACTGGAGGCAATAAAAACACCTCAAATGCTCAGTCGAAAAAGCCAAAGAGGTCTAATTGATCGCAAGAATACACTGAGGAGCAATGTGGACTTGTGCATTTACTCCCTCTGCATACGATCTCGGTTCTTTTATGGTACGCCTGTTTTCCGCCCGATGTGGTTACCTTTATTTTGTTCTTCTATATGTGCATGTCTCTTTTCGTCTGTTTCCTTTTGCTCCGATTGTTGAAGGTATTTGGCCTGTAGTTTTTCATTCTTGATTCATGATAGGTCCTTCAGCTCGTTCTTTTGACGTTCAGGTCTGATGTAGGGAAAGTCGGTTAAAATGCGCCAATATGACCTAATAGATAAGATCTTCTGAAATGGTGAAGCAGTAGTCTTACGCTATGTTGGAGGCCGCGATCACTTGTGCAAAAGTAGAGCCTGTGTGGGTTGGATACAGTCTTCATCAAATTTAGTGAGTATGCGCTGCAACAAAATGTTTAGAAACTCTGGTGACTTTTCAATGAATGCAATAATTTTACGCCTATGAGTTGTGAGAAGCTGCGTAATTGCTCTGTTTTCACATGAGAAGATACTCTGTCAGTAATAGGGGTGAATGGGTGGACTGATGGATGATCCTGAGGTACAACTCATCCTATTCATGGTATGGTGCCTGATTGGTCCATGGTCGGCAGAAGCGTATTCCAACTGTCCTGACAACTGCTCGAAGGTCAAGGCCAATAAGTTTCCATAAGTTCATACAAATGGAATCACTCAGACCCATATTCATTCTCCCACTCCCTGTCTTATAGTCATTAGCACGTGCACCCTGGCAATACCTCCTTCGTGCACTCGACTCTGAGATCGTTATCCGTCATTTGTCTGGCCGGAGGCCTCGATGATAATCTGAACACTCGGTTGCAGCAGCTCCTCATTGTAAAATTGGGAACTCAGTTTACGATGGCTGTCAACGCACCCTACAACTAACGGCAACTCAGTCTGTGACAAATATCAGCTTTATTGTCTCAAAGTTAACTAATTGGTTTACAGAATAGATTCTTCCCATAGCTTGCTGGAGGGATGCATAGCACGTGGTCACAACCCCCAGGATAGGATGAGTGTATTAGGGCGCGACATCTATGTAGCGCCGGTAGCAAACTTGTCAAATGCCAAAGAATTGAGTAAGAATTTGGCCTATTTGCTATCCTTCCAATAAGAGCAAAATAAATGAGAATAGTGTTTATTTGAAAGCGGCGTAATGAGGTACAGGCCCATAATCAGCTGTGAATCAACTAAGCGACGGTAGCGTGATCTACTGGTACATGGGTGAATTATGTCAACAAAATCTTCAGGCTAGGGGGCCAAAAACGGAATTTTCATTTGAGACGAAGGTAGAATGTCCAATTTATCTTGTGCCAAACATACCACTCCGGTTAGAAGTCAGAATCTCCCTAGAGAAAAGGACATTCTCCCCGTTAGTGTTTGTTATTCTCAAGTAAAGAGTCACAATGTGTAGGACAAACATCACTGAAATGCTCTGGCATAAATACCACATGGATTTTGATTCAGAAATAGAGAAATGACTTCGTTGACTACTACAGCATTAGGTATCGAGATGGTGACCAGAGTTTCTTACTGAAATCGCGTCAGTAGGTATTTCATGCCCTCGTAAACCCCGGAACCGAAAGCGGCCTTGGCCTCGACCGCGGTTCTCTGGATCACGTCTCTTGGAAGCTTCTCCCTCAGGTTCTCACCAGCATAGACGTAGAGCTATACAAAACAAAAAATTGGCACATATAAGATTGCTTTTTTAAATCATCTTTTGGACTTACATGAAAGATGTCATTGCCCAAAATACAAACCAACTTTTAAAAATCCATAAATTCGGTCAAGTAAGGCATTTGGCAGGTTGTTTTGAGTGCAGCATGGATTAATTGATGCTATTAAGAGGTACTAATAAAATGGGGGAAACTTACAACTCCATCGGCTTTGGAGTAGAAGACAACAATTTTATCCGATTCAGACTCGCACATGGTGGGAAGCCTCCATGACCCGAACAGGTAGTAGGTGAAAATGGCCGCGTAGTTAATGATGTTTTCATCAGATTGATCCTCCACCACTCTATGAAATTTGTAAACAATTGCAAGGTATTTTCAGGTATTTCGACAGCTCCAAAGTGAAGTTATTAACAGATTTTAACGGTTTTTTGAGGTAAGGTTAAAAGATTTACTGACACTTAAGTATTTGGCTTTTATGTGTTTCCATGAAATACTCTAGGATTTCGATGGCGTCCTGAAGGAGTATGAGTATTCAGTGGCCAATAGAGCACACAAATTGTACACTTTGACATGCCCTTGAAAACACCATCAGCTTAATAGCATAATCCCTGAGAATTTCCAACACCCGGTGCTGTGTTTACCATTGTAAGTGAAAATTGTTTAGTTCAGCCACATCGGAATGTATTCACACACACATTGGCGAATAGTCTATACCTGTGTTGGCACCTATTCAACTGGCAAAGAGGGGCGGATGGATGCCTACAGCCATCTCCGTTCATCTATGCTTCTAGTAGGTAAATTATGCGGGTTTTCAAGGACTCCTGTAGACCATTCCTCTAAGTCAAACAGGCTCGTCCACATCTCCCTTAAACATGCCTTTTTGATTGAAAAATCGCTTTACCTAGGGGATAACAGATTCAGGAGACGTTATTTACAGCAAATCAAAAGGTGAAGGTCTGTTTAATATGCTTGTCACTGGCGTGAGTTATTCACCACTGCATCACAACTGGCTTCATCGAATAGAATGCGGATTAGCTGAATATATAAGAAAAAAGTAGTTATAAGAATTCCTACGTCTTGCATTTTCCCTGTTTTTAAAAAGCCCACCTTTAAATAGATCTTCTCACTTATAGTCTGTGGTACCAGTTTCAAGGGTTTAAACAGGAGTTTTGATTGACCGGCTGAGAGAAAGAGCACTCATTTCAAAGTACAGGATAATGAAGACTTTTACTATTTAGAAATAACTGCACCCGAGAATAAAAACCTAAAAGGTCGCTCTTGGGACATGCAGAGACCTCAAAAAAGTGAACAGAATCGAACGCACACTCTGAGAGGAATCAGAGATAATTAATGCTCCAGAGTGTAGTATTTTTAAATCACTGTTTTCTCTCCACTTCAGGGGTACACAAGTCTTCTTTCAAAAAAGACCTGACACCTCCGATCTCTTGACCTTTAACCAAAAGAAACCCGATACTCTTTTGTCCTCGCAGTAGCATCACTGCCACAAACAAAGGTAAGAATGTCTTCAAGAGTCCATAGTGGGAGTATTTGTTTCCATCCACGACTTTTTTAAGCAACGAGCATCTTGGACTTCTCTTTAAGCTCCAAAGCGATCCAATGACTACGGACTCAAAGGCGTTCTTGAAGGGTATTAGAGGTCTTGATTGAAGTCTAATGTTCCGTCAAGGAAACGAAGTGATTTCATTAAAAACGGTATCTATTTGACTCGAAGTTAGGCGTCTCGAAACCAACTTCTCAGCTACAATGTTTTGCGCAAATGCGATGTGGAGTGTATCAACGTCGCGAAGTGCCAGCGTTTCCTTCTTCGGAATCAAACTTCCCAATTCTCTAAAACCGATTGAATCTACTCAGCTGTAGACGGTCGAAAGAGAAGAATTACAAACGCATAAAAGTTGAAGTGTTTGGAAACTGTAAACTTCAACCGTTAGGAGATGAGTCGCGTCAATTAATTCAGAGACATCATCTCCTGTCGTTTAGTTAAAAAAAAAGCGTGAAAATGAAAAATGCGTGCAATAAGGGCAAAAGCACATTGCCACTTCGTGTGCCAGTGAACTGAGCCGATAGTGGGAGGGCTTCCGATTCACTTCACTGGAAAGCTTTCAGTTGGTTTATTGTTAGCTCGAAGTCGGAAGTGAGAGCAGTGACCATTGGGTGTCCTCGCGGATCTCATGCACTCCTCAAATAGTACACACAAAGTCGTCCGTTAAACAAATACGCAGTGTGATAGCATTTAAAAGTACGAGATCGTAAAAAAATCCAGATTCAGCGTTGTCTACTTATTCTAGCATTAGTTGACACCTCAGTATTTAAGGTGTGCCAGTATGGCATAGGAGCAATGTTCCGATTGACATTAACAGGACAGACTGTGATGCGTATGCCTCCTGGAATGATGAAAGGTGTCCTACCTTCATTCAACCGAAGAGCCTCCCGCCTCCACCAATTCAAAAGTATTTCTATAGCTCAATTCGGCATTTTATCTAATGCGGACAACAATTAAAGTGTCTGGAATTTCAGAACTTTCAGCACAAATTCGGATTCTGATGTTGTGGTATACAATCAGTGGAACGACGTCAATTAAACAGTCCTCGACGAAAGTCTCCGATAACGGATGGTCGGTAGCGGGTTAATCAGAAATACTTTCCCCTTTTGTATCGAACACTCTCACTTGCGTATTGCCTTGCAGATGAAAAGCAAAAAATTACGACATTGGGGTCACCATCAAATCTGTCGCTTTAGATCGCGTGAGTTTTCTCGACCAATTGCAGTGAGGTCCCAACGCGGTGTAAAAAGACATCAAAAGCAGATTTTTTCACTCCTTTACTCATATCCCCACCTTATAAGGAATTGTTCACTGAAAGTGTGAAGGGCAGCAAAAGTTCACATTTGGTGCCCCAAAAACGCATGAAGACTGTCTGATTTCTCACAAGTCGCAGTTTTTAAATTTTCGAGTGGGTTGTACGCACAAACAAACGCCACTGCTGGAAAAAAATCAAAAAGGTGGCTTATTTTGGACAAGTTCTGCTCAGTAAAGGATTTAAATGCTTTTGTGCGGACATTTCAAATGGATTAAGAAAGTAATTGATATAAATTGCAGATGTCTGCGTTCTTACCTCCTTCTTTCATGCTTGAAAAAGGACATCTGAGGAACAACAAATGAGGAAAGTATTATTCTTGAAGGAGTTTAAATAACAATGCCTCATGGAAAGGCAATGCCTGACAATTGACACAACTGTAATACTTACCCAAAACGCAGACGATCAACAAATGCAACGGCAACGGTGGGACGAGGGTAGCTCCGGTCACATTTGCCTCGATCACTGTTGATTTTCGATTTCATCTCCATTAACTGTCGATTTAATGACATCACTGAAAGACAAAAAAGCGGAAAAATTCAATCCCCTTTCTTCCACATTCAAAACCACCCGTATGCCTATTCGAGGTTGCCCTTCTTTGGGTCGAATCGCTGGATTTCAGGTGGCAGGAGATACATGGAAGAAAGATGTGACGTTTTGCTAATTGAAGCTTTCACAAGATTTAACACGGAGCATCCAGAGGAATCTTCCGCCATGCGAAGACCCTTTTTTGGTCGTGTAGTAGGCCCCGGGACTTGCGTGTGCATGCGAGAACCGAAACACAGGACTGACGCAAATTGGCACCCAGCGTTTTTCGTTTACCAGTTTTTTAAACAACTTTGCCCCATTGTTTACATTTTTACAAATTTGTGAAAAAAAAATCACCCAGAGAGATGAGTTTGCCCTAGACTCTTTACAATTTTTGACTCCAGAGCCGACTTTAAAGCTTGTAAAAAACGGAGGAGAGGGCACCAAATGTTTGAGTACCTTCAACAAACTTTGGTCGACAGTAGAAGGTGAATAAATTAAGGCAGTGCAGTTACACATCGTTCGAAAAAAAAACGGCTAAAAGGAGTACGAGAAGTCCGGGATTGATGCCACAAGACGGCCGAAACACCTGCATGGAGGCGAATCTCAGCTCTGCAAACGATTTATTTACTATCCATTGTTTACTTTTGTCCTGTCCAAATCGCCGATGAGTTGACCATAAAACAGTGGCATTTGGGGTCGCAAATATGCACTTCTGAGGTCACGGTGTATCGTTAAGGCGTGAGAACTGGACTTTGAGCCTGGAAGGGTCATTTCCGTGTTCGGGGTGAATGTCAAATCAGTTCATTTGAAACCGCGTCGTTTGATGGAAGGAATTGGCGGATTTGTCCCCATTACCAACTCCACTCTGACTGTGAATCCAAGGTCGGACATAAAATGTGGTTGTTCAGCAGCTATTTTCAAGACTCTATAATGGACCACAGACAGGAGAGGTCAGCCTGTAAATTCATTCAATCAAAAGAGGGGCTATAGAACACAAATTTGCAGAAGTGCGGCTTTTATGGTCCTCCAGGTGACCAAGGTCCAGACCGAATGAGGTGGAAGGGAGGGGAGATGGGGACCAGAGCAGACGCACGTCTCTTTGTTTACTCTCATTAACAGGGCAGGTGATGTCTGCTAAAATGGCTTTCCGTAAGCACACACACTACGCCGCCATCAGTCATTTGCGGTGTTTACCAGTTAGGAAATGTGTTAGTTCAAGTGACCGCCGATTGCGACGTTACTACCCGGTTCAGGGGAGGTCGGGCCACAGTCGTTCAGTCAACTGTACTGGGGCCCGTATAAGTCCCTTCATCCTGTCAAATGCCACACTATTCTTCGTTTTTCAATTGTTTAGAATACCCAACAGAGTCAGACAGTTGTTTATAAAATGAAACTGGCTCCTCAGCTTTTTTTTCTATGGAAGGCATGCATTCTCTGACTCACTTAGAAGCAGTCAGCACGGTGTGGCATCATACCCACCCACAGCTGCCGGCGGTTGTGCAGCAGGAACGATCACGTGGAGTCAGAAACTAACAAGCAGTTCATAAGCCCGCTCATGGTCGCTGTTTGTCAATGAGTAACTTTTTGGGAAGACAACTTTCATGGTAGAATAACTCCCACCTAAATGAGGCCCTTTATTTCACCTCTTTCAAACAGGCAATTTCAAAATCACTATTACTAAGTAGAATTTGTTGGAGGAAGAGGGTAAAACTTAAAGCAAACTTCCTACTTCACGTCTGGAGGATTGCTAGGTTCAGAGGGAGAATGCTTGATGATCGCAGGATTAACCCCAAAGGGGTTTTTGTGCTCTGCATGACAGACAAGAACAGGATACCTGCGTTGTAAGGCATACACTACCCAATTTATGGCACAAAATAACTTCCCAGGTAAAATGCATCTAATCTCTTGCGCATAGAGCTAATGTGGCTGTAATACGTTAGCTGTTTGTTTAACTCTCGGCTTTGGTAACGGGTCACTGTCATTGTACCTCTGCCGGGTGACCTGGCCATGTCAGTAGCCCCCAGCCCTTCTGTACCTCGACAGTACATGTTCTGTCCGAGTATTATGTCTTCTTTTGGCCTCGGGGAAGTCTCGAGGCGCTACAATGGAGATGCAGATTTTATCGTGAGCGCTGTGCATAGCTCCGCTTGGAAGGATCTTCCAGTCGAAATCAGACTCGTGTTTAGCTAGGCTGAGAGAAACAACTAAGTGATACACACACTCTAAAGGATGTGTGCAATCGAGAAGTAGGGAAGGAAAACTCCAGCACTTATCCTCACACCCTTTTAGTTCATTATGGGATTCAAGAACTGCCTGGGATTGTTTTGACATCCACAAAGCAAAGCACTTGGATTGGTGAAGCGATGTATAATTTAGTCATGAGAATGCATCAAGAATGATAGAATGGAGAAGTCTACTTAAGGTGCAATAATAAAGTGTTATTTTCCATTCTGATGACTCGCGTAAGTAGTATGCGGTTAGTGCAGCGATAGGGGGCCACACCTAAGCCTTACTGCTACATTAGTTTTGACTTACTTCACCCATTTCAAACTGTAAACCGCAACTGATATCTAAAAGTGGAGGAGACATGGAACTCATCCTCACATTGATCGGGACTGAGGAGTTCGTAGGGATCGCAGACGAGGAGAGTTGGAGGGGGGGCGCCACTGCCACCACTCCTGCCAGGCAAGCATCGACTCTTGGCGGTGACAATGTTGGGGTAGGTGGTGACCTGGTTGATAAAACTGCTGCTATACTGGTAGGCCTCACTGACCGGTGTCACCATGAGACAAACGGTTGTCAGGAGAAGACTCAGCACAGAAACCAGCATGTTGTGGTTGTGCCTCTTGTTTACCAGGGCCTGGGGCGAGAGGATACACGCTGACACCGAAAAAACGCGCACCCACAGAACGCGATGAGGTATGTGAACTGCGATGGCACCGCTGCTTTTATTCCAGACGTCGCTGCTGCCTCATTGGCGAAGGTCGAGGACCAATGGGGGATTGAGGAATTTTAAACCTAGACCCTCGCTTGATATTAGCGACACCTTAATTGTTTAGGCGCCATTCATATGAGGGGAATGAATTTTAGGGAGTAATTAGCTGAAGGGACCACACTTAGCCAACCTTGTAAATTATACACAGGATTTGTTAACCCATGCAATTTGTAAAACATGTAACAATAAGGAAGTTCGGCCTACTTAAGCAGTTATTTTCAAGATCTGTCCTTGCTGAAAAATTGTTTGTAACCGAGCAGCCTCTTGAAAAAATACCAATTTGATTGGTAAATAAAATGGATAAGTGTGATTGGAAGATAAGTGGAATATTTAAAGTACCCAAAGTTAACTACTAGTAACGTGACTTTCATAATTCTAGGTGGATTGTCAGACAAAATACTGATGTAATGTACTCACAATTGTGACCTTCTACCTCCGTCTCTTCTTCGAGGATCAATGATGCCTTCTCAGCCGCAAGGCTGATCCAAATCTGTTAGTCACTGTCCCTAGTTCTTCTCTTGGGACTTGATTCTTCGTGTGCCATTTCCAGATAACGCATGGACCACGTCTTCGCAGGTAACCGGTGGCATTCCTTTGTAACGATGCATTGCATTGTGATGAAACCTCTTCATCCGTAGGCAGAGCTTTATTGCCGACCACTTTGTTGATGAGATGACATTTATTACTCGAAATGCATCTTCGTTCCAAGAGTGGAGGAAATTGCAATGTACGTCGGAGGTGGAAAGATCCATGGAGCTTTGATAGGTTGTCTTCAAAGCTGGTCCTGCTTGTCCCAATATGCCTTTTGTCCGGCAAATGACAGCCATACCTGTTCAAACGCGAGATTAAAAATAAGATTTATCTTTTTTTTCGATCGAGGAACGTACTTTAAAGCCTTGTGAATTGATACTGCCACCTTTTTTAAAGTAAAATTAACTGGTAATATCATTTTGCGGACGATAAGCATCTTAAGCAGCGACTTGTCGGTGGATGTATGGACTGCAGCCTCGCACGTAAGGCGACACCGGCTTTAGGGGTAACTCCCGATCCTGTGGCTAAGCGTCCTTGGTGAAAGACCTCAACAACCCGATTTAAATGTGATTTGTTCCTTCAACCGATCCATTAACCTGAAGATAACAGCATTCCCCGAGGTAAAAGTAAAAGTAGGTCTCTTTAAAAGTTGGACTCGCAAAGTTGACGTCTCAATCCCTATGTACAGCTTCGAAAACCTTGTGTTGACAAATCCGCTGGTTGAAGTAAACAGAAGTGATCGATATGCCGTCTTGGGACTTCAAAGAGTCTACCTCGATCACTTTCATGAAATAATATACCATTACAAGGATATACCGGCTTCACCTTTCTGTGGTTTTTCCCTCTCTCGGGAGCCCTGCGGGCATAAAGTCGTGCAATCACTGAGAGGTGAGATTGCTTAAATCTGTCGCGGGTGATGCGGGTCCAGCAGAAATCACGGACATCTTGGGTAGCTAAAGGGCACCAGTATCTTCTCCTTGACTCGTCTAGCATTTGCTTCTCGCCTAGGGACCTCAACTGCTAATGTAAACCTGGAACTACCACGTGCTTAGGTGCTCCGATCTGATCTGGAGAGGACGAGGTCCTATTTTTGACCACCCCTCTCATATACTTCTCACCTCCTTGCCTCATAAAGACGGTTCTGTCGCTCTTGGTTTATAAGAGGGTGCAAGGAACTTCTCGTTCATCAGAGCCCTGTTGGATCCAATGTTTTGTGGTATTTGGTTGATCGCATACAAGGATGGCAGTCAAGACAATGTCACTAGTTTCCAAGAGGTTTGCTTATTGTCGTTCCCCTATTGTACTGCAAAAATTGTAATGGTGATGATCCTCTTACCGACCCCCACGGAGCGGCCTACTTCCTTCAACCAGATCTATGCCTAATGATGTGTCCCCTCTCAAATGCACTCCCGCGCCATCTTTTGGTCACGATGGAAGCATTCTCTGGCGAGTTGGACCAGTGTGTTGCAGGATTCCTCAAAAATCAGTATGCAATGTTATGCTAATTTTTACAAGAAAGTGTTTTACTGTGCTTGTCATTGAGGGTAGAGCCAGGGGTTGAATCTAGCGTGCTCAAGCCGTTTGTTGGAGGGCAATAGAGTCTACAACATAGAAGAATGGTGGCAAACGGAGGGGCCGAGAGGCTTAAGGTGTGAATAGACAGCCATGGGACCAATCCAGCGGCAGAAGCCACGGGAGCCCAAGGGACCATCCAGTTGGATTGCAATGCCTTTGTATGGAACTGCCACCAAGAAAAACCACTGTTAATCTCGATACTGCAGCACTGCTTGACAATGTCGGCTACAGTGCCCCTAGCAGCAAACGTACTTGAGAATTTGATATAGTAATATGCGCTTTGATAGCCCTTTCTACGGACCTTCGAACAAAGCAAGACCAAACTTTCAATTCAGGTGCATTGCTTCATTCTTAAATGAATAGATGAAGATGATTTTAATCACCTTAAGTTCGGAACAGGTGTTTCTCAGATGACATTTCCAAGGCCATTCTAAGCTAGCTAACGATCACTTGAATTGAAGAGATTCTAAAATAATAACTCAGCCGACATTATTTGAGTGAAAAATCGACAGTTCAGAATCCCAATTGTCTTAAGACAAATTTTAAGCAAACAGTTAGCAAACGTAAGTTCAATTCTCAAATTGGGACTAAAGTATACCAGCGTCCCAAGTTTGGATCCCCATTACTATAAATGATCAAATTGGATTGATAGGAATAAAGTCGTACTTGGCAGTCATTCCTTTATCCGGAAAAACACACCACAAGGTGCCGGAAGGTCTACAGACCGAACTTTAGTTACCTTAATAAGCTCTTTAAGAAACATACAAAGAAACTTGTCTAATCTCGGTCAGGCAAAAGATTTCTGCACGCACACCTCCACTTGTGAATGTCACTACCTATGAATATATTTTATCATTCAAAAACGTGATATTCACACCACGTCTTCGCTATCTGCAGAAAAGAAGCTGATACCTCACAGTCGCAAACAAATGATTGCTTTTCACACTGCAGGTTTGTGAAAGGAGGTAAAGATAGGAAAAAAATCCTACCTCAAGAATAACTGTAATGAGTAGCCCCCGTTCTTCCTAAACAAGCGTTATCCGCCGGATAATAATTCGTAACGGCTAACTATGAAAAACAGCTACTAAGCTAACTTGCTCCCTTGATAACAGTGACAAGAGCCACATGATTAGTACAGTGAATTCAGCTATGGATCACTTCTAGAAGTACAAGAGAAGATAGGTACGATTTGCAGTCAAATGAAAGTTCATGAACAAAGTCAATAATCAACACTCGGGACAAACTCACCTTACTTTCCAGATTCAGGAAAATTAATCGCCTCGACGGTTCAGTGTGGTATAGAGAGCACTAAATGAAGTAGCTAGACCATTTAAAACGTTTCAAATTTACATCGAGAACAAAAATTTAACAATCGATTCGTGTTTGAGCAAAATTACAAAACCATCACCAAAAAATACGGCAACAGTTGGCCATCAAGTAATACAAAAGAAGAAGTTCTATTTACAGAGAAAGGAGCTAGACTGATCCTCTCAGTAGACACGATCAAAGCTCATACTGCTCTCCACCTGATTTTGTGCCGCACCCGCCGCTGGTATGCCCCCGCGGCCCCTATAACCCGGACCGCCCCTGTACTGTCCTCCACGATACTGCTGTTGATGCTGCTGCTGTCGGGCTCGATTGTTGGTGATATATTCAAGGAAAGAGACTCCGCCCTGAGAAAGGCAGGACAGATCCCCTGGCGGCGGATCTTCCTGAAAGAATTCATGAGCCAGAGCCTGCTCAGCAGTCAGACGACGAGAGGGATTGCAGACAAGGAGACGATCGATCAGGTCGACGGCGGATGGGATAGGGATGGAAGCAAGGCGATCTCGTAGGGTACGCCGTGTATCCATGGGTAGCTTGGTCTTCTTGTAGCTTTCCAAGTGTTCTACTCCGGGCCAGACAGCTGGAGTGATAGAGCCGCAGAGGTTAATGATAAGCTTGAGTTGATTCAGCTCATTCTCGCCTTGCATCAAAGGGCAACGGGTCCACAACTCAGCGATTATGCAGCCTACACCCCAGAGGTCAACCGGTTTGCCGTAGTTACGATCCATCAGAAGGATCTCTGGGGGGCGATACCAAAGGGTGACCACCATTGCTGTGTATTGTGGGCGCTTGTCCTGTCGCCAGGGTGTAATAGTAACACGAGCAAGACCAAAATCTGCGATCTTGAGATGTCCACTACGGTCAATCAATATGTTCGAGGCTTTTAGGTCACGGTGTAGGACGTTGTTACTGAAATGGGATAAAATATCGCATCTAGCAGAAGTACAATCAATTGCCGTAGAAATACGCAACCAAATGGCATACTCATGAAGAAATTTGATCCCAGTAAGTAACTGCTTTGCAATGCCCTTCTTCACTGACAAATTAATGTCGACTTTTTGGCTAAGAAGTCCGGCGAGGTCATGATCACAGAATTCAAAGAGCAAATAAAACTCATATCTGGAACCGTTAGTATTAAGGCCTAAAACCTCATTAGATTCCAATAAAAGGCATACTGCGCCTGTGACAAATGCCATGGAGACGAACGATATTTTCGTGCCGTAGCATTTGCAAAATAATCACCTCTCGTAGTGCAGTAACTGGAAACTGAAAGGAATCAAGCTGCAAAAGATAGTCAAAATAATACCCCCTCAGTTTCCTTTTCTGTACGCAAACGTTTGAGTGCAAATATTTCTTTGGTGGTTTTGTGCTGAACTTTGAAAACTTCACCGAAGGTGCCCTGGCCAACTTTAGTGATTTTTTCATAGTCCTCAACGGGACAAGTTGTTGTTTTCTTCTCAGCCTCCCTATCAATATACTTAAAAAGCTCAGTTTGATCGGATTCGAGCTCCTTAACGAGTAGATCCAGCTCACAATCATCCATTTTCGAAGTCGGATGACACTTGAGCCACCAAATCAAACATCGCACTTGACCCCAGTGAAATTCAAACAATTAAATCTCTTCATATTTCTTGCATTCCAGTAGGCGCCAAGTCAGAAATATATGATAGACGCAATAAAATAAACATATAAGGCGAAGTTTTTAAATGAAAATAAAGACAATCACCGATAGGCTTTTCGTAGGGAAGAAAGTTCACTATTGGCAAAGGCCTAACAATCTTCGTGGGTGTAACAAGATATGATATGGTTATATGTCATCCTAAAGGTTCTTTCGTTTCCACGTAAGCATTGAATGGTTGGGTAGTGGGGTTCTGAGGCCTATCTGAATTCTCAATAAGCTCCATCAGCAAAAATGCAGATCTATTGCCCCTGTACAGAAGGGTTAAAAGACCACAAGGATAGCTGGGATGCCATGTTGCCCTAGAAGGCAAAATCCTCGGGGAGAATACATATTCAGCACAGAGAAGGTGTCTGGGCTATTGGCATGGCCCAAAGTCCCGCCCATCCAGCGTGGTACAAGAAGGCGAATTCAAAAGTCCAAAAATGGTGCCCCACCAATACCGTGGGATAAACAACCATCGTATTACAATACCATTTCTTGTTTTAAAAGAAACCAGTTCCGACTCTACAGATATTACCCTAAAAAACACTTTGGGATATCCCAAGTATACTTTATTTTAGCCAGGGTCTAGACAGTTTTGACGATTTTTCCAACAAATGTTAATTCTCCTTTAATCCTATAAATTTTATAGCATCCTAAAACTTCCCTGAAGACAGCGAAATACATAATAGTGGGGCAGAATACCCATTTTTGATATACAGTAGGGACCAAGGCTACTGCTGTGGCCAGGAGTTTAGATCACTTAGTAGAGGTACAATGGAGGAGCCCCTAAGTATGTCATTAACAAAAGTGGTAAATAAACAGAGGGGTGTCGTATTTCAATTACAGCATAAATATACAAAAGTATGAAGTCTTCCTTTGATAACAGGATTTTTGGAGCTAAATTTCAAAGACAAAATACTGTTTAGACCACGCAAAGAGAGCTATTCCAAATTTGCATTCTGCACTACTTTGATTAGTCGTAGGATGCTTGCCATAGGCGTAATAAAAATTACTCATTAATTAGTGAGGATTTTGAACTGACCTAAGCTGAACAACGAATAGTGATTTTCGTACGCTTTAAGTATCTAACTGTTATAGTTCCCCATAGTGAATAGCGAGAAAAGGAGAATAAAGACTCAGAAGTTGCACTGAACCTTAGTAATGGCAACATAGCAAAGCTAAATATTTGTCCATGCTGGAAATATTCTTGCATGAGCAGATAATGTGTTGATTACGAGCCGATGGTTGGGCCTTCTGGAAATATCAATCATGCTGCAAGCAAACCAATCAATCAAACCAATCACTAAGCATTATAAATATGCATGATTTGTTAGAGCCATCTGAGTGACTAAAGTGACATACTATGGTAATATTCTTGAAGAATGATTAATTACAATGGAAGTTACTTTAATATCTTGATTTTCAAACCGGATGTTCCGTTTGCAGCCATTTGCGTTGCATAAATAAAAAATCCAAAAAAATGTCCTTTGTGTGCCTTCAAAGCGTAATGACGATTCTGCTAAAAACTAACATGTGGCGTTCCGGGCTTCCCTAAAGGCGAAAGAAGACACAATACTCATGCAGAATATATATTTTCAGCACAGAGGTGTCTGAGCTACTACAATGGCCCGAAGGCCAGTCCACCTAACAAGGTACAAGCAAGCTAATTCATTGTACAAAAGTGGCGCCTCACCAATACCGAGGGACAAACCACCATCGTGTTACAAATAAATATATCTAAACGTTAATTATGGAGGTTACTGTAATACGATAGTGGTTTATCCCTCGGTTCTGGTGAGGCGCCACTTTTGTACTTCGAATTAGCCCCCTTGTACCTCGCTGGGTGGGCTGGCCTTTTGAGCCATGCCAATAGCCCAGACACCTTCTCCGTGCTGAATATATATATTCTGCCCGAGTATTTTGTCTTCTTTCGTCTTCAGGGAGTCTCGGGACGCTACATTACCACTAAAGTAATCAAAAGAAATACTGCGGCAGTACGGCTTTTTGACTCCCTTTTTTATAAATTAAAGCTCACTAGCAAGTTACTTATAAATCTCAGTTAAAATCATATGCAATAATTTCCACAAGAAGCGTTTCAGTTTATTCATTTCTAGCCGCTTGATTCTTCGTTGTTACTTCAAGGCCGTTTGATGCAGTTGCAGCAGGAAATTCCTGATATTTTCCGTCAGGTTAAAAAAGGGGAGTACAAAGATGCCAAGCACACTTTGCAGAACTTGAAAGGAAGGGCCTTAGGCAATTTTCGCATAATGGGTCTGCATTTTTTTATTTTCCTCATTTTTGAGCGTAGAATCTGTCCTTGTTGAAGGCTATAAGTCTTCACGTGTGTTTAAATCTTTTTCTATTTTGGATCAGTCTGTTGAAGTTTGCACAAATTGCATTCATAACCTTTAGTGTGAGGATTTTAAGCGCAGCTTCTGCGATTTTCTCACAAAAATTGTTCTAAACTATCCATATCAATACATTAATTTTTACGAGGATTTTCTGGTAAATTTGCCTTGCCCCCTCACTCGTAGGATACATCATTTTCTGGATACATGTGCGCTAAGTCTGCGAAGCTCAAAGAAGCTTGGCTACGTCTTTTCAGGAAGGTAATACTTTAGACTTTGCACTGTCAATCTAGGTTATCACTCATTCAACAGTTGGAGAATCAAGTCCAGATATCTTTCAAATGTACGCGAAGCAGCTTTTTGATCAGTTGGCATCTAAACAAGCTCAATCTGTTACTAGTAGTCTGTGTTTATCATTAGCCACCATCGTTTCACATTCACCAACAGCGAAACATTTACGAGAACAGATTCTTGACTTTCTCAAAAATTTGTTATCAGAGCAACTTACACAGAATACAAAGAAGCCAGAATTCGTTGTTCTGTCGGCTGTTCTTTCTAGCATATCGAAAGTCATAAGTATTGATGGCAATGAACCCAAATATGATGGTAAGATGCCTCGCTACAGTAGTCACTCCGCCAGATGTGAAAAAGTTTTACAACTACTCACTCCAAATCCTCTTGGCGGATTTGGACAAAATTGGTCAGTACAGACCCATCAAAAGTGCCTGTAAGCTTCTGAGATCTTGTGCTAAACGTCTCAATATATGCGACTGGGACAGGATCAGGGTATGTTTAGATACATTTTTCGTGTTTTTTTAGCTTTTATGCAAAAAGAAGCATAAAAAAGGCAATGTTTTTACAGAAATAATCCCAAAAGAAATCGATATGATATTCGAAAACATTTTTCTAGCTTTAGATATTATTCCACTCTAAATATTTAAAAACACTTCGTATTTTAGCTTGCTTTGTCCTACCTCCAAACACTGGTCAACCATAAAAATTCAGCACTAGCCAAAGCCGCTCGGGGAGCATACATCGCGCTTTTGATGTGCTACCGAAATTTCGCTCTTACGGAATCCACCCCTGATGGTTCAGTGTCTTCTGTTCCAGGAAATGTAACAAACTACCTAATTAATCCCCCACCAAGCGATGTCATTACATCAAACCAACTGCCTTTCCGTCTGAAATGTCTGAGTATCTTAATGCCAGTGAGTTATAACGTCGAGAATTGTGACCCATTCATCCAGCGTCTTAAAACCATGTTTCATTCACACCAGGTTTATGAAAAGTGCCCGACTACCCAGGATTCGGCCCAAATTCTTTCCTACACAGTGAAGGAGATCGTCCATTTAGTCTCAGAAATTTCCGGTACCCCTATACCCCCAAAGGCTTACTGTCTTCCAGATTTAATTGAATCTACGGTTAATGTACTGACAATTCGTCCTTCAGCACAACTAATAGAGGCGTTATGGCGATCTCTGAAACTGGCGATAATCGCCTGCTTTGAGTCTTACCCTCGCCTATCCCAAAATGTCACCGAAAGCATTGCCCACTGCATTTTTAACGCATTCGAAATCCTTGCAAACGAAAAACATCTGGTTTCAGTGCTTAATGAGACTTGTGAGTTTTCTTATTTTATCTCTGATTTTTTGAGTCAGATTTATGTAAGCAACTCCTTGATCTCTCTTTTCTCCTAGTCTATCATGCCGTTCTCCAAACATGCTCCCATTCTCCATTCGACCTTGAGGATAGCGAATCAGGTGGCGAAAGTGAAGTGGAGGGAGAGGTTGTGGAGGAGGATTTGGATTCAGTCAGTCAACCGAGTGGTTCTTTCCAGACGAAAATAGCAATTCCGAGGCCTTCGTACCGGGAATATTTGCCGCTATGGCGAAATTTGCTAGGATTTCCTATGGGTCTAGTGAAGAAGGTACTTAGCCTACGTCCAATAGTTCATGATGCATTGGTAGCTACATCTTTCCTAGTCCGTCTATGCCAATTCGTATTTAAACTAGTGCTAAAAGCGACAGATTAGCTCTCCTACTGGGCGCCTGAGGGGATTGGACATTCTATACATAACGGCTCCGTGCGATTTCCACGAAACTTTAATTTAATGATTTTCCTGGATATATGTACACATACGTTTTAGGAGAGGTATGCTCGTAGCAACGTAAAATCAACACCCCTCATATTTCGACTCCTTCTGACATCTTCCCTGGCAATTTTGAAACGCCTCGACTTCTCCTATGCGGAGTGTAACACAGACACTGGTGAGGTGGAATCGCAGGTGGTTGTCAAAAACCCACAAGATGTTCTTCTGCTCTCAAATATGGCCGCATTTCTTGAGTGAGTTAGTCCAAGCAAATGGTAGCCTTGCAGCAAGCAGTAGTTAGGATAAAATTAATTCAAACATGTTTCTCTAGTCCTTATTTTCAGATGGTCTAGGTTTTTGCTAATAAATTTGTTATCCAGTCAATCGGACTTCGGTTGAACAAGTCAAAGCGGGATATCACGTCAAGAGTAGTCACCTCGGATCCCTATAGTTAAAACTAGAAGAGTCGAAACTGTTGGAAATTTATCTGACAACTTATCAAATCGATTTTTAACTAACGAAATCATTTGTTTTACTTTCTGTAAATATCGTGATGAAGAATTCACTTCACATCTCTTTTATATTTTTACCCATAGAAAAATAATGTGACACTTGAAATCACTGTCTGATTTTGCCGATTCTCCCCTGCTCCATATATTTTCCCAAATCTAAGATGATATCGTGTGTAGCTAGATGATTCCACTTCTCTAGTTTGTATCAATGTACTCAACTTGTCAAATCTTAGAGAAACCCATTTCTTACTGAACTTCCTAAGGTTTAACAGACGGCTGAAATAATTTTCCTATATTTTGTAGCTTATGGTTGATTCTCTTTCCCTACTTTTACTGTCTACATTTGGCTTGAGCACTCTTGAAAGATGCAGTTTCGCTTTTTTCAAAGGGACCATTTCATGACAGATTAAAAGTTTGCAAAATAGCCTTCATTGATATTAAATAGTTCAAAAATACTCCAATCGTGCAGTTTTATAAATTCTCTCTAATTTTGCGGATAGACAAGTTCTGCCGGATTGTTTGGTCGCCACCCACGATGCCATTGTGCCTTCGTTCCTGCAGACCTGCCTAGAACTCGTCGAAAAGTGAGTAGGGTCCATAAATTACATGTTTTTAAAATTAAGTGTTATCCGATGTGTGTCATATAAGCAACAAAGTCCATTTTTGTATAAATCAACTCTGAGACTACTTATGAGACACTTGAATCCGAGTGAAACCCGTTGTCCAAAATCGTTTGACAATAAAACAAGTAATCAAAAAGCTGCTTTATTTGGGGATTTTCAGCACATAGCTCCATAATCTAGGTTGCCACAACGTAAACAAATGCATTGAGATACATAACGAACATTTATTTCTATTTTGTTACCTAATGGTCACCTGATTCGCAAAGAGTGTATTGATAGAAACGGGTCAGAGGGCATAAAATGGTTTGAAGCAAAAATAGGTTGTTTACTACCTTGCCTAACCCAAACACCTTTCGCATAGCCGAAGTGCTGCTACTGAAGGATGCAATTGGATTTGCTTGCGACACACAATCTCCTATTACCGAATTCTTGATTCGACATATTGCACGAAATCTCCAAAAATCATTGTCGGCTATGGTCAAGATGCTACCAGCAGACCATTGCTATTCACATCACCTCACGTTCATTTGTCTCTCACGTCAAAGCACGCAGATTTGAGTGTACGAACAGGTACCTTGTGGGCTTCACCCTTTGTAGGTACCCTCTGCTTAGTGGTCTCTACCGTCTTCTAAAACTAGCCGTCCTATTGGCCAAGCAGTCCAACTTCTTCAAAGGTACGTCTGTTTTCGCTTTCAGCCTGCCTTACGGCAAACAACTGCCTGCCTTGCTACTAGTGATAAACCAAGTAACCCATTAATTTGTAAAGCAATCAATCATCAATCCACAATTCAAAATGCTCAACCTTATTATTGGTACCTTGATGATGACGTTAAGTCTTTTGTCTTTAAAAATTGGGGACAGGTGCAACGAAATTACTTTATTCAGTGACTTCGAAACACTTCCAACTGCTATCTTCCTATATTTTCAAATCAGTTCCAGACTTTTCTTTTTTTCATCCTTCGTGGTTGTGGTAGTAGCTAGACGCCCGGAGCGCTCTGCATCCGCCACACTAGTAGAACAGCCACGTTTGATCCCTCTGCTATGCGCCTTGACAACTGTAATTGCGAAATTAATTCTTCTACTAGTCATATGTGTCGAATAAAATGTTTGGTATCGCCTATTCACAAAAAGCAAACTTTGCGCTCCGTGAAAATTATGCATAACCCCCATTGACATCTCAGTCTTGGAGGAATAAGGCTTGTAGTAGAATATAGTCAGACAATCGAGCATAGGACACACTGTTGTGCGACCAATTTTTCATTTCCCTTTCAATCTCACCACTTCCGATGGGTTCATGGAAAAGCAGTGGTATTTTAAAGGTTTTGCAAACTCCCACTGTCGGCACTTTACTGCAATGCTGTCAACGTCTAGCGCCACAAGGCCGATAATGTGACACTACTGAACAGTCTTTTTTGACTAATCAAATGATGACATGAAGCCATTGAAATTATTTAGATGACAGATCTATTTGACCCCCGTCACGAAATACAGAACAATTCTGTTTATGCTTATTAGAGATAAATATGTTTTCTTGCCAGGAGGGGACTTTTGATGGCAACATTACGGGACATATTTTACTACATCTCCATGCTTTAGTCGGAAGAAATATGACTAGACAGCTGGAAGCTCAAAAATTTCGAATGAAAGTTAGCATAAATGAATTCAACAGAAATTCGCAATATAAGGCCGCAATCTCTAGTTCCCAGTCATGTGTGGTGAAATTGTCAAATTGTTACTTAAATAGCTATAAGTAGCATCATGAGTGGATGAAATTAAAATTTACTATCTGGATCATTTTCGGTACATTGTTCCTCATTAGCGATTTGGACCTGTAATTTGCCACTGTCAGCTACATGTTGTCGAATTAGAGCCCTTATACTTTTTTCTGGTTCTCTAATAGGTACCACTAATTGCTCCCATCTTTCTACGCGGATACATTTTATGATTCAACAAAAAATGCAAGTTACTACTAACGATACAATATTTTTAGTGACAAGCGGGACGTCGAAAATGCTAATTTGTAATTTGCCTCAACGCTACACATTTCATTCTTTGCACATGGAATCAACTATTGCATAGAATTTCAATTAATTTTTTGAAACAGAATGCAGCACCTCTCCCACCTTGACTCACCTGCGATCATTTGCAATCTCCCTGCTGGAGGCATTTCCACCGACAGGAGCTCTTTCCGCGGATGACCTCAGTACCGCTCGTTGTTCCTGCCTTCTCAGTTTGCCTCTCTCAGTCTTCACGTTGCACCCCGAAGGCAGGCTCTTTAGCCAATTTGCTTATATCATCGCCTCCATCTGTCAATTGGCCGGTTCGCAAGGTCATTGTGAGCACCTAGCAACCGCTGCCGCCTCCGCCGTTGAGTCCTGGTTGGATGGTTAGTCGTTGTGTCAAAATCACACGTATTATTGATCTGGTCTAAATATAGATTCTTTCCTTTCTCCTAATAGAGATCAAATCTAAATCCTCAACCTATCCAATGGCATTTGGGAGTCTTGTGCCAGCATTAGCTGGCCTACTAGAGATCCATCATGACAAACCAATCGCGAGCAAGGCGCCACCGCCTCTTATCGGTCAACGCTCACGGCGGTCTGATCATAGGGTGGGGATCCGTCCGACGCTAAGGGCAATCGCTGGACGACCAAATCGACTAAATTTTGATTCACCGCTCAGTAAGGCGCAAATGAAGATCATTGAAATTATTGGACAGAATGCGCAGCATTGGGAACTTCTCAATTTGGTTGGTTGCTACTTGTATTTTAATATAAATCATTTTAGGTGGAAACACCTAATGAAGATGGAACCATCTTTGGAAATATTCTACCTTCAGAAAAGGGTGTTTTTAATGATCTTACTTTGTGTTTACCTTTTCCGGATTTGCGGCCGTATATACGGCTTTCTGATGTACGATTGTTTGCACGACTCCTTCGTATCCTTCTCTGGAGGCCCAAGTCCACCACCAAATCAACCAATCAGAGTACTTTTATCTTTGCTTTTTAATTTGCCCCTAGTCAATACCAGTGTTTCTCGTCAAGCAAGAGTGTCTGCAGCCGAATATTTGCACGAGTATATTGTTTTTGGACTCATCAAACAGCGTGAAATAGCCCCGGATCCCAGCGATCCAATCGGGGAGAGTGACTCTGCTTACTGGTCTCTCCTCTTTCATGTGACATTCATTCTGGGAGCTGACACTGATCAAGTAAACTAACACACATAAATTGATTTTTTCCTAGCTAATTTGCCGTCTCTTCCGATGCCTCGCATTTCAATTGGTTCATTGGTATGCGGGCTATCGAATGGCAGGCCTGTGTGAAGCTAAACTTCTGCAGAAAGTGATTCTACGTATTTTATGTCTTGCTCCACCCGAAGATGATATTTGTGGCTTTATCGACTCACGGTGGCCACTTTCTGGTAGGGCAACTGCGTTGTTCCACCCATTCCCGCTCTAGAATTAGTCCAAACAAGACGCACGAAGCTGGCCTCTGCGTGTCTTCAAGATTTCTTCAAGTGGATGAGCTCTGAAACCACTGGCAATAAGAGACGTCCTGCCTCTATCGGCGATCAAACATTTGAGGATCTACTCAGGCTAAATTTGAAAGGTCTGTGTCAAGATGGAGCTGCAGCTCAAGTTTTCACCAACACAATAGCCAATCTCCTAAGGTGGGGCGGATGGTAGTCATTCAAAATCTTGTTTTTTAGTGCCCGACCAGAAATGGCCTTTCAGCATGTCTATCTCCTTATCGACGCCTTCAAGCGATCCCTTTTATCAGGTTGGCTATGAGGTCTTTTCTTACTGTTACCTAGCACCGGGTCAAGGTCCCGTCGCTGCTGCTTTAAAACGAGCAGTCGGATTGCTCACTGAATTAATGAAAAAATCGCCAGAAGGCTTGATCTATGACGACTGCGTAACCCCTGAAAAACAGCCTCGTTTGACACGAACTGTCAAAACCAACCCCATGGCAGAATCGCTTAAACCAACATCCTGGGAAACAGCTTCCGTTCCCTCTTGCCTGAAATCCCTTCTACTGGCTTGTCGTGACCCTCTCAACGGAAAGTTGTTCCAGGAACTCGTGGAGCAAATCGTCTCATCGTCTAGTTTACGACTCATTCGAAAAGTACTTCCTGACACGGCTTCCCTCATATCAACGTATGGCTACTAATTTATTTTAAATCGACGTAATGTTCTATTTTTTCCAGTTTTGAATGGAAATTGGATTCATCGAGTGGGTTTACCTGTTGTCTCAATAACTACGCTTGGCTACTTTCCGCCAATCTTATAACCAACACGGCCTTTTTTGAAGCAATTCAACTTCCTGAAAGCCGTATTATCGCATTTCTGAAGCGCTACTGTGGAGCAGAAGAGAAGTAAACCTTTTAATTTTCTTATCCTACTTTCTAAAGCATGGCTCCAGATGAATCAACCGCAGTTATAAAGTTCTTGCTCGCGATTCTCCATTCAAAGCCACGAGTGGACTTGAGTAGTGTGTTTTCTGAAAATCACACCGTATGGAATTTTCTTGGTCGTAGCCTCTTAAAGCCTACAACTATGGAAATCGAACCAGCTGATAAGGTGCTGTGTCGATTCGGTTTAATAATCACTTATAGGCCGTCGAGGTGTTAAGAATGCTGCCTAAAACGTGTCTCACCTGGACCATGGCTTCAATGTCCCAATTACATAAGCTGCATAGGTTTGTCGATTTCCTGAAACCTTCATTTAAAATCAGACTTTTTGAGGAAAGCGGTGAGTTTGCTTTAACAGATCAGGGGCAGATTGCTGATCTCACAGAAATCCTTTCAAACATACCACTACTTCTAATCACCGTCAAGAAGGATCTCGGTCTTCGTGAATTGTTTTCTGACTACATATCTCTGAAAGTGTGCCAACACATAGTCGACACGTTTAAAGAGGCAAGATGACCTTTCCACCGATCACTGCTTATTCTTTAGAGCACACTGGGCTCATCAGACAAACTGGCCAAAATTGCCCAAGTTGCATTCGCTATTGCATCATGTCTCAACTATCAAGTAAGTACTTGTTAAAAAAGGGTAATATTACCCGCATTGCAGATTGTCTTTGATGCAGAAGTGCTTTTAAAGGCAATTGACCAATCAGACGAGTGTTTGATCTACCCAGTCAATCTTCTAACCATTCTGGGATTAAGTGAAGAAGATGTCGTACAATTAGATGCTCCAAATGCAATCATGTCTATCCTACTCAAATCCCTGGGCATGTATTCAAAAGATCCGAATAAGTAAGTAGATTGGATCACTGTAATTGCATCTTCACCATCTAACTTCTCAACATATTCTTTTAGAATGCGAACAAACCAGTTGTGTGATGGGATTGCTAATGTATGGTGCCAACGTATAGAGCCCTTTTTAAAAGACAACAATTTTGGGAGGGAGGTCTGTGTTGACCTTCTCGAAGCTGTTATCTCTCTTTCTCAAGTTGTGAGTTTTGAATCCATTCAGTTGCGTACCCCGACCGTGTCTTGTTGGTACACGGTGGTCATTTTTGTGCACCAAACAATAAGGAACTACTTCCACGTTCCCATTAGTAGCAAGCTTTTGATTACTGTTAAATACCAATGTTATCTTGTTAACGATAATTATCAAAGGTAGGTAATGAGGACTGGCTATAAGCAATAATTTATCGCATCAGCAGAATTTCGAAATGGTTTATTTTCTCTCCAACTCTACTTCACCTTTGTCTACTACTGTGGTCGCCTTTTCCTTTCCAGTGAAAGCATAATGTGGATTTCTGCACTGATGTTGCTTATCACTTGTCAAAAAACATCTACAAGCAAATACTATGTGACATTCGACTCATGTACCATCAAATGGGACGAATTTTTAACTATTTCATTCTTTTATAGAGAGATCTCAATCTTATTTTATCGGAAGAATATGTTCCAGATTTTTTGGTACTATCATCCATAGTATTACAGTTTATTAAATTGACGACAATTAAGAAAGTGTTTGCAGTCAACGAATCGTCACTGCTATAATATCACTTCTCCAAGTATAATTTGCAATATTTTCTCAACCTAACCATAAGGAGTCCTTTTTCCTATTACAGGAGCTTGATCGAAATACTTTCGTGACGACCTACTTGAACCTTCTCAAAACGGAGACGCTAAAAAATTCCGCCAAAGTAAAAATCTATAAACTATTTGAAATAATTTTTTAACTTATTTCTCGTCGTTTATTTTATTTTCTTCTTGCCACAGGTAAAACTTCTTGATATGTTGGCCTTCTTCCTTCAACCGGAAATCACTCCCATCACACTTGAATTGAGAAGTGAACATCGCACCGAGATTGTTGAAGCTGTTAAGCTTCTTCTTGCCTCAAATCTTCCCCTAGATCCGCAGGAGCTTGCGCGCTCTTCCACAAAACTGAGTGAATGTGGGACCCTTTTGAGATCAGTGAGTTTGGCTCGTTAGACGTTGATTGATGTGCGTCCATCCTCGTGGAAGCTACGTTATTTCATAACTTTGGACACACATTCTTCTTCATACACTCATTACGAATAATCTGTAACAAAGGGGTTTTCTCACAAATTTTCAATTTACTCATTTTAGGTGGAGAGAGTTTTCGATTAAGGTAAAAGTGATAGTACAAGAAAGCAGAAGCAAATTGTTTAAAAAGGTTGATGAATTTCCGCCGTTCATTTAATAAGACCTGATCGCCTCTCCTCCTGTGAACTGGTTACATTTTCCGGCTCACTTGTTACGTTTTGCTACTACTTATGTGGGACATATAAGTAGTTGATTTCAATGATATTTTGCAATTGGAAACGGTTGATACGGTAGATACTTTAATGGCCAAACGGATGATTGCATACTACTTCGTAACAATAAGGGGGCATAAATACTAGCTGGCTTTTAAAATGATCAGGTTTCCACCTCTGTTCATCTTAAACCTGTCTGTTATGTTATGAAAGCCACAAAAAAGTGTTCGTGGATCTACTATTTCTCTGAAAGCATATATAGGGCGTAAATGAATCTGCTTGAAACTGCATCTACTTTTTTGACTCAATGTACTTTATCGCCTTCTCTTGTAACCGATATTTAGGTTCTTTCCCTTCTAAAAACAGTCAGCTGCCCTGAAGCTATCCAGATTCTCACGATGACATTCTGTCGTTATGATGAGCACTTCATGGACGAAGATTTGGATGAAGCTCTACAGTGTGCGATGAAACGGTAAGTAGTAGCACCACTTATCGTGGTTGACGAGGTGTATTGCCTTCCAGAATATGGGCGCGGCCTCTAGTCCAAGAGCGACTGTTGACTTCAGCCCTGGAGGTCTTTGAACAGGCTGTCATCTCCGCGCATCCATCAAGCGCCTTCATCAATCTCTGGCATCGCTATTTTCGCAAGTTCATTCAACCACTTTTCCTTTACGTGGGTCCAGTTGCTCTGGAACATGTGGGTGCGCGAAACATCGTCAAATGGACCCAGAATCTGGAGATCGGAGTGCAAAGAGATGAGTTGACAGTGGCACATTGGATGTGGAGGCTTTTAAACTGTAGTGCTACCTTTTATCTCCTTGTCGTGCTATACAACCGCCTTCCTAAGACCTGCCTCCATGGAACAAGTGGTGGTGGTGTTGGATCCATCCTAAAGGTCTTTCTTGGACCGATGATATTAGATCCTCTTCAGAAGGTGCAGATAAAGGGAAAGGAACTGACCGCCATGCTGATAGGGTAGGTAATTGAATTTGTTCTATTTGCCTACAAAATTGCGCCTAATCCCAGTTAATGAAAATAAATAAATGCCCCATGACAAAAAATAGTGTTATCCGGGATCCCGATTGACTTTATCAAGCTGTTTGCCTACCATTCACATTTATACTCAATTGGAATGCCCTCTTTTCTCCTGCTTAAGTTCAATCAAAGTGATGAAAATGCAATGCTTGATGCTTTTATATGCACTTCAGGAAGGCTTACGCAATCCTCAAAGATGCACTTGAACCACCACCCAACGCCTCATTGACCCATGACCTTGAAGCCACTGCCTCGATTTTAAGACGTGCTCTATGGTCTGCCAGTCTGGCATGTCTTGTCGCCACCTTGAGTGCCACTCAAACTCAGGAGAAGACCTACAACTACGTACTCGCTTGTGATCCCCTCTCACGCTTCCTTCCCACAGACAAAAACCTCAACTTTCCTAGGCAAGTGAGTTACTGCCACTTCTTTCTTTCCTGTTCTACTCTCTAGTTATTAGCCAATAAGTCACCATGTAAATTAAACCGCAATTTTTTTTTCAAAGAGATCAGGCAAGTACCGATCGGCGTTCATCGAATTGCGGGAGGAATTCTGGTTGCCATCGCAACGAGAACCCTACCTACGGCTCCAGGCAAATGAATCTATTGAAAAGAGAGGCGCGTTTGGTGGAGTTCCGAATCGTGGTGACCTTCTACAGGGAAGTAGTTTTTCCGTGGAGATTAATCGATTCATACGAACTTCGGGAACTCAGGTAATTTCGACACTTGAAGTGTAATCTCTCATTTCGAATTTTACCCTGTAATGAACAAGAAGAATGTCTACTATCATTATTCAAGGCCAGAATTTAGTTGAAAACCCCTTTAAAAAAGCATTAAATTCCCCAGCTTAGGAGAAGTTAGTATCGGTATTTGATGGATAATTTTATTGAACCCACTCAGATTATAAGGGGATCAAATTTTCTGGCCGAATTCAAGAAGCCAATTAGTCCAAGTAAAGGGTCTATATCACCTTCATCTTCTACCGCCTCTGCCGACTTCACTCAAGACGAGGATGTAGAGGCAGTCCAAGTTAATTTGGAAGTCGATTGTCTCAACACAACTTCCGTGATGGTGTGCTTCGTGGGACTGCTGAAACACATGCACCGTCTGGGTTTCCTAAAGGTTGGTGACAAGTCACCTTATCTGGCATTCGCTAATGCATGCTCAATAAATGTTTCCTTTGAAAAATCTATTTAGTCCGAGAACTCCAACGACATGCCTGCTATTCTGCGATTTCTCTACGAGCACTTCAACTTAAGTCGTTCCAACAACAACGTGCGCGCATTTGTGGTCAAGGTGATCATCAATTGCACCGAGGTAATTCGGGGAGAGCATAGCATGAAATATACGGGTCCTGGAAACAGACGTTATGAATGTAGGCAGTGTCTACTGATATAACTAGGTTGCGGCTGCCGACTTTTTGTCCGCCCAGTGCTTTCAATTGTGGGTTTGAGAAATTTCGTCGCCGCGGTTGTAGATTTGATTTTGCGTTTATCCTCCCAACTCAAAGTATGGCAAAAGACAAAACCCTCGTCTGTTTTCTCTGATCGAATGCCAACAATAAGTACCATAGAAGAAAATTGCACAATCTTCAAACTGGAAGGTAGGAATGCCCTAGTCAGTGTGTCACTTTTTACCCATGTCATGTAAGCGCGTTCAAGATCGTTCGAGGAATCACAATAAATGGAGTTATAGAAAGTGAAATCCTAATTGACAATTTTATCAGAGGCACTGTGGTATTTGGAGTCCTCCTGACGACTGGTTTCTTGTTAGGGTGCCCGTATTCTGTGAAACCACAGAAATACAAACCGCGGAGACCGAAGATTCCGCAAAGCTAAACATACAGTTTAGCAAACACCAGTTTACTAAAGTACAGTAAACCAAGACCATGACTTTGCAAGTAGGACTTGTTTACAGTCACGATAATGTTTTGAAATTCACCAGAAAACTTGTGGCCACACAGGAGATTTAATTATAGATTATTCAAAATTAAGTACTTCCTATTTGTTTATAAGAATGAGAATTTATTTGGCATTCTTACAGGAAGACCACTGGAGTTTTAAATGCAATGAGAAACTAGTCAGAGAAGATTGTATTAGAAGTTGCGTTTTCCTCTATTTTTACATCATTAGGGAACTATACGCGGTAACTTATCTCCTATTGCGATTAGTAGATACGACGAGAATACAAATGCTGAAAAAACCAGTTAATTTTCTGGTAAATTAATAATTTTTCTATCATGAACCTAAACTCATTTGACTGATCAACGAACTGAAATTGATTACTTGATATTCCTTTTATGGGTTGAACACAATTTTTGAATTAACTAAAAATGAATAAAAAGTAGTTATTTAACAAGATTTCTAAATGATTAAGCTTTGATTGTGTCTTAAGTGATGCAGTTTAATACCCTATATATATGTCCATTTCAGGTATTCAAGCCGTTCGCCAAACTCTGGCTTCCAGTTCTTATCAATTATGCCTCCTCGGGCGTAGAAGCTCTAGTCGATTCCTGCGGCTTGTCCTCTCTCGGCATCGATCTCTGTCTCCTTCTCGGTGAATGGGGTGTCTCCAGTGATGCTTTACCCTCCACTGAGGTTGAGAAATCTGCAGCTAGATCTCTTCTTGCATGCCTGTTGAAAAGGACGTGGATTTCGTCTACCACCGAAGCCGGCGAGGACCACACCTCCAGTATTCCCGAAGGTGTTGCTTCAGCGCTGAAAAACAACCTTGAGTTGTTTCGTCTTTTGGCTGAGTCCTGGCTTCCTACAGGCGTAGCAATCCCATATAAGTGAGGGCGTTGGTTTGCTCAGATTTTGGTTTCGAATGAGTGTGCTTGGCGATCTTTCACTTTTTGATTTAACTGGTGGCCATCACCGTTTAATGTGACTCAAGGATGGTTGCAAAATCGTTTGACATTGTTTTACGAACTGAACGTATGTCTATCCCGCTTTGTTGAAGTATCCTTAAGTATGGATGATTGTTAGCCATCAAGTCCTTCCTCTATCGTCTGTAGAACCTTTTTTGATTGCCAAATTCTTTAATCTAGAGAAAATCAGCTTTAAGATTGTTACACCATATTGATTTGATACATTCTTTGTTGGTAATATTTGACTACGTAGACTCTTCAGGCTCTGCAGTTCGCCCTTCCACCAGGCGTTATGGCCCTCCGGATATGCCCATAGCTGCCCGACCCAGATATCCTTCATCACTAAATCTTCCTCCCTATTAATATGGCTTATTTTGGTGTCGTAGAAGACTTGAGACACTACAATCCATCCGATTTCTAAGATAGCACCATAAAGTCTTTGAAAAGTCGGTATATAATTTAAGCACTTGGAAGGAAATACTCTCCATTCTTTTGTCATAAAATGGAGAATCAAGCCTTACCCGAAGTTTTCTACTCCTTTTAATCCCTCTTTAAATCCTTTAATGTCACTTCAGATAAATACTTTGCAAATTTGTCTTCCAGGCGTCGACACCCACGGAAATGTAAGCTCAAAGCAGTGCAGAAGGTTTTTCAATTCCTTAAAAATTGTCTTATTACTTTATTCCAAGCCAATGCTTGTGCACGCGCCCGAGTTGTCTCGATTCTACTGAGGCCATTAAGTCGATAATCGATAGTCGACAGATAATCAATAGACTCCAGGGCAGATGTCTTTATCGACTAACGTGGGTGAGTCAACACGGGCATGTGGCGCGCCTGTGCAAGCCAGGCAACTGAAAAGCGGAGACTACCTATGCACGCGTCTGAGCCCGAGTGGGATTTCAGCTACGCGTAGTCGCAGTAACTAATTGACCCTGGCCTTTGTCTTCAAAGAGTTATAAGGACATTTAGGTCACATCTCTGCTTGATATGAGCCAATCAGGAGGGATTGAGCTAGAGCACAACCATCTAGAATGTTTGCAGATTGGGAGTGGATGGGAAATTTTTTGGGAGTTATAGGAAACCTCATCACGGTTGCCTCTGTCAAAGTAAAGACGAGGTATCAGCAGTCACTTTTCCTCACCTAAAAACCATGGAAACTTTTAGGTAAAAATCATAACCGACACTTTTTTGAAAAATCGACTTAAACCCAATAATGGATGTGCTTATTTTTTCAATTTAGAGAGCTGCTATTTGAGCTTCAAGGCCACGAAGACTACAAACGGACGACATTTCGTTTTCACCTATTCAAAATAATCCTTTCTTCGTGCAACAGTTTCTCTCCCGAGACTGATAATCTCCCTCTCTCTCAGTAAGTAGAATTCTGGTTTTGGTTTTCGCTAACGCTTCTCTCAGATTTATCAACGTCCTCCTCAAATATGTGCATCAAAGTCAGAAGACCCTCCTCACAGTTGTCTGGGAGTGCGCTGGCCTTCTCGCCTCCAAATTCACCTCACTTTGCTCCAATTCTCAAGACGGAAGTGAAAACTTTCTAAAAAGTCGTGGATGGCATATTCTTCCCCTCTCTCACCTCCCAACTGACCTTCACCCTCTCGTAACTGAACTGTGGTCAAGCGTGAATGACTTGAACATAGCCCAACGGCGCAAGCGACCTTCGGAGGGCCCAATCACAAGCACAATTGAGGCCGCCTGCGCCGCCGCATCCCATTGGCCCGTGCTTGCTGTGCATCTGACTAACACCCTTCTTGGAATGGGAATCCCAGAAAGCATTGAACCGGCTACATTCTCGCACTGTTTACTAATGTTTGGCAAGTTGATGGAAGACTTCAAGGGGTCTAAGCATGCTTTTCACCTTGAACAGACGGCTAAGATAGAAATATTTCAGAATATGGTGAATTCAAATGTCATGGAATTGATTAAATGGGGGTGAATATAACTTTTGTCATAAACATCCTTTCCATGAACACTAAGATGATTTTAAAATGCATAATTTGGTCATTTTCTTAGAACGGAAATTGTACTTTTCAACGGGACTATGCTGATACTGCGAATGATTCAGTTTGCGCTAGTTGCATCTCAAGGAGATAAAGACTTCAGCGCTGAAATGCCTCAGCATTTAATTCTTCGGCTGTTACAAACACTATTATCTACTCTCACGCGACCAAATTCTACACCCAACTCGCGTCGTGTAGCCTACAGGGCATTCGTTGAAGCACGACAGGGTGCCAGTGAAGCGGGGGATACGGAAATCGAGGTAGGACTTTTCAGCAAAAGTGATGCCATTTCTTCGGTTGAAATGAAGTAAATTGAAGGGGAAATTTGTGAGATGCTAACCTTTAGAAGCATTAAATTTATTGGTCGAATAAATGGCACTATGTTCATGAATTTTTTAATCGACTGAAATGCGCTGGTCCATTGTTCTCTCTGTGTTTGATGTATTCATGCGGTCATCCGTCTATTTATCAAACCAAATCTGCTCTAATTAAGCATCTCTGCTTGGTATATCAAACCTTCTATTTGTTATTTCCTAATCAAACAATTTATACATGTTCAATCTACGAACCCGTGATACCTTCATTCGTCCACTCTTTATCCACCTATCTATCCGTCTGTCTGTCTTTCTGTCAGTCTGCTCATTCATGCATATATGCCTCTGTATCGTAGCTGGTGCTCAGTTGTACTATTAAATTTATTTTAGGTGGATCAGGCAGGCTCCCCTTATCTTGAATTTTAGGTATTCTCACAGGCAAGCCCTGGGACATGCGGCGAAAACTATGAGACCTTGTTTTGTCTCGTGAAAATAGGCATAGAACAGTAGACTGGCTAACCAGTTGTCACTACTTTTGAAACGCAGGTTTTCTTGCGCACTTCCGAGTGAAAAACATCATTTGAAATGAAATATATGCACTAAGCAGGCATTGCCTGCTGGGGATGAAGTGGTGGGTACCTCAGAAGTATGCAGCGCACAGTGTCCGTTTCTCTAACCAACGTAACAGCACAAGCGCCGAGATCATGTCTCAACGCAAGTGAGTCAGTGATCAAACAACCTACAATAAGTGGTGAAAGAAGAAAAGAACTAAATAATAGCGGACTTGTGTTAAGATATAAAATCATCTCTAAGCCTGGAGGAGGAGCCTTTCATAGATTTTTCTTCTAAAAAGCACACCAAAATAAACTAGAACGGTTACGCTGCGCTACCCCTTTTCTCTTTCAGAAGGTCTGTAATCTTGGTCTATCCTACGGACTCTGTGCGGAGGATAATCAACAACTTCGTCACCAATTGCGAAAACACATTTCCCAACACTGCCTCGACTCGCCCCTTCTGGGTGGCTCTCCCTCTCTCTCTCGCTGTCTTACGGTCCTCCAGTTGCTAAGCAGCAGCCGTCATGCTGACACAGTCGATCAGGCTCTGATAGGAGGGATTGGACAGCATCTTGTGTCCACCATCCTAGAGGTGGTTCTGGAACCGGCTATTAAGTCGGCAGAGTTTCGTCATCCTTTTCGACAGAATCCTCTCGATCCACATTGTTCTTTCAAGGAAGCAAGGCATGTTTGACTTTATCTAGCGTCTTGCTTATATTTAAGGCAACAAAGCATGAAGTTAGTCCTGGACATTTATGCGAGACAACTTTATGGGTTTTGTTCACTTTGTCTTTGTTTGTAAATGATGAAAATGAAAGGCTACGTAACTACTCCTCCTCAGCAGACTGGCTCTTTATGTTTTGCAAGGTGTTTATTTACAAAATGTATGGTGGTAAAGTATGTAATATGTCAAGAAACCGACGATTTTTGTGAGTAGGAGGTAAAAACTCGTTTCTATCAACACGTTTGTTCGGTATGGGCGTAAAGTTATTTCTCGCAGGATGTCAAAATATGTACGGAAAGCTTCGAAGGTAGTCATGTTCGTGCAATGGAGTCAAGGTGTCCCCTACGTCTAGACATCTGCAACTGCAGTCATAAGGAACAGGAAAGAACTCTGAAAAGAGGTTGCATGAAAGCCGGGTGGTATTTTTAGATCTGCAGAAGCTTTGTTTCGTGGCAGCAGTGAGTTTGATCAAGGAGTGGAGAGAGGAACATAATCGCAGACGTCCGGGGTATAGTTAACGGATTTCTGCTACCATTATGTAGAATTTAATTATTTGCTGGCTGGAAGGAAAAATGTTAACTAAAAGTCTGGATTTTTACGGTTTCTTTTGAAAGGACTAGCACTAGAGTGTAAAATCCCCTGCAGCATCTCTTGTATTGAGGGATTTTCAAATGCAGTTTTTAAGCTTTGTGAGCTCTTAAAGTGAAACTTTGTTGATATTTTTTGGCTTTTTGACTTAAAATCAAGACTCTGATTACGAAGCAAAAAATGCAATAACAAAGAACATTCATCACTGGTTCAAAACCTTTTCGCAAAGACATGAATATCCTAAAGGCTTGGGCAAATAAATTGTTGTAAATGGGATGGACTACCTTCGAAAATAGGTTTTTACTAATACACTGAAGTATAACTCTTTATTTAAGCAGTCACAATTCATTTAAGAGTCTGTTTGAAAGTTCCCTTCGGAAATGAGAGTTTAATTTATCTGTTCGTAGATTATTTGACCGGCACACACGTGCTTTTATGCCCAAAAGTTAAGGGAAATTCTCCTTTGAGTAAAATCATTCATACTTTGACACCAGTTTCACTCGAACGTCCATCTCCACTTCTCGATTCATGCTGGATCCAGTTGTGCTGAGTGGAACCCAACAACTGCTGCGGAGCCAAACACAAGCCGTGGATGCCGGCTATGCCACCCTGGCTCTTCCAGAAGGAAGTGCTACAGAGATCCAGCTAATGGAAACACAGGAAATGCCTTCCACCTCCGCCTTCGCACAAGTCAGCCCAATGGTCACGGATTCGAGGCCCTCTGGGAAGTCATTATTTGTCTCTTCAAACAGCACTCAAATACGTCAAAGGAACAAGTTGCCGAGCTTTAAAAATGTAGGTTTTTATGCGTATGGACTGGGTGCAGAGAAGAATTTGGGATATGCGAGTGTAAGGTAGAATGAAAGTGGTAAATTCTCCGGCTGGTTTTGAACCATATATGTTCATGACACCATGAAAAATTGTTTAGTGGATTAACATCGGGTTTGATCGAATCTGAGTCGAATTTTTGGTCTTGCAGCAGAATAGGTCATTTTGGACCTCCGTTCCCATTGTTGATTTCAGGTTTTTTTTCAAAAATTAAAGAAGTTATATGCCATTTTAACCTTGGAATAGCACAATATAACCGTGGCGTGAGATTAAATTGATGGGACTGCGGATGATATGACTTGAACCATATGCAAGCTATAGCACATAAGACTCGAATTACCCTGTAGTAATTAAATATCATCACATCACGAAGACCCTGCTCCCCTACGACTGCCACCTTCAACAACCTCTGTTGTAGTGCTTCTATGTTGGCCACAGCGGAGGTGATCAAACGTTTTGGAATAAGGTGCGTGGCTGCAAATGTTGAACAATAAATCTGTGTCACAGTAGAAATGGCTCATATTTTAATGCGATCCATTATGCACCTCTACCTCTGGTGGGCAGGTTGCATTGGAAATGTGCATATCCCATTTGCCTTCGTCCACTTCGATCTTACAACATTATAAAGACTCAGACACAAAGGACTAACTTTTGAGACGGGTTCTAACCGGAGAGCTGGCTTTTTTGTGGCATTGCTTTTTCTGTGTTGAGTCAAACACCCTTCGGAGGTTCTTAAATAGTCTTTACCTTTGAAGACAACTCCTTCTCGAACATTCAAGGAGGCTATTTTTGTTTTACTAACAGAATAAACAAAAAATCATTGAGGTTTGCGTAACTATTTCCGCTTCCTTACGCGTCGGTAATGGCAGCTTTTTTGTTATGAGCAATATACAAGGGAGGAGTACCCCGAATCTTGTGACGAAATTTAGCTTTATAGTGTGACAGGTTGACGTCATTTCTTTTATATTGCGATTACAACTTTGGCATTCAAGATATTACATTAGCTTCGATTTGAAACACTAGAAAATGGTCTTCAGCAAAGTAATTTGCAATTTTTCTTCAATTATACTATGCGTGAAAGCACTCTGCAGATTAATGCGTTAAGTAGCTATTGAATTTACCGAACTGCCATTGCAACAAGTAACCTTTAAAAATATTCGCAACCCAATTATAAACAATGTATTTTTGCTATGCACCCATCCTTTCGCCTTCTATTGTTTAGCTTTCTCGCGTTGAGCACTTGCGTCGGAAGTTTGCATTCCCCGCCACCGTTGTCGCTCAATCCCCTGACATCCACGCGGGTAGTAGCTTGCAAGAGTTCTTTAAGCAACGAACCATTCAGCGCCAGCACGCCGAGACCACCTCTACCTCCGACACCTCACTCAGTGATTCTGCCCGCCTCTGTCGTCGTCATCGTCTCAGTTTTCTACCCGACGTCGAGACACTAACTCTGGAGGCACTTTTGAAGCCTCTCTTCCAGTTAGCGAATGCAGATCCATTGGGATGTGGATCCGTCCTCCTCGGGCTTATATTCGAAGCAGTAATCGCCTCAACGGTGACGTCTCCTAGTAGTGACATCTTTGTGAAAGGACTAGGTGGTGCTCTGGCAGGTCTGCTGTTGCGTGGTCAAAACGTCTGTCTCCAACTACTGTGGGATCTGAGTGGGTTGGAGGGGAGGGTTCTTAATCTTCTGCCGGAGCCGACTCTTCTTGCTGCTAGTGCGATTTCAGCTGGACAGACTGCAATTGGCACGCTGGTGTTGGAGGAGGCTTTCTGTGCTGCTGCAATGAGGCGGTGAATGCCACTTGAATAAAGTGTCTGATTTTCCCCGTAACTGCATCATGCCCTCAAAATGACGGATTGCAAATTTCCTAAATATTTATCTAAATCTTGGTTCAGTTTGGCTTTGTGTGTAGTAATTCTTGCACCTCTGTTACCTGCGAATGAGCTGGCAAAGTAGGTGTTTTTCAAAAGCTTTGAAGGTGTTGTCATGTTTGGCTCATGAGTGACGTAGCTTCCTAATGGGAATTCAACGCGTTTTAATATTTTTCTACTAATTACTTTACATCATTGGCTCATTCATATCTTCTTTATTCCACAAATCAGGTCTTTCAAAGCTGTAAGGAGGCCAGTAAGCATATGACATTCGTTTTCTCCACTAATATTCATTTTTAGTCGGTGATTCGAGAACTCGTTTAAAGCTATCAAACTGAACGTCTGCAGGTGATTTCCGAAAAGAATCACTTTTTGATCTCATACAACAGTTGGGTGTTGTAAAAGTTGTTTGCTTCTATTATCCTTTAAAAAGGATGACAAGTTAATAGACGACTTTTCAGATTTTTGCATGCGTTAAACCATAATACCAGTAAGCCTCAGCCAGATTGGCTAGCAAAAAATTTAATCAGTTCTTAGCCTCTAACACAACATTGAGCATTTAAATAGATCTGTTTCTTTCACAGCTCAAAATACATTCGCCAATCCATGTCAACACCCTCCCCATGGACGGCCACCACCCGCCGCTTTTTCACCTCCTCTCTGCCCGTCTTCATCTTGCCCCAAGAGGAATTTGAAATTGCCTCAATGGAATGCAGCAACAAACAGCTCGCCACCACCACCACCACCGCTGCCACTTGCTGGTGGCAGCTGACGCGTCTCTACGCGGACCTGGGTCGAAGCGATGAGCTCCTCGGCTGGCTCTGCGATCGATGGATTACGGGATCAAAGTCGACCGTCCTTCTTGAGCGTCTGGGGACGGCGATTGTTGCTAAGGTGTTCGGTGACTATGAGAGTGCTTTTATGCAGCTCTCTGATGTACGTCCTCGGCAATTACTGTTATTTCATAGCCACTGAACACTCTATTAAAATATCCAATTAGTCGAAGGCCAGGTCGTTAATTACTTATGGAAGGTTATTTGAAATTCAAAACTTAAACGCTTTGAGTTTAAAACAAAATATCACCAGTTGATTTATTATAAATTTACCCATCGGCTTTTATTAAAATTGGTTAGGACAGATCCGTACTTCATACTTGAGCCAATCTACGACAATAAAATAGTCAAAACATCTGTTGTAGGCGTTCGTCTTAAAGTTTAAGAATCCTTTTCTGAAGTCCAAACCACCTTCAACACTCACCTCTTATTGTAAGGAGCCAAATGAATTGCGTAAACCTGTATTAGCTGATTTGCACTGCCAGGAGATTATTCATTCGCATAAATCCCAGTCGAGCTAACTATGAAATGCAATCACTACGGTAGCATAGTCACGCCTTATAGACAGTCGGCAAGTGTAAGGCTTTCATTGAAATAGTACGATGATTTTAGGTCACAACCGATTTGGTGCCTATGTACTACTATCATAGGTCATTTCAATCTGATCAACACCATCAATTTAGGGAATGCATTCACTTGATTTATCGTACTGTTGGAAAACCATCGTTCTGATTTGTAGCAATTATCAACTATTCTTCTTCTGATTAAAATTTTATTGCAGCTGCTTACCTCGTCCTCTGACGCCGACGATGACGATGATAAAGACAAAATTAACGAAGGAGAAGGCGAAGGAACAGAATCCAGCATTTGGTCAACGTGCCCGGCCGGTCTAAATGCAGAAATTCGGTTGGTTTGCAGAGAGGAGCTACTGCAATGCCTTGCTCGCCTCGGCTCTTGGAAAGACTTGGATGTCGCCGCAACCTCCACCGCGACTTCTCTCATCACAATGACAGATGACCCTTCCTCGACTGCTACTGAAGCAAGGCCCTCAACCTCTAACGCCACGGTTGTCGATGAATTCGGTCAGTGGGCTTCTTGAATCACTAAATATCCGGATTTAAAGTTCCAAGCTTATTATGCCATGCCTCAAATACCAAAGTCTCTTCATCTTATTGGTTAGAGACCTGGTCGAGTAGAGAAAGATGCCATCAGCTTATCAGAAGCCATTTAATGCCCAAATGCATGACATTCAACTGATCAAAAGCATTTGAGATTCCCACTTTAAGGAAGTGTTTTTTTGCCAGTATTGCCTTTTAGAAAGGTTTGCCTGTTTCCGTCTATTCGTACAATGGTATGACCTTCAAAATAAGTGCCAGTTCAGTCTGTGGTTTGAGCAACGCTGATTAGGACAGTCCCTAATACAATTTGGATTACCAAACGGACGCCAACCGTTTAGTTAACTGTAGGCTTTGTTTTGGTCCTGCGAAATCTTACCTAGCCATTTAATTCAAGTCACATTATCTGGTAGCGATTGGTAGTAAGATGGCACAAAGCGCTTTACATTTAATGTCAAGACAAACTTCCAAACGTTGGATGTGCGTTTATTAACTTTACGCGTTGAGACCCACCTTGTCTGTTCGTTCAACCTTGGCTCGAAATAGACACAGTGATAATTGCGTCAAAATGGCTCGCTAATTCAGGCGTACTTTGGCAGAGGTCTACTTGCTTCCTCTGCAGCTGCAGCTGGACTCCAAGAGTTTAACAACTTCTGTGAGCGCAACTTTGCAAAGGTTTCGCCTTCCCCGTTTTGGGCGTCATTCGAGTTGCATTGTTGCCTACTTCCTCAATTCACAGCGGTGAGATGAAAGACAATGCAAGCACTGGGTAGAGTTCAAAGTTGATTGAGGGCTTTTTATTTAGTTGTTAGGTGATTCAAATATAATTTCTTGCATTTATGATGTGTTTATGCTTGCAAATTTATGTACTAACTCCTTTTAGCATCTTTATGGACAGATCCATACCCAATGGAGAGTGTAATCCCTCAAATCATCCACTCACGCCTACACCAGTGTCTCTCAGCTGAAATAAACAAAGTTATCTTCAGCCACAGCGCATTAGACACTGACGCGTTGTACCGCTTTTGTCGTATAATGGAGTCCGGTCTGCGTTCAACTTCGCAGGACTTTGAGGTATTTGGAATCCCTTCAATTTTCTTAGCTTTCAATAGACCAGATTCGCCTACGAGTTGGCAATTTTCAGCGTGCTTTGTGAGGATTTAAGTAGAGCTCAACTTCGTTGCAAATCGGCCTTCAAGAGCCTTAGGCAGGTACTTCTCATACCCCTCCACTTACCGTGTTCTAGACATGGTCTTCAGAAGAATGCCGAAACACACGCCTACAGAAGACGCAACTCCTTATAGAACTCAAAGAATTTCTGGAAGCCTCCGCAGAAGGATTGGATGCACATTCTGCATCAAAGTTGTTCCACACCTGGCAGGAGCGTTGTTCTGTTGTCAGTGAAGACTTGACTACTTCCCGGTAAGGCCAATGCACATCTTATTTCTTGGTTTTAGTCTCTTCTTCCTCTCCAAAATGACGGCAGCTGGGTGTTTACCACTCAATGAGCAGTTGCTGCCCGCGGTCGTTAACTTTCGTCTTGAGTGTAGTAATGCGTTCTCGCGCAGTGGTAATCCCCACCGGGCAATCAATCAGCTCACACCACTGTATAAGCTGGTCCAAATGCTTGGTCAAGCGGGTGATGATAGCGAGTACCGTCATCTCGCCTGGTGCAGCACGTTCTCGCGCGCTTGGATTTCCGCGTACTCTCAGGGCATAGTTTTTTGTGCCAGTGCGACTGGAAGGGACAATAATCCCTCTGCGGACCTTGAGAATGGGCTTCTTCGGTGCCTCTCGCTAAATTGTAAGTCTTACTATCTACCAGTGATTAGAATATGCTCCAAACTAATAGGAATTAAAGGTGTGTTCATGGTGCATCTGGTCGCGAACAAGAACTATGCAGTTAAATGTATTGCCTCTCCTGGTTAGTGCCTTGGGTTTTGTGGGTGTCTCGTGTCCGACACTTGGCCCCGAGATATTGAGCTAATTTCAAATAGTGTCCACTAACGTGCTCTCACACCCTAGACTAATCACTGGTTTCTTTTGAGACGCCTAGAAACAGCAATCTTATCTACATGGCAATTTTGTCGGACTCGGTAATTCAACCAAACTGATTCGCACTACCCATTCATCCAGCAATCATTTCGGTGATATTGCTCGAATATTTCTGTTTTTCTTTTGAAAGCTGTCTTCTAGCAACGTTTCTTAAAACACTCCGGTTGCCTCTTTCAGCTCACTGCATCGAGATCTATGAAGCACTTCGCCAGCTACCTTCAATGGGCAACGAGGATGCAGCCCTGGCTCAATTCTCCCACGCCATCTCCACGGCTCGAATCCTTTCTGCATTCCATGATTTCCAGAAATCTGGTCGTTTGAGTGACCTAGGTTTAAGACGCTACACGACCTCCCTCCAACCCACACTGAAGACAAGGTTCTCACAGATCTGCGGTTTGAGTGAAGTGAAAGAGGTGGATTTTCTAGAGTCTAGCGCCTTCGTCTTCTTCAAGCGGTGTGTGGATTCAGCAATGGGTGTTTGGTCAGCGGTGAGAGGCTCATCACCTTCGGCGGAAAAGGCCATCTATCGACGAAATCTCCTTGCTCACAGCCCTGATGAGGCCCTGCTGGAAGTGGCAAACTTTTGCAGTACACGAATCAGTGAAGGTGAGCCAAAAATCTTGAGTTACTACTGCCTGGTTCTCACTTCCAACAAGTTCATGACTCTCTGTTGTTAAGTTGCGATAAATATACAAGTTAAAAACGACGTTTTTGTTTTTTAGCAGAAATGATGAGGACAAGTTTCACGAAGTCTAAAGTATGGATGCTGCACTTATGCACTTATCTGGAATCTAATTAGACAATGATGAAACGCCTAACTGTTGTAGGAGGTAAAGAGAGACAAGGTAGTGTAGTTGTTGACATTAGCAGAGCTCCACATTACTACTTTGGAGCTCAAACTATCATAAAAGTTTGGGGAAAGTCAAAAATTAACACAAGCATTTGGACTCAAATTTCATTTTATCGCGTATGCAATCTCATCTTATGTTTGACAATGGAAGGCGGGAGAAATCGTGATGTCTACGCGGATATTTTCACTCGCTCCGTGCTAACCGCAATGCGGATGGGTGCTAAGGGCGGCCGCATCCGGTTCGGTCGGGTACTGCAAGTCGAAGTGGCTCGTTGCAAGTCCGCTCCACAGCACGACCCCGGTGTCTTTTGTGAATTGGTCTGTTGAACCCCTCCTTATCTTCTTGCCTTTTTCTGTTCGAGTTTGTCTTTCCACTCCTCGTTCCCGCTCACAGACGAAGCATTTGCCACCGTGGATGTTCTCCCAGTGGTTTGACAGACTCCTAAATGCTCCGCTTGAGGGAGCGGCCTGTCTAGTGGCGGATATCCTTCGACGGATTGCACAAAGGTACTCACAGGCGCTGGCTCTCCCATTTCGAGTTTTGGTGACGTCGGCGTGTGGCTGGAAACATGATGGGCAGTCCTTAGTTGAACAATTTGCTGTAAAGCTAACCGAGGATGGGAAAGGGGATGCAATATCAGTTTTCACAGAGTAAGCTTGATGGGAAAATTTCCTACACCTCATTTTACGCCTAAAGTGGATAGTATTATGAACTACATTGAAAATGCATCCGATATGTCTAGGAAATGTAGACAAATTGGTGTGTGGAATCTATTATTTAAATATAACATCAGCACAAAGTTTCTTGAAACACCATTTCTTTATGCTAACCTTTACTTCAATTTGTTGTAATTGAGGTGATATTGACTTTTATGTGTTCGAGAATATGATTTCGCTTAATGAAGGAGTGCCAACTTCGATTTGAATGATTATTTTAACACCACCTGCAATCCCCCACATTAACTTACTGCCTGATTTTCTTGGAAGACTATCAAGCATGCTCTCAAAACACGTAAGACTGAATCGACTCCTCGCAGAGTTGGAGTATTTCGATGACCCCGACATCGTTTTCAAGGTGAGAATTGCTACGCAAATATTTCTATTACTGTCACACATACATTATTTACCACATTTTTTAAGCCCCCCAAAGTAAATCGCATCACTGCTTGCACACTTTGTTGCCCATTTTAAATCAGATTTAATTTTGGGTGATGATGGTAGCCAGTCTCAAAGAAATACTTATTTACTCACTATATCCTGGTTACAAATTCGTGATGCGGTGTTTATTGAAATAGGAATGTATTACAACTTTAATACATCAGTTGGATTGATCAGTAATCCCTTCAAACCCACTTTTTCGAACCAGTCAGGGTCGAGTAGGTCGAGGTTGGGCTTTATGATGTAACACGTCCTGATGAATGGCATATCACGGAAAGACATGGAGTTCTGGAGTTCCTATGAGAGCTTCAATTGACCACCATCTACATTAATGGCGGTCCGAGTGGTCTGCCGTCGGCCAATGGTTTGCCGAGTTGACACCAGAGTCCCTCCCATGGGACAGTAGTGTTGGGGTCAGTATCCAACTGTAGTTGCATCATACAGCCATTAAGTCCGACGATGATAAACCTTTGCCGACCGGGTGTGTTCATCTAGAAGACATTCATTACGTTAGGTGGCTTATAGACTTTTTTTGGCTTGTTTTGACCACTTTTCCTGTGCTTGTTGGTGTCTCCATTGGAGTTGGATCGACATTACTTCCAGTGTCGTTGAACTGGCAACACTTGCAATGTCTCTGGGGGCAGCACTTGCCAGTGTCGATTCCCACAATGCCATCAGGGAGAAAGAGGTGCTCCATTTTTCCTGACATTTACCTTTTGGTTAATAGTACATTGGCTGGATTTGGAGGGGCTTGGTCTGCGTGTTGTAAATTGGTTGGGTCGTCGTATACCATGGACCTAGGAACTGACTCGGTTCCTAGACTGAAGCACATTGATGTCACGCGAGGCGAGGTGTTGGTGTTCATCCCGGATTGCCTCGAGCATGATGTTGGAATTGTGCTCTAGGCGATTCAGCAGGCGCACCCGAATATATGCAAATTCCGGTGATTGGACACTGAAGATGTAGACTCCAGATTGAGTCGTTTGCGCATGCCCTTCACGTTCTCGATGTGCATCAGAAAATCCTCGGTCTTTTGCATAACCAGCTACTATGTATGGCATGCTGATTAGTGATGTTGGCCCATCGAGTCGTCATCGTAAAGACTCCCCTGTCTCATCGAAAGTGCAGTCCTGTAAATTTAGAAAATAAAATATTAGGTCTGGGTATTGAGTGGATTTTGCTGAACCCCGCCTGCGGCGTAGGAAGTGAACCTTTTATACGTCATCCCGAGTGTCCAGATCATTATTGAATAGGCCTTCGTACTGTTTGCATAGGAATTGAAGGTAATGTTGGCCTCCAGAGCGCAGTGAAACGTCAATGCAGCCTATTAATGGTTCGGGTGTTGCGAGAGGTTAAACGGGCGACGTTGAAACCGTCTGTGGTAATAACTCTAGGTGCATGACCTGAATTCCACCTTGCTAATTATTATGACCTGTATTACCAAATTTTATAGACTGGGATTTCATTGTTTGTAGAGCCTGGCTTCTATCGAGCTCCCAACCGGATCTGCTACTAACACAGACTTTAGAGCAAATATCTTTATCACCAACATAATTATTAAGCAAAAGGGGTAAGGGCGGTGGCCATGCGCCTGGTAGTTGGAGCACAGGGATTGGCTGGGTGTGAGTCTATCTGTTGGTGAATTCAGGTGCGTGTTGACCTTGACCTGCGCATTCAAGCGATTATCAGCACCAATTAAAGTACACCTCTCCTTCGTTTGGGAGGGCTTAAACAAGAACCTAACCCTCTGAACTTTCAAGAGCTGATCATCAAATGGGAATACTAGAATGCTCTTTGGAGCTTGTAGGTATTCCCATCAGCATTGCCCCTCCAAAAAGCCCTAAATCACATTTTGTGAATCACTAGGCTTTTGGGTACCTTACTGGTCTCATAATTTTACCAATATTTCAGGATTGGGCGAGTAGTTACGCGAGAAAAAGTATCCGCTCTGACTGTTCAAACCGTGCTGATCTCGTGACGTCCTGTAACAGTCTCCTGGAGCACGGTTTCCTTCGACTCCATAGTGCAGGTTACTTTAAAAGAAACCACTTTTGAGATCTTAACGCTTTCTTTTTACTTTATTATTTATTTCTTCATTTTAGAGATTTCATCAACCCCTATCAATGCCAACACAGGTCGACAATGCGCAGTGCAGATTGTAAATTTGCCATCTAGTCATTTATTGGGCTTAAGGCAGCAAGTTTAGAGTCGTTTTTTAATACACAATTGCCTTAGTAGCCCATTTCACATGAAGTTTGACTAGAAGCAAAAACTACATCCACATCAATCTCTTCCCCATTTTAGCTATGTGATCTGGTGCAACAGGAGTTCGGACATGACTGTAAAGCCCTCCAAAATATTACTCTTCACAATTTTGACTGTGCTATCCAGCGAATAATTTCCGCGTACAAGCCAACCACTCCAAAGACCTCGAGGATGGACCAGTTTTCGCAGTGGTTGGTTAACTTTTCTCCGGATGAGCAGGACCCAATCGAAATGCTGGGCCAGTGCTTGGATTCTTCATCTGAACGACAAGCAGTTGTAACCGTCGAACGTGTTGACTTAAACGTCAAGGTGCGCCTCACGCTAGTCACTGAACTGTTGCAACGTCCATAATTGTAGCTAAAGGAGCGATGTAAACTTTTTCTCAGTCTGTATTTTATGAGCAGTTTTTGATGGACCTTTTATGCATTAAAACGATCTCCATCAAAGTGCCTGGCTAGTCTACGACGACCCAAACTGGTGCGTCTTCTGGGCAACGATGGTCACTGGCGTGGTTGGCTGGTCAAAGGGGGTGAGGACCTGCGTCAGGACACGAGTATTCAGCGTCTTCTCGGTTTCGCAAACTATGCCATTGCTTCCGCTACCGCAACCACCTCCACCAGTGCCTCTGCTGAGCCCCTCCGCACCTATGCGGTAGTGCCGGTAAGCTCTACACGTGGCCTGATTCGGTGGTTGGACAGCACCACCACCCTCCTCGCCTTTGCTATGAACGCCATGACTGTGCGGGAGACTGAGCGCTACTTGTAAGTTGAGCTATTTAACTGGGACGACGTCTGTGGCAATGAGAAACAAAATTTGCACAATTAATTTTTCATGTCATACGGTATGAAGAACTGTGCTACCTGTATCACCGCTCTTTGCATCATCCCTAAACTAGTTGCAACTTGAGATGCCAAAAAAAGAGATTTTCCTGTTTGTTTTTATTCTAGGGCCGAGAGCGACGCGCTGGCAGCGAAGTTTGCTAGCCACGCCGGTGACTTTTTCTGGGGATCTGAAGCCACAGCGGCGTCGATGGTCTCGCAATTCACCGAGCTTGAGGATTTCGTTTTCTCGCTACGTCTTCTGCGCCGCGGTCTCCGTAATTCGGTGGCCACCTCGGCGGAGCATTTTGATGCCCTGCGCCACCGTCTCATCACTAGCCATGCTACCATCTGCGCTGTCCACTTCATTCTCGGTAAGAGCGTGTCTTTTACCGTTTGCTTTGGCTGCTCAGCACTTTTTGTCCACTTTTGATTAGGTCGAATGGGGGCAGTACTTACGCGTGACCTCTTCTCCTGTCTATTTTGCATAACACAACGTGACCAACTACAGTACCGTTGACTCACTTTTTGTGCACTCCCGAGTAGGGGTCGGCGACCGTCACATGGGCAACCTCCTTTTGGACACATCCACGGGTAGCCTGGTGGGCATTGACTTCGGTTTCGCGTTCGGTGTGACTCTCAGCTTTCCCACCCCCGAGTACGTGCCCATTCGACTAACTGCGAGCTTGCGCGAGTTGCTAGAGCCCTCTGGACCTGCGGGTCTCTTTGGTGCTACGCTCTGCCGCACCCTCGCTGCTCTCCGCCATCACTCCAGTCTATTTCTCTCGACCATTCAGGTAGTTAGCATTGTTTTGAAACACGTACCTTTGGTAGCTGGTCTGGTTAATTATGGTATTTGCTGCCGAAATCTGGCTACTTTCCACACCTCAACTAACTTCCTTTTTCTCTAATACTACTCATCGTAGTCATCATTAATCATGACGATTAATTCTTCCTCATACACAAAGACATTCATCGAGGACAACTCGACCACAGAGTGGTCCGTCTACAGTGAACACTATGGCCAATCAGAAGAGGAATACCGACGCTGCCGCTTGTCCTTACTCCGCCGCAAGCTGATCGGTCACTGTCCAGCTGAGCTCTTGATTGACGATTTGAGAGGCCGTTTTGGCACATGCGATTGGTTCGCTCACTTTGAAGTGATCGCGAGGACAACGGTGGCGAGTGCTGGTGATCCAGTGGTTCTTCCCCCACCGGAACAGGTTCGGCGGTTGGTCTGTCTCAGCACCTGTCCTGAACTGCTTGCGAGAATGCATTCCGGCTGGGGCGCGGCCTTGTAGCTGTGATTTTTTCTCTTCTTTAATTTCTTCTCTTTTATTCTCCATTCTCTTATCTTAATGCCCGTAATTTTGATTTAATGTTCCATTAATTGAATTTGCTTTCTGGTGGTCAATTTTGATTTGTCTACAAAACATCTGCTTAACTACCTAGATTTTCGGATAGAATGTCTGGTTCTATAGCAATACTTTGTGTTGCACTCCCTGTCAAAGGCGCTGGTCGCGCCACCTGCGCTAACGTGTCATGTACTTTACCACTCAGCCAATGGACATAAGGGTAAAAACTATTTTTACCTTCCTAAAAGTTATTTTCTTGTTTGGGAAACAAATTCTTCTGCATTTTGAGCTATGAGGGGTCAGAAGTTTAGAATACACCCAAAACTAGCATAGTGCGTTATACTGAGCGACAGATTTGAAGTCTAGGCTGAAATAATTAATTATTTACCGAAACAGTGGCTGCGCTTTGAATTGCAGTTTGGTCGTTAGCAATATACTTCTTGAGCTATGAGGAGAGCGGATACTACGTGTGTGGAGGTGCCATCATTTGAAAAAGTAAATACCGAGAGTGAGTTTACTCAACCGACTGAGGAAAATCATAGCGTTGGTAGCGATTGCCTTCCGGTTGTGATGTAGCCATTAGTGATCAAGGCAAACTGTCCTATTTCTTTGAAGGGTGATAGTTTTAGTCTGTAGTTGGCTCAATAATATGCAGCAAAAAACAGCAGGAGGAGGTTATAGCCAGCAATTGATTTCCAAGTCAAAAAAGGTGCAAATAATTTGGTTTTTCTTCTATATTTATACCTTAGTATCACTTTACAATTGGGTAATTCGGTGTGAACCAAGAAGAGGTTAAATCCTCCAATGAATGAGCTTTTCCTTTAGTCGAACTGAAGGATTGCAATTGAGTAGTTGGATTGCATATTTGAAGCAGACAGAAGTTTGAAGATCCTTCCACCTACACACAAGTGTATCGGACCATCTTTTTGAAATCCCCAAGTTGACAAACTTCAGAGGGGAATTTGTCCTTTAACCAAAATAATAGATGAATTTATTAAATGAACGGAATGTCAAAAATCCTGTGTATTTTGCCTGTATTTGTGGAGAAATGATTTGACGTTAGCTTAAGAACTGAATTGGTACTTTTGAATTCGCAGCAGTCGCCGGTTCGTCCGGTCGCATTGTCCGTGGCGATGCTACACAGACACCAAATTCCATTATTTGGATGAGTAAAAACAACGCACTTATTTATTCCCACACGCCTTGGGAGAAGTTTAAACTATCGTGCCTACTTAAAATGCTTCCTGACTTCAGACTTTTGAAGTTTGACTTTGTTTGTCAACTTGATGGACTACCTACCTGGTTACTCAATTCTGAGTAAATCCAGCTTCGCTTTCGGTCTGAACTGCAGGTTTTTCCAAGCAAAATGCAGTTCCGCTGGGAGAAATTTTGGCGTCAAAGGCAAAATTCCGCCTACTTAGACCTTCCATTTCCATATTTTCAGCTAACTTAAAGTGGTAACCGCTATTGCCACCTAAAAAATGGACTTCTCCGAGAGATTTCATGATAAATAACATTCATTATTGGGTGTAAAATGCATTTTGATTAGATTCCAGGATGAGAGGTATGCAACACTTGCATAAAGTGGCGAAACGTGAAATCTCCTCATTGATCAGGTTGAGACCTTTACAAACTCTTCAGAAAAGTGGAAGCAGGTATTCAGCTCCACCAAATCTAATCAAGTGACTGCAGGTATAAGAGCTAGGATAGCTAGGCAGATACACACGTTTGCTTAATTTCGTCCTTCCAATTTCAAATCATCCTCCTTCTTCCTGAGTGTGAAAGAGATACTTAAGGGATTAAAGATACCTTCAGCCTGGTCTTCATTAAATTTTTAAATGAATTTAAATAATTCCACAATGGCTCACGTTACCCCTTTTCTCAGTGCTTTAGTTTTAAGATAAATTTGAAACTGGTGTCACACTTGTGGAGCCCTTATCAAATGTCTGTATGTAAAGGCGAATTGGTTATCCATTTTCTTTCAGGACGCGCATCCACCGCCCTTGCCCCTCACAATCTGATAGCAAAGCAAACACAGTCGCTGTTTGACGTTTTCGTTCCAACTCCTTAACCCTTCCATAGTTTTATATTTCCAAAAGAAAATAACCGGCAAAAAATAACGAAATAGGACTTATAATGCAGCGAAATTGGGTGAGAAATGGAATAAGAGCTTAATCAAACTTGGATGGTCGAATTTGGGCAAGGTGTCTCCCGATCCCCGCCATACCGCCATCCCCACCCTAATAAAGTGAATACTGAAAGCATATTTAAGGAGCTCCAACTCAGTAGCTGACGTTATGGGACGGTTAATCTGTTACTATTAAAGGTGCAATTCTGCCAACACAGATCTTTGAACTACGCCTGGATGCCTTATTTGTTGTCTTGTCTGAGTTACAGCGACATCATAAATCTTTCCTCAATTTTATACTTCTCTAAGCAAAGCGACGATAAATAGAAAATCCCCAATATCTACGTTGAGAGAATAAATTGAGACCTGGGGGTTTATACAGGGCCAAAAAAGGACAACTTTTAGGGAGTGCAAAGTTTAAGTATGCTTTTATTTTAACGTAGCCCCTACTGCATTTATGTCTCTATCATAGCACTTAAGTCGTGTCTGGAATGCTTCGTTGTGGATAAATTTGCCAATACGCTTGAATCACTCTACCACAGCCTGCTGTGTCGGTCAAAATCGGACGGCTGTCTTTCCACCTAATCAATGTGTGTAAGCCCTGGGGGAACGGGCAGTATTCCTGCTTGTGAATGACATTTTTGCGTTTACAGTGCTAACACGAAGATTCACCCGCCCCCTACGCAATTCCGTCGCACATCAGGCCATGCGTGGATCAGGCTGCAATTCCACAAGGAGGTTGAATAAATGCGGAAATGCCTGCTGTGGTGTCCATCTAGGAAGGGAGCCACCACGTCTGCTATTGTCACTGACAGACATTTTGCAACTTTGAGGGGTTTATACCACTCAAATGGCTAACTGCAGAGCATTTTGTCTCAATTTGAGTTGCAACTGCTGCAACACCTCATCCTCCACGTTTCATCCCTTCAAAACGTTTCGAGACTACGGGCAGTACTTTACGACCTCTGATCAATTGACAGCAGAT